CCACTACACGCAAACAAAACCGATAAGACAAACCTATATGGACATTGCAAGAAATAAACAAGAAATATTATTAAGAGAATGGATCCAGGGGCTTACCACAAGTCTGCAATGACACAGGCTTCAAAATACAAACCCTCTTAAGTTTTTAATAGTGAATAAAGAAAGAAATCTACTTTCAGCAGATTTTGTAGACTGAGTAATATTATTACATTACATCTACTCCAACATTGTTATTTTATAATATTGAATAACTGAAGTCAAGTTTAATTGTATGTACGAGTGGGGACTAGTATAAGATGTTTTGGTGTAGTATGTATGATCAGGCGTGTCTATTGATAGACTATATGAACTTTTCACTTGTAATAATATACTATATCTATATAAACTACTCAAGATCTTTATGTTATTGTTTGGTATACTATATATTATTATCACTCTATTAATTTCATTTTTAATGTTAACTAGTTTTCTAGTCATTTCTATCGACACAACAAGGCCCGCTCAAGTATTATCTGGTGTAGTGGTAATAATTTTATGATCAAAACTATGGTTTACTACAAGGGTCTGTTCTCTTACCCTTTTATTTCATTGCATACATTAATAATATAATGGCTCTCTAGTTCATGGTGAGATGAATAAACAATTCTATATGACGGAAGGTCGTTTTGAAGACCGGTGGAGTGAATGTGGTTTAAGTTAAGTAATTTGTAAATATTTATATATAAGCCCATTTTAGGGGGTCTTTATCTGTGCAGTTTGTTTTATATTTGTTAGATAAGACTGGTGGATTTCTTGGTGTAACATTATTTAATGTTGAATCTGTATTTTATTATCTAGACATGGGGCTTTTTATCGGACTGTAGTATGCCATAAGGAACGACAACTAACTATAAACCCAAAAAACAAACACACGGTCATCGTATATCAAATCATGTGAATGAACCCAGGGTCAATTAATCACGACTTCTCACTGCGCTTTACGGCTGATTGTTTTTAACTGAAGAAATCAAATTAATCTTAAAGAAAATGTCGAACTGATTGTGTTGTTCAACCTTTACCGGTATGCTCGAGAACAATAAGGACATTATTATAATAGGTAAAATATGGGAATATAGAGGTGAAACGCCCTGTCCTGTTTAATTTACATTTAGTCAAGTAGTATTTTACTCTTCTGTGTCATGCCATAATTATTGGACTAGTTATTATACGAGGGATCCTTGAAACAAAGCTGTTGAACTATTACAAAACTGGAAAATTCGAATGAAATTGGACACTGGCTGTAGTCAATGGACAATTTTATAGTAGCCTAGATTAACGTATACGTGAAGAGCCATACAAGTCATCTTTAAATCACTATATCGATCAGTGTTTCCATCAGTCGATAATCTAATGATTGATTTATGAGATCGATAATGATCTAAGATGAGAAGCTTCCTGCTGTCTCGTGTAGAGGTATAAACAGTATAATGTTATATAATTATCCTGCTATTGTTTGTTGACTTTATTATTCCTGGAAGTCTACAGAGATTCTGTCAAATCAACCGGAAGATCTGATGTAAGTAACCGCTTCCTTTCTTTTAAAAATGCCATGGAGGGAGAGAGAGAGAAAGAGAGAGAGAGAGACGGAGGGGGGTGGGGTCTATTACCATCCTTTCTCGATTAAGTTATGAATCAAGTTTCAAATCAATTGAGAGAGAATCAGGTGCATTAATGTAAATCCCAATCCCCACCCGAACCCCCTTATCAGTTTCCACATTTTTAAAAACAAAGTAAAGGGAGATGGTAGGTTGTAAAGTTAAGAAAGTAATACTGATAATGAGTAAGATAGCAGAATCTGACACGTTATTATTAGAAGCGTATAATCATGTTGAGAATGTCAATAGTTAATTCATTAATTATATATTCTACAGTGATCAGATACTGTTTTACCGTTAACCATGGCATGGTATATTGTAAATGTAATATTCTTCTTTCTTATGTTGTGTTTGTTGTTGGGCGGTTCGTCTGTATTTTCTATTCATATAATATTACTGGTCCGACATTCCTTCTGTTTGATCTATAAAGAATGATCAGCTAATTAATATGATTCGTTTTCATATGTTGGGCTGTCTGCACTGTTTGTTCTGTGTTATGTTAAGGTTGTATTTATGCAATATTTGTTTTATGTTATATTAAGATTTTCTGTTTGTACTTATGTCCTCTTTATTCTATGTTGTGTTGAGATTGTACGTGCTTCATTCATGTACTGTTTGTTCTATGCTGAGATTGTCTGTACTGTATTGACACACTCTTTATTCTATGTTGTGTTGTGATTGTACGTGCTTCATTCATGTAACTGTTTGTTCTATGCTGAGATTGTCTGTATTGACACACTGTTTATTCTATGCTGTGTTGAGATTGTACGTGCTTCATTCATGTACTGTTTGTTCTATGCTGAGATTGTCTGTACTGTATTGACACACTCTTTATTCTATGCTGTGTTGAGATTGTGCGTGCTTCATTCATGTACTGTTTGTTCTGTATTGTGTTGGGATTGTCGGTGCTGTATCCATGTACCGTATTGTCTAGTCGAAGTTGATTTAAGAATAGTCGAGATGTTTAGGGACAATTAAAATCAAAGGTGTATAATATGACCTAACGTAGCTTAGGTCTATTTCATGTCTTGAATTTTCGTCGTTTTTGACGAATTGGTAAGATTGTCACATGCTAAATATGTGCATAAGCTAGAAACATCAGAATATACTATAGCGCTCACAATCTACAGTCACTGACTGACTGAATCAGATTTTCAAAAAATGAATCGCGCCCAAGGGAGAGATGCCCCCGCCCCAATAGAGTGAGGGCTACTCTCGGAGCGCGTTGGATCATAAGGTCTGTCATTGAGTCAGGTGGCGTGGTTTCGATTCCACGCTTGTACGTAGGGTCGCCTGACCAACCTCGTGGGTTTTCTCCGGGTCATCGGGTTTCCTCCCACTGCTAAAGTCCCCTACGTGCAAGCGAATTGTTGAAGTAAGACTGAACCATATTTTAGTCTAGAAATGCCCTAGTTTGTGTCGAGTGGACGTTACACCCCCCAACCCCCTCTTGGTTGTTGCAGAAAATTAAAAGGTTAAACCTCATTTGAAATAGATACTATTAAAATGGCGTCATTAACTTTCATTACGAGGCGTATTCATATTCTATTTATAAGACTTGTTCTCTAAAGACCCACCCCTTTGGAACATATACTATTAAGAAATGGAATGTCAATAACCGCCTTTAATTTAAATTTATTAAATGTCTACAAAAAACAAAAAACCTTTCAAATAAATTTGAAATATAAATGAAAAGTTTATGTCACCATTTAACCCTTCTTACACAGAAAAATCAAATCTAAAGTTCTGCGTCAATTTGTCAGTGCTTTGTATTGTAATAGGGTTGCTTCATTCAGACTTGACTGTCGAGGTATTGATAAGGCATAATCACACCTTTCCTAATGAGACCACCTCGTCACCTGTATTTTTATAGATCATTATACAATATATTGTGGTGATTTCTATATTAAAGGTATATTAAATGGGGTGTTTATGTCTGTATTCATGACTTGTATACGTACTTATGTTCAAATTAATCACTTTATTAGGTGTTTATATTAAATACTCTCGCTTTATACACACGTAAATATAGTGCTAGGATAGCCATAAGCTGATCCTAAGTCGACATCTATTGCACAGTAAGCTGGCTAATCCTTAATTCTAATAAATTAGATTCGAAGACATAAAATGAAATAATAATATCGTAATAATATCGTCATTTATACAGCGCGTTAATACTGAAGAAAACAGTTTCTAAGGCGCTGTTGGTTTAACGTCCTACTGTTCTGCTCCTATTGGGCTAACAAAAACGGGCATACGCCATCCAGTGTGTTACGCGGGACATTTTGCCAGGACAGGCGGCGCTACGGCCTACTCTTATATCGAATTCGAACTGCCAATGGTTCTTTTACGTGCACGCCAATGTGTACACGGGATCTCGGGTTTTCGTCCCATCTGAGCAACTTTACGTAGAAGAGTAAGATTTATCGCCTTATATCGGTATGAGGAACCAATCTCAAAGTATTCCCTAAATCTAAAACAAAGAAATGAAAAATCGAAACATTATCGATGGATAAAAATCGAAGTGTTATTAAATAAACATAAACTTTTTCAATGGTTGAACAAATTTAAGGTATAAAGGTGGACAAGTTTAAGTAGTCGCCTTGATAGACAAATCTAAAGGTATTCCCAGGTGATCAAGTAGTTCTAAGATGATAAAATTAAAAGTAGTCACCCTGATAAACAAATCTAAAGGTTTTTGACAAATGAAAAATTCTGATGGTGTTTTGCAGAACAGTGCGTCCCAATAAAACAAAATCTAAAATTTAGCAAGTGTAAAAGAGTTTTAGAAGACGAAATCTTTGAACGGTTTCTATTCTCAGAATCAACAACTATTATTGTAAATGTGTTTCATTATAAACAAATGGAATATTTTTCTCCAGACAAACAAATCTACTAGTGTTCTTGTTCTTTTGAAGAAAACAAAATGTGCAGATCAACAACTGAATCTAAGAATATCTTCTCCAAAAACACAGAACAAATGCAGAAAGAAGTCATGTTTCGAGTATGGTTTTGTTCCTATTCAGAAATAAATTGACTTTTTTTAGCAACTTTATTTGAACTTGTCGATTTCACGACATGGGTTAATTATCTGGTTTTTATTTACCTACAGATTCGATCAACTGGAATTGTTTGTCCGCCGACCAGAACTCATTAATTTACCTGTTTGCAAGCCACTTACTGAATAAAATCAACACACAGCGTCCAGAAAACAAATTATTGTTTGTCGTCTGCTAGCAGGCGTGACCAATCAGAGCTGTGTATTATCCACAATCCACCAATCAGCGAGGAGATGTGACTGAGATCGTGAGCTGTCAGTGTGCTATCGATATCGAACTGTCGTGTATTTTTTTTTCTTCACGAATAAATGATTTATTCTGACATTATGTCACCGACAACAGGATCGAACGGTTTAACGCGCGCTGGTTCTTATATCGGCCACCATGGTTCGGCGGCCAGAATACAGAACCGCGGCGACGGGCACGCGCCGATGCCCCTATCCCATTCTACTGGAATATTATTAACTTCTGAAAATATAAACACAAAAATATTGAAAAGATCGCGAACAACAAATGGTTTCTTCGTTGACTTTGATTCGGAACTGAAACACAGAATGGAGTTTTTTCATAAAGAGGAATGTTTTTATACCCATGAAATGTATGTAAAAGCCGGAAAAATTTACGACGCTTTGAAACATGAAAGTGAGGAGGTTTTAATTGCCAAAAAGAGAGATAATTCTAATTCCAACGATGCCTTGAATCAGTTAGCACAGTTGGATTTTGAAAATGATAATGAAAAACGTCTCACATTTGAATTGTCGTTTTCAACGTTAAAATGTAAGTATATTTATATCTATTCATCACAAGTTCTGATGTAACTTGATATAGTTGTCTAAACTTGAAGACGGTCGGTGTCACACTCGGAAACAAATGTTTGTTTATTTGTCATTTATGTTTTTGCATATCTGAGGTCGTATACAAATGAATATACTTTATTTTTAAAACTCACCTGGTTGTATAGAATTTTTGAAAACCACAACAAAAATCCCTATTCTAATATGCAGTTATATCATAACATCACCTAAATAATAGCAGTAAAAGTAAAAATAAGCCTATTTAGGCCATTTCATGACCAGCTAAGTACTCGTTACGTTTTTTAAAGAAAGACTAGAGTGATAAAAACAAAACAGAACCCTACCCTTCACAACTCTATCAGGGTTAGACTCAGTCGGTTCTTAATATTATACTATACGCCATTTTGTTGTTAAACTTGTGAGTTATGTGAGAAATTACTAGAAATATGTTTATTTATTTTTTTATTTTTTTATTTCGCGTGATGAGACCAGATAAATAAAAGTGTTTTTTTTTTCATTTTTTTTTTTCATATAGAATTCTTGTATAAGTATGACTAGATTGAATGACTTATATAATAGGCCTTAAGCTTAAATCACTTACTTTTCCTAATATCAACCATACCGATTAAATAATGATCAATCAGCTGTTAAATAGGCTGTAATGACAAATCCTTACTACACCCTATTACAACGGAAGGGGGGGGGGGGGTATTAATATTAATTATTATAAAACCCGCATTGTTTTTAAAGCTACATATACGCACTGCAAATTACACGACACGGACTTCCGTTTTTTTTTATTGAAATTGCAAATTTAGGAGTGGTGTAGTGTATTTAGAATTAGTAAATCGGTATACTGAACTTCGTAATAACCGATCTATTTCCAAATAGTTCTTTGAAATTGATACCGCTTTCAAAATCGGCGAACAACCTTGGGGCAATGTTTGATCAGGAGCTAAACATGAAAAAGTTTATAATTAAAACATGCCGTGCTGTAAACTTCCATCTTTATAACATTGGAAAAATTAGACGGTACATTAATATAGGAACAGCCAAAATGTTAATGTAAAGCTTGACTATTGTAATTCCCTCCTTTACCAGATTCCTGTCTCGGTGCTAAATCCACTCCAACTTGTCCAAAATAAATCAGCGAGAATCATAACCAGAACGAAACAAAGTCAACACATAACCCCGGTCCTCAGGGATTTACACTGGCTTCCAGTTAAACAAAGGGTTGTTTTTAAAATATCTGTTTTAACTTACAGCTGTCTCCACTGTGATTTTGTATAATTTAAGTAACCTTACCAATAATATATCATGTGATAAGAATCTACTATGGTACCCTGAAGAAAGTTAAATCATGCTCATCGTGCAATCTCCCCCGCTGCTGTCATTGTTTGGAACTCTTTACCACAAAGTGTAAAAACAGTGACAATATAGAATCTTTTAAAAGGAACGTAAAAACAGAACTATTCCGACAGTTATTCTGTTAATGACTTTAATGATGCTGTAATTTGCGCCAATGAGCAGTGTTTTGGTTGGAATTCCAGCGCTATATTATTATTATTATCTGAGGTAAAGCTCTGAAATTAAAAACGAATTCGATACTGTTATTACAAAATATATAACACAGGCTTACATTTATCTAACGGGAGTTTAAATTTTAGGAGCGGCTTGATGTTATTAGGAAACACTAAATCGCTATGTCGAATTTCGTAATTACCGATTTATTTACAAATAGGTTTTTTTATTTAAAAGTTTTTTAGAAAATCAATATTATATCCGTTTTTTGTAATGGGAATTGTTAATTTAGGAGCGGTGTTATGTTATTGGGAAATACTCAATTGGTATATCGAACTTCGTAATAACCGAATTATTTACAAATAGTTCTTGATCGAAAACTTTAAAAGCGCTTAAAGAAAATCGAATCCGATACAGGTAATACAAAACACATTTATAACACAATCTTTATAAGCTGTGTGATGTTATTAGTGTATACCAGATAGAAGATTGCTATATATCGAACTTCGAAATAACCGATTTCTTTGATCTAAAAGCTCTTATAGAAATTCATTTTCGACCAAAAAAGGCATTACTGAAATTCATCAATCCATCCATCCATCCATATTAATTCGAAAGAGAAAAGAGTCCCATTAACACAAACCGCACTTTATCAATCATAAGAGTCACTTCAAGTTGGCAAATAATCGAAAGCCTAAATTATTTATGTATTGATAGAGATGATTTCCATTTGTTAAATAAATAAATATGACAAAAGCAAGGAGTGGAATTATATAAAATTCACGTTAAGGTAGTTGTATTACCCGGTAGGCATACTGATAAAGTCAATGTGGGCGATGTCATTTAGTGTATATAACTTACTGGTTGTATATAAACAGTTGTATTGGATAGTACATGTGTTATATGCAGACAGAGTAAAAATAATGTAAACAAACACTGTCATTAAAACATGATTTTATAGACAATTAAAAATATAACGTGCCACAGTAATATAGCCTATTCATTCAATACTCTAAACTAAGCTTCGGTGTATATCTGTGGGGTTAGGGATGGGTGGGGGAGGGGGTGGTCAAACGCGTACGTTTTAGATCATAAGGTCTATCATTGATTCAAATGTCGTGGTTTCGAGTCTACTTGTACGTGACAAGGGGTATCTCTGCTGCCCTTTTTAAAGTAGGAAATATTGTTACTGATGTCAGTTTCCAATAATTGCTTAGATATTGTATTGTATATTGTATTGTAGATCAGAATTTGTTTGAAGAGATAATTGATGAATGTTCTTTCTATAATCTCTATCCTGAGGTGAGTTGATCATGTGGTTCTTAATTCTATAGAGTTATAACTTGAGTCGACCTTAACGGAAAGGAATGGACATTTCGACCAATCTGAGAGTAACATACTGTTATGTTTCTTTGTATAGTTACTTGTGAAATAGTAGGACGGAGAATAGTGCCCAGATAGCAGCGTTACTCTACCACAACTCCTAAATGTCAATGGCACTTTTGCGAGCGGGTCTCGTTTCTTGTCCCATCCCAACTAATAGAACCAGACTTAAATACCCCCGAAGGTTTTTCTCGTCCCACCCCTAGATTCGAACCCTGGTGAGGCCAGTTTCCTACTCCTCGATTAGAACCTGGGCATTTTAGTCGAAAGGTCAGTGTCCTACTTCTGGATTGCATCAGCCCAATTTTCACTGAACCCAGCGACTTTATTCATCAGTCACCTGCGACTCAATATTAGTCACGAATCACAAGACAAGCATAAGTTGCAGCTACCAAAATGTTTAGCCGACATCATGTACATCTTGAGTGTTATTGTTTGTCTGCTCATCAGGCGGTGTACTCTGTTAATCATTCTTTTCCAGCTACGGGAAGACGAGGGTCTGGTAATGGTGACCCTGTGTGAGTTTCAGGAGAGGAAGTTCCAATATAGATCACCTCATCCTGGTGAAATTCAGAATCCGTTAGTGCAGCAAGTAGAACGAGCAATTATGGACACTAAAACAAAGCTAAATGCCGCTTTAGCACGTCACAGAATAAAAGCCAGTGCACGTTCTCTGGAGTTCCTTTTGCCAGACAATGTTAGAAAAAATGATGCAGTCAAAGAGAAGATGCCAGCATATTTTTGGGTGAACCAAATCAAATCAAGGTACCCAACTAACGAGAGAAATGGGGGTTTACCGTCCAGTCGACACAAACTAGGTCATTCCGGGACTAATATATGGTTCAATTTTGTTTCAATAATTCGCTTGCGCGTAGGGATTATTTACCAGTGGGAGGAAACCGGAGGACCTGGAGAAAACCTACTCCTTGTCACGTACAGCCGGGGAATCGAAACCACGCCAGTTGACTCAATGACAGACATTATGATACAGCGCGCACGTGCTAACAATTCGGCCATCTGCCCCACATCCCATCACAATAAGCATAGCAACACCATAGTCAGCACCAGCGTCTTGGTCAGCATCAGTAGCATTGTGGGAATCTGAAGCATCGGTATAAGCATCGCAGGAAGCGTTGGTCATAATTTAAGCATTTGTGGCATTGTGAGCACCAGACGTCTCATCAGCATCACAAGCAGCGTTATATATCGCGGACAACGCCCTAAGCATCCACAGAATCCCGAACACCATTATCAGTAACAACGGTATATCGTAGGACTCATAATTATAGCATAATTTTATTCTTCCAGCACAAGAATCAGAAACAAACCATTAGCTGCTCAAGCATCATTGTCATTAGCACTCGGTATAATAGGCGCCATATTCATTTGTTGGTTTGGTTTTTTTTTTTATTACAGTATGGATGAAGTGATGGAAGTTTTAAAGAATGACGGATATAGATGTATACCAAATGTTATTGATGGTGCACATGATGAAGATAAAGTATTTAGTGTTGATCATCATTGTCCAGACTTACTCGTCTTTTCTTCTCACTGGATAAGAGATCTGCAAAAGAATTATCTTATTACAGAAGGTCACCTAGTCAGACAGGTAGGCAACTTTTTGTTTTTTAACTACAGCAAATTGTCGACTCACGGTTTCCAACTACCCTGAAAGATTTAATTCCAAACGATTGCTATTTGACTATTGTGGAAATCACCGAATCCCAAAAATTGTCTGATTTGGAGAACATCTATTGCTATCTTTATTTTTTTTGGAAAAAAATTTAAAAAAAACCCTCATATTTTGGACCAAACTCGTTCCTGTTATTTGTTATTGTTTTGTTTTTTTGGACCTGGGCCCTTATTCACGAAAATTTAAACTAAGATACAATCGAAATTTTAAGAAATACTGCAATTCGATTGGCTGACCAGTAAAATCAATTTGCTTATATCCAATGAAGTTGCAGTATTTCTTAAAATTTCGGTTGTAACTTAGTTTAAGTTTTCGTGAATAAGGGCCCTGGAACGTAAATCGCTATACTCGTCTTGTTGTCCTAGATTGCTCGCTTGCTGGTCAATTTGTACGCCCGTACTTATATTTGTTGATTAATCATTGTATTGGGCAGATGGATTTTATTTCCACTTGTTCTATAGCCATTCAATTATTTACAAGTTTATGTTTCTTGATGAAACCTGTTAGCATTACGTTTGAGTACACTGTTGTTGTTAATACAGATGCTTATGAATGATTAATATGTGTGTTCTATAGATCATACTTGTAGTTTTTAGTTGTCTAATCTCTATTACCCAGAACCACATTCTATTACGATATCTAGACGAATATACAGGACATGGTGACATTGGGCTAAGAGTCGTCATTGTGACCAAAGCTACCATGGAGGCAGATCACCATTATTAAATGTCGCCATCTCGGTACCCGTAGTTCGTCTACTTATAGCATCTCTCTCTCTCTCTCTCCCTCTCCCTCTCTCTCTCTCTCTGTATCTCAAAAAGCATTAAGTCCAACGAAAATTTGATTCTAATCTTATTAACGCCTAGAAGGGGATAAAAATAACGAATCGGCCTATAAGGAGGTAAACGGCAACCCGTTTTACCGTTCGGGAAATTTATGACCTCCATCATATAAAGGGCCAATTACGGTATTTTCTTTCTAAACAATATTTATTCAAAGAAACTGGATTGGGGAACAGGCAGAAACCTATAGACCCCCTCTCCATGGTATGATGCGTAGGGCCTATGATTTAGGCCTGGTTATTCATAATAAAAAAGAAATTGTGCAGTTATCTCTACTGCCCCTGGATTTTTAGCTTTCGTGTGCGTGGTTAACCTATGTTTCGCTAGGGTAAGGGTTAGGTTCTTGTTACCTAACTCTATAACCCATGATGGAGGCCATAAATTTACCGAACGGTAAAATGAGTTGCCGATTTATTTCGTTATTAAAATCTAGGCGGTGATAATATTGGAATGGGTGGAATTTTACTACCAAGGGACAGTGGGAATACTTTCTTGGTTATAAATAATTAGTATATGTATGTAATAAACTATATAATTACATAGAGTCGTGGTGCTTTGGATCAAACACGTTCTATATCTGTTAACATAGTTACTAATCTGACACGTGGTTTCATCCAGTCCCACAGATCAATCATTAAGCGTCCTCTCTTTTCACTAGATCATGAACTCTTATGTTAAACAATATGTATTCATCACAAGGTTACAAAGTTTGAAATTATTGGTTTCATATCAAAGATTTACACAAAGATTTACCTTTATCATAACACGTGTCAGTCAGTCAGGAAGCTTCACGATTGATCACAATACATTTTCATTTTACAGCCAATCCTAACAGTTCGATGTTAATAACAACAGAATGCTAATGGAAAACGGAAATTTAACACCACGATTGAAAGAAACCCATAAACGATTCATAACCACAAAAAATATAGGCTATCCATAAAATTATAGGTTATCCATAAAATTGCTACGGCCTACTCTTATTTCTGTTTTCAACTGCCTGGGGGGGGGGGGATCTTTATCGTACTGCCATTAGGAATAGAGTTTTTTACTTACCAGTCCTTGCGTCCTCCGCCACTGACAAGGGGGAGGGCGGAGGGGTGCTAGAAAATCTCGAGGATCGAACCTGTTTAGTGAACCAGCGCCTAACTTAACTAGCCACTGTTGTTCACAGGATTAAACAGCTAAGAGCAGTTCAAATTTAACTAAAAGTAAAAAAGGCTTGACAGATGAAGACCAAAATCTAAAGAACATAATTCGTACCCAGTGATACACCTAGCCTAGCGTGCAAATTCATTCGTCCGCGTGCTCTGCACCATTTTATTCCGGTTATTTTTTTCTGTCACTAATGATGGTCGTAAAAAGACACTTTAATATCGATATATTTATAGGCCTATTACTAATCCATTCTGTCGCCATTGTCAACACAGTAACAATATCAGATTACTGATACCAGATAAATCAATATCTGATTGTTTTGTAAATCCAATCTCTTTTATAATTCACAGGACAAATCTAGCTGTTTGGCACCACATTCTGTTAAATATCTTCTTAACGACGATGATGACGTCATACACGTCAACGCAGGTTCCGGCCTCACTTCCGCCCATATTGCTAGTCTATTGAAACAATCAAAGAGCCATATCTGGACGTTCGGTGCTACAAGTGATTCAGAAGCCTATAACATACACAAGAACATTGAAAGACTGGAAGTTGGTAAACGTATCCTTTGCAAGTGACCAAACTGTGCCATTCTATTTTTCCCTTTGTTCTTTCTTGAGACATTTGAAAATGTTACGAATGCACATATTATGTGAAATATAAACGAACTGGATTTTTGTTTTATCAAAGTTTTTCCTCTATTACCACACTAATGTAAACGTTGCATTTTGTGACAAGTGCCTTATTTTCAGGCTTGTACCACTAGTATTAGGAATGATAAAATCCAGGAATAAATTTATTCCAGTCTATTTCCATGCAGTCGTTCAATGTGGAGACGTACATTCTGGGAAAAAGCTAAATTTTAAGGCTTCCAGTGAATAATATTTACCAATTATATCCTTTAATGATTATTCAGAAGTTAGAGTTGTCTCTGAACCATTTCTAGACGTAGAACCAGACGACTCGCGTTTTAAAACAGCACGTGTTGTCTTGGTAACTGCTTTTTGTAGTAAATCAGCAGTCACAAATCCTGTAGAATTTGTTGTTAGCGAAGGAGAAGGTAGGCAATATTAACTTATTTTCAACATAACATATCTACTTTTCCTGAATTAATTTGCTACCAATTGCTAATATGGATGGGTATATTAAAGGTGCTTGGTTGAAAGGATTTTAGGAGTGACATTACAAAAACCGCAGATGATTTGAAATAATTTAAGGGGTAACATTGCAAAAACCGTCGATGGTTTGAGAGGGAAAGGTTATATTTTAGTTTCATTCCAATACCACTTTTGTCATTTTGTTATTTGTGTAGAAAAAAACTGCTATTCCAGCAGATTTGTTAATACAGTACTGGTATACTACATTATTTATATTTTTGCATAATTTTGAATGATCCTGAAAACTGGCTTTACGCACAGTGCTGCATAATGTGCCTGTGTGACCCATTTTTAAGGCAGTCTATTTTTACCTTCCCACTTCTGACACCCTATTAATTTTTTCAATGTCTTTTTCTCACGTTTTAGATATGACCATATTAAAAGATTTATCTGTTGGTGAAATGGATGCAACTAGAATTGGTGAATTGATGCATCAACATACACTCATATTACGTCATGCCATGAAATGTAAGAATATCTTGACTTCTTAGTTTTACGCACTTCCTTCTTTAGGCTGTTTTGACTTATGGAATTGTTGAAGATACTCTTTTGATATATTTACTTAAAGATTTCGAGTTTACTTATCAAGGGCTAACTTTCATCTTCTTACAGGGAATATGGCACCGACTCGCTAACCAGAAAGTCCAGGGTATCGATCTCTATGTGTGTTCACTGATGAAGCTCCTAGGGATTTTCCAATTTGGCATGTCCTTGTCAGTATTGTAGGACTTGTGTGGTGGGGCGAGCGGGGCTGTCAAGCAAGAGAGTATAGTCGTTTGGATCCCGGGATCCCTTTTATACCATTTAACAGCCCAGCTCGTAAAAGAGCCCATGGCAGGGTAGGCCGTAGCGCCATTGTTTAGGCTAAATGTGGTCCTTAGCACTTTGCATTGCGCATGCCCACCATTGCGCGCATGCATGGTGCAAAAAGGTAATACTAAACCCCATTTCGTTTAGAAAATTATAATACATCAAAACCTTTCACTATTTTAGTTTCTAAGGTGCAAGCCGTGGTTTACATGACACGAAGTGTACATGAAGCTGAGAATGAGAACGTGGTACAGAAAACAGTTGAATATGTTAATATGATACAGCAGAGACGAATGCCTTATAGACTTGTACCTCCAGTCTTACCGTTTAGTGCTGATGAAATAGAGAATAATAATGGTATATGTGGTAAATACATGAAGTATTCACCATCCAGTTTTATGAATGGTTGTTTTGTTGCTGTTATAACAAGAGAGGTAGGTCTACCCTATTTCACATACACTTTTACTACATTGAAATGAGAACATTTTTCTAAATGTTCCGATATTTACGTCTTCGGGTCTTGAACCCATGCTACAATCTACATTTTTGCAAACAGTACATGCTAAGATTACATATAAAATTGTTTACTATTATGTTCTAATATATAAAAGGTACGCCACTAAAATATTTAACCCGGAAGTTATACTTTCAATCTGCCAGCGATTAGATCTAATCTAATTGATAAGGCCGATTTCAAGTTTCGTCAAAGGTCACGAGATGTAAACAGGGCTAGCGCTTATCCCAACCCTAACCCTGGACCTAGTCCTAATGCTTTCCTAAACCTAACCTACAATCTCTTTAACAATCACGTGCCCTAATGTTATTTGCATCTCATTAGCGACCTTGACGAAAATTGAACTGACCTTAGCGATTAGATTTAGCCGTACAGAGAATATATCTACTTCCGATCTAGAACATGCAATTGACGTGCATTCTATTAAGAGTATTTTTAGCCCGGAAGTTATGTTCAAGTTATACAGGATGATATATTTATATAGTAGTATATCGTTGGGGTCTACTCGTTTGGATGAGAGGAGAAACCGGGGTCACGTGTACACGTTGGCAGGAATGTAAAATAATCCGTGATAGTTATTTGAATTAAGAGTAGGCCGTGGTCAGCCCACTGTTGTTAGCAGCTTTACTTGATGTGCTAGTCTGTATTTTAATGGTGACCTTTCTGGGGCTCAGTATTCAATCCGTTCTATGTTCATATTGCTAATTCTGTCCTATTGTCGGTTACATCAGCAATATAGCCGTCCGGTTGCGGTTTGTCAAGTTGGATTTTTGTCGCAGAGTTGAGTTTGTGTTCATTTTATTCCACGCCAGACTGCTTATTTGTTTTTAAAGATCTATCATTAGAAATACGTTAGTTTCATCGCAAAAATGCTCATTTCTTTGCGGGAAAGCATATGTATCATTGTTCTGACACAAACCATCTTTTTTTTTCTTTTTTTTTCTTTTTTTTAACAACTTAGAAAGAATTGTGTAACTGCTTTTATGTGTAACAAGTTCCTGTTGTATTTCTCGACCGTGATTAAAGTACTTATGATTAAATATTAATAAGATCGTTGATGATATAGCAAAGCTTTAAGCCTGTTATAGACCCCATTCGTTTATTATTGATGATCCCAGTCCGGCAAATATCTGACCTGATGCTCGCGATGCTTAAATTAGTTATCAAGAGAACAAACGAATGTGCGTCTATAATTGCTTTATTTTACACTGAACAGGGTGTGTTGCATAAAGAACAAAACAAAGGGTAAATTTGTATGAAATAAAAAGCAAAACCTGTGATAAACTCGACCCGACCCGGCGTTGACCGAGAAAATTCATCGGATTTTTCCAGCGTGGTCCCCCTTTGCCAGAGGGCTTGGCAAAGGACAACGTACAGTTGGACGAAAAAGTTGGTCCCGTGTACACATTGGCGTGCACGTAAAAGAACCTCTCCTGACATTTGGAATTCGAGTAGGTCGTAGTGCATACTGTATTGTTTGGGTATGCTCGTCTTCATTATCCCAGTTTGTGCGGAACAGTAGGTCGTTAGATTACATTTCATTTCATTGTTTGCGCTATACAAACTAAAAATATAATAACAAATTTCTTGACACAGGTTTCCTGTTTAATTTCTGAACGTCATATGAGCATTTTGTTCGGATGGATGAGTTTGCTTTGTATACCTGTAAAAATCAACTTTTAAACGTTTGGACTTTAAATCTATTTCTATTTCTCTTTAAAAAAAAAGTAGGGAATATTCAGAAACAATACAAAACTGTGGAAATGCACTGCTGTTTTTATTAGAGATAACCAGTGTATGTTAATAACAGGCCAATTGCTTACACATGAATATAAACAGTTCATATGGGCGGCTATCTAACAGCCCCATTTCACTCACAAAGAGATACACTGTCAAAACTGAAAATGGACGTTTTTGATTTTTGTCTTAATAATGAGTAATTGCTCCACCAATCCTCAGACATTCAGCAATTCGTCGTGGCATGCTCCTAATCAACCGTCCAGTCACGATTTAGGGCGATCTGACCCACTTCGCTTGCAGTGCCACGGCCAATTCTTGGCCAGACATGCTCTATAGGGGAAAGGCCAGGATTCATGGCTGGCCAAGGCATATGGACAGTATGGTGACGCTGGAGGTAGTCATTCACGACACGATCGCGGTGGGCACGGGCATTATCTCTTCAAAGATGAAACGTCGACCTGCAGGTTGAGCAAAGGGCAGAACTATCGGTGCCAGGATGTGGTCACGGTAGTACACACCAGTGACCCTTCCTTAAACAATATGCAAGTCCGTTCTGCCAGTCATGGCGATTCCTCCCCACACCATAACAGGCCCACGCCCGAATCTGTCATAGTGTCTGACGTTAACGCTAGCATCACGCTCATTTACACGCCTCCAAACGCGAGCACGCCTATCGGTGAAATCCAGAGTAAATCTGGACACATCTGAGAACATTACACGCGCCCATCGACGATTACCCCGATTTCTACGCTGCTTACACCATTGACGCCTGTTTGCCATGTGCTGGCGAGTTAATGGAGGCACAACACGCGGTCGTCGCGCATGCAAATGGGCTGCATGTAGCCGATTTCTAATCGTTTGGGGGTGTAACTCGAATTCCTGTAACTTGGTACAAGTTTACAGAAAGCTGATTGGCCGTTTGTCTTCTATTTCGCAGGACCTGTGTACGAATGTATCGATCCTGGGCTTGTGTAGTGGCTCTAGGACGACCTGAACGAGGTCTGTTATCAACATTGTGTGTTTGTTGGTACCGGTTCCACAGTCTGCTGACCACAGACTGTGATACATTAAGCATGTTGGCTACTGCTCGCTGCGTAGAACCCATTTGAAGCATGCCAATAACTCGTAGACGTTCATCATGATGAAGACGTCTCATTGCAAATTAAACTAACACACTAAAGCAAAGATACGCTGAACAGTAAATCTTATGCACGAACCGATAGGAAAGCAAACATGGATAGGATAATTGTCAAATTTGACAATGAACCCCTCCCACGTGTATGGCGCTATTGCGTGTCGCGTGTACAGCTCAGTGGTTCTGTTGGGACGATAAGTTCTTCATCTGTGAACATACTCTCAAAGAATGTCAAGTTTCCATGACTATTTATCATATCAAAACCTGCATAGGTATTTGCATTTCAATATCCCCTTCTTTTTTTTTTTGGAAGATTATATATTTATATACTCAAATAAAATCAAGAGAACTTATTGTCACCTGGTTTCAGTTTTAAAATAGGCATCAGTACGATATTTTTCTGATGCATGTTATCTCTTGTTCTGGCCGCGTTACTGTACTCAGAAATACATATGTATGGTTCTGGTCGAGGCTCTATCTCGAACAATGATCAACGGTTATACGTGACCATTGCTTTATTGATCTGCTTTCCAGCCGGTGGGTCTTTCAAGGGGAGCGGTTTCCATTCCCGGGTAGTATGTGACAAGTCGTAGGTCTTCACACAGTCCTCCGGTTTCCTCTGACTGCTAAAGACTCCTACGCTCAAGAGAATTATTGAAGTAAAATTAAACCATACGTTAGACCGGAATGACCTAGTTTGTGTCGAGTGAATGTTTACGCCCCATCTCTCTCTCTCTCTCTCTCTAACTGTTTTATTTTTATTCGTTTATTATTTTACAGCCAGAAGAATTGAAAGAGACGGCGAAAGATGTGATAGCTCGCGCTGCTGCCAAAGGACTACTTGGAAATAAGTCGTCTAAAATAAAAAATCATGATGGACAAAATGGAGACGGTACTGAGTGTGTCGTTAACGGTGGACACCCAGAAGAAAAACTTTTACGTAAACGCTCTCGTAAAGGGTCTAAGCGGATGAGAGGAAGTGTCAGCTTGCCCGTGAATAATGCATTAAAGCCTCTCGCTAGTAGTCCAATACAGCTTTATGTTAAAAGATCGCCTACACGGGTCAATGCCTTCGTCTCACCAACCCGTTCAACAGATAGACTTCACTCATCGATATCCCGAACATCATCAAAACAGTCCACTGCCGAGAAAAACAAAGGTCCGGAACATGTACGTGTGGTTAGACATCCGGCACCCTTTAGGTGATGTTACACGGCATGTTTTACAATCACAGCGCATGCTTAAACTTAAACCACACTTGTTACAAAATATAAAACACTTTAAAGACAATAATAAATGTCCGGCATGGTTGTCGAGTCGCATTATTTTAGTGGAATATGGATCGTATATTTTAATGCTAATGCTAACACGCATTTCTACTTTCATTTTATATAGACATTTAACTACTAGTATTTTTACACACATTTTATATTATTTAAATCAGAGCGGATACCATAAAAAGTAAAACTCGTAATTATAATCAGATTTAAAACCTTGAAAAAAATCTATATTTTACACACATTTTCTAATTTTTCTAAACATTCCGGGATTCGCTTTTCTACTATTATTACATACAGTTTTTATTATTTAAATCAGAACGGATACTATAAAAAAGTAAAATTCGTAATTATTATCAGATTTAAAACTATGAAAAAAACTGTATTTTAATCACATTTTCTAATCTTTCTAAACATTCCTAGAATCGATGTAAGTGAACTATTAATCACTCCTGGTTAGGCTTAGATTGTTAAAGATACGCCAAAATTTCCCCGAGTAAACTATGTATTCTTCCAGGACAACAAATGGGATAAAAAAAAAGTAGTAACTTAGCTCTTGATTTTCTTTCTTTAAATCTTTACCCGCCAGCATTACAACAAAGATCTGTGATATATCATTTTTTACAAATAAATGTGCATGAAGATTTTGCTCAGCAAAAACATATATATATAATTTGTCTTTTTAGAAATCACTTTTGTATGTGGATTTTGTGAATGGCAATGTTTGTATGAATTGAAATACAATATGTGTGTGTATAGTCTGGTTTTAGGATTATTTATTGTATGTTTTTAGGGCTATGTGGTATTTAATAAATTGTTAACTGTCTCTATCACTGCATGATTTATAACTACATTGCATATTGAATAACCGACCGCATTACGTTATTTTGAGCCGCGAGGGCCAAGTGGATAAGGCGCTGGTTCGCTTACCAGCAGATCTCAGGTTCCCTCCTGGTGATGACTTAGATCTTAGGTTCGCTGATGATGATGACTGGGATCTCAGGTTCGCTGCTGATGATGACTGAGATCTCAGGTTTGCTCCTGATGATGACGGAGTTCTCAGGTTCCCTCCTGGTGATGACTTAGATCTTAGGTTCACTCCTGATGATGACTGGGATCTCAGGTTCGCTGCTGATGATGACTGAGATCTCGGGTTTACTCCTAGTGTTGACTGAGAAAGTTCCTCGGAATTTTACGACGTGGTTTCCCCTTGTTATTGTCGAAGAACGGAGGATCGGCAATGAACAGCGTCTATTAGTTTGGAATGGATGATAAACAGAGGTCCTGTACACACGTGAGTGTGCACGTAAAAGAATCCCTGGCAGTTGGAATTCGAAATAAAGTAATTTTGTTAGTCGGTTTTGATTCCACTACAAAAAGCATTCGCGGCAAATTATCAAATATGCCCCTGGGTTGAGTAAATGCTATTACCGTTCCCATTACATTCGCAAAATATATGGGTAGATGCCAGAGACGATTTGCTATCGTTTATGATTGCGAGCTAGGGTTTAATAATGTTTATAATCATTAATTATCACAGCATAATAATTTAGTTTAAATTTTGCAAAGTAATTATTTCACTAAATGAAGGGTACGCATGGGTACGTCACGGATAGTGATTTGGAAGTACACTTCTAGAATTGGAGAATGTTTCATCAAGAATGTTATTTGCAACTATATAACTGCACCATCAGGTATACGTTTATATATATTTCAACTGTTATGGTGATTTCTATTAGTATAGTACATGTATTTGTGTACTTCAAGAGAGATAATTTAATAACCGTTTACAAATTTCAAACTACAGTATAAAGTAACAGTTTGTCATCCAAACACTCAAGGGTCGTTGGTTTCAGGGGGTGGATAAATAAAGGGGGATAAAACAATTTTATGCAACACCTTTTTAAATACCTAGTATTTGCTAACTTATCGCACACGACCACTATTTGTAATATCAACTAATACACGATTTACTATTTTATTGTTTTATTAGGAGATATAAATAGAGATTCGACGAATACAGGAAACAAAAACTCAATCAGCGTCTGAAGTTCCTGCGGTGGATTATTTAATTGTTAATGACATGCCAGCACAATTAATGGGAAATAAACAAACCTGGTGTGAAGGCCAACTGTTTAAAATAAACAACCACTGTGTGTAATAGTTTACTATGTGTAACGAATAGTCTGGTGTTTATGCAAAATTACGAAGAAAAGACAACAGGATATTTTTATATAGACCTAAAATAGGATTGCCAAAATTAAAATGTGTTAATGTTGAGGGATTTTGAATCCGCTGCAGACTACAATATCTTGGTCTAAAAAATGGTTCAATTATATATGGTGAATTGAAAATTTCGAAAGACTCTGTACAGACAAAATAAACAAGCCATCGCCATATATACGTTATAGGGTAAACTATATAGTTTGATGGATCTATCGTTGATATTATTGGTTTTTGTTTTATTATAGGCCCTATTTTAAATCAAATGTTAATTAATCAATTTGAGTACATTTTGGCATGAATAAAGCCGTTACATATTACATATTTTCTGAAAATGCAGAATCAGGATTAGCGACTGCAGTGGTTTGTATTTAGAGATGATTATATTTAAAGGACCTAAGTCCGTAACTCAAAATCTCCAAAATCTTCGACATCGAAAACACGAATTATTGGTCAATTTAAATCAACATTGATGATGTAAACTTACCGGGAAAAGATGAGACTCTGATATCCGATATTTAAGATAAAATATATTTTTTAACATTGGTACACGAATCGTGTACCATAATGCGCTTCAGCCCCAGTTGGACGAGGCTAGACACATTGCACCAAATCAAATGGAGTTATGTAGACTAGAATAACTAGACGCTAGAAATTTGCACTCGATTGAGATTGCTGACTTATTTCGCCGAACATAACTGATTTGAAATTGGAGTAAAAATGAAAACCATTAAATGTAAATCAGTTTATATACATTCATATTACAGTATTATATGCGTTGCGACCCACTTTTGTGAATTTCTAGGTCCCAAATGTTAGCGATTTAGCTGTACTCAGTGAAGTTTACTTTCATTTTACTTGAACTAAGATATTTGCCCGAAACGTATTACACAAAAGTCGACATTATTTCATAATACGGCTGTTTATTGAAGAATTTCTAAAGGCTGGGATTTGAATTACTGTTCGGAGGAACATTAATCGTATCTATAATAATGGATTGTGGTGATCTCATCCGAAACAGTTCGGCACTATTTAATTCGACACATTTATGGATAGAGCGTAATATCTTCAACACTGTCAACCATAAAAAACAATAGAAGGAATTAATGAATGATTCAATGACATATTCCGATAAATGGAGGGGGGGGGGTACCGACCACTTCATGGAAGATTGGGACACAACGATCCCCATTTCGCTGGTAGTCAAGCTGATAATATTGTAGTAATTCTGCAATTAACTACATCCCTACCAAAATAGAGTTATAAAATGGAATATTTAAAGTACGTTTATTCACAGTGATAATGTTTATTTATATTCAAGATAATAAAACATCTAACACCCGAAATTTACAAAGGTATTATTGAAATAAATTATGAAATCTGTATTTGACATGAGGCATTATTTTATGCACGTCTGAGATCATACCGACGATAACACAGCAAGCTTCCATATTTGCGTGAACTTTTTACTTCAAATTATGACTTAACACTACGCATGTTTCGCTGAAGAACGGTAATAGTAAGTACTGTACTATTCTGTTTATAGGACACAGTTATCCCCCTTGCTCGTAAACCGAAAGGGGGTGCTCGATTGAACGTTCCGGAATTGAATTCTGTCAAACCCAAAAATAGTGACCAATGAGTGAAAATGAGATTTTGGCCTAGAACGCATGCGCTGACTGCATGAAAAAATATCTAAACCAACCATGACAGCTGAAACATATTCATTAGGTTTAATTACGTCACGATTCTACTCACACCACCTCTGTTGTCGGGACTGACAGACCTGTGACAGGACTGAATTCCGCGTCACTCGATTGGAATTCCGTCAATTCGGAGCGTCCCGGACTGACAACCGAGCACCCCCTATATGTTGACCCTGGTTCCAACGGAAAATGGATGCATTGGACTCGATAGATTACTTACTTTGTCATATCGATATACTTCCCAGTATTGAAATGTAATGACATGTGGTTTAACGTCCTATTGATATACTTCCCAGTGAATCAAACACACCAAACCAACATCGAAATAACATTGTCACGTTTCCATCACGTTATCGTTAAGGTTAGTGTTATTAACGGCCTGAGATGTATTATGATATAACAGATCATTACTCTACAGAAAGTTCCGACAGTTCCATAACATCATGACAAGCTAAGAACTATGTTCTGCAGATCATTACGGAAGAGACCAGAAATGGACGGAGATTATTTTGTTATAAACCTAGTCTATAACAGATCACAACTTTGCGCAAGGCATTTAAACATTAGCACAGTTTGTAATGTACCATAACATTACAGAAGTATATGTTACAGATGTGTTTACGTGTCTTAAGACATTTTGGTATAACACCAGTCTGAGGCATTTTGTTGCATAACCCTAGTTTACAACGGGGCATTACATTACAAACCTTAAGGCATCTTGATTGCAACCCTAGTCTCTAAGAGATTGTTGCCTCATCTTGATATAACACCAGTCTGTAATAAACTATTACTTTGCTGTACGGGCCGTCCCAAGGCATCTCGGAACCACACAGCTTCTATAGATAATAATCGTGCTACGAGGTGAGCTTCCATAGCTATCAATCCACTAACACTGCTCTGGGCGAGTCTCTTTTATGCATACTTTCTTATCAGTGAGTGGGTAGAATTTACGGATAATAAAAACAACTTTCTTTCTTTAAACAATTAAATATAATCACCGTAAAAAAATGAAAAGATAAAATTTACAATATTTAAGCATTCATTCTGTCAAAGACATTTCTATAAGTCTATAGAAGGGAGGGGGATACCGATTTTACAGCCTAGACGAAAATCAGTACAACGTAAATGAATAGGCCTATTTACAGGAACTAATTAAATAACAGGTTTGATATAATTATAACAACATAAATTAGTATTTACATTTAAATAAACATATACCGCGGCTAAATTTGTATTGGGAATGACCAGAGCAAAAGGAGGTCAAGTAGAGTCGACACCGACACCGACCACGCCAAGCTGGAAAATTTAGAACAATGCATATTTCTCCAAAATTATTAATTGACACATATTAAAAGCTTATCCAAGATATAAATAAATATCTATGCTTTTAAAATTAATCCTAATTCGTCGTCACGATTCATGTTTGTTTATATTAATGCAAGAATTATGGGATTTATTGTGGGAAGGGGCGCAACTCTTACTTGGCTTGACTAAAGAGACTGGATAATCAACCGGACACAGATCACCAAATATTCCTACGCCGTCACCCACGAAACAAGGGCCAAAGCTATTTTTAGTCTTCCTCTCCCTTTTCCTTTTTCCCCCTTTTGCATGGCGATTTTTGTTGACTTTTTGGTGTAGAATTGAGGAAAAGGGTTTGAAAATACATTTTCTGCCAGGTTTTGGTGAATATTCATAATTTTGATGCGGAAGGATACAAGAGTTGAGAGGTTGGTTACGTTGAAATGTAGGGCCTGAAATTGCATGTTTACTTGTCTCTACTTCCAGCTTGTGTATCTCAAGTTTTTCATGAAGAACCTCATACGTGCTTTTGGGCAAGTGGTTGCCACATGTTGCTCCATCTGTGGTAGAAAGCGTTCTACCCAACGAAAATTTGGGAAAAAGTTAGAGCCGGTCTAAGATACGAGAATTAACATTGGAGTCAATGGGGCAATCTTTAGTGATCTGTGTCCAACCACATTAAAAACCAAACTCCCGGTTACGCATGGGCAATGGACTTTACGTCAAATGGATACAGATCACTAAAGATTTCCCATTGACTCCAATGTTAATTCTCGTATCTTAGACCGGCTCTAACTTTTTCCCAAATTTTCGTTGGGTAGAGCGCTTTCTACCACAGATGGAGCAACATGTGGCAACCACTTGCCCAAAAGCACGTATGAGGTTCTTCATGAAAAACTTGAGATACACAAGCTGGAAGTAGAGACAAATAAACATGCAATTTCAGGCCCTACATTTCAACGTAACCAAACTCTCAACTCTTGTATCCTTCCGCATCAAAATTATGAATATTCACCAAAACCTGGCAGAAAATGTATTTTCAAACCCTTTTCCTCAATTCTACACCAAAAAGTCAACAAAAATCGCCATGCAAAAGGGGGAAAAAGGAAAAGGGAGAGGAAGACTAAAAATAGCTTTGGCCCTTGTTTTTTACACTACTGGTACCATACAAAATTTGGAATGGACTTTGACAAATAGTTAACGAAGAATTTGAAACGAAATATAATAAAATTGAAAGCATCGAAAAAGGACGTTCATCACAAACACGATTAATGCACAAGCGTAATTTTTGTGTATTTTTTCTAATCTTCGTTGTTGAATAAGTAAAGACAGGGCTCTTGTTGGTTGTTAACATTACTATATTCTTTGGTTAATAAATAATCGACATGAATTTCAGCACACAATTAATGTAACAAATATTGGTTCAATGCTAAATAGTAGATAAACTTCAATATGGGAATAAGGTCTATCCTTAGGAATGTGATCTTAAGTTGATCTCACTCATTTGGGTTTAAATATACCATGGTAACTAACACGCCTTAGCCCGTAGACGTTAATTAAAATTTATAAGATCAATTTAAAGTGTAAAACAAAGAATACTGGAGACAGGTGATTAAGGAAATATGTAAGACAATATGAAATAGATAAAAATGGGGGAAATTAAGCTGCATTAAGATCCATTCAAATAAAGTTTACTGAAATATACTGTGCGGATTGGCACGACGTATTAAACATTTACTATTGGGTCAAAATTCACCCTACTACACTACTTCATTTACTGGTGATCAAACGTTAGGTCTAAAAATTGTTACAAATATCACAAATACAGTTCTACATGAGTTTAATATGTTTCTATAATTGCTTTTATAGAAGTATAAGTTCCAGTCAGCAAGCTGAGAATTCCCAAGAGTACCAATAACACGTCTTTAACAAGAATCCACTTGGGTAAGGTTTCATTTTCAGCTGTTAATGTAATCACCTCTATCGTTGCTGGCATAATGATAGCCAGAGAACTGACTGAAAACGCACCAATTAAAGATATCAATAACTCCAAATCTGGAACAGCAGCAGCACAGATAACTGAAACAGATAGATAATAATTAATACAACATAATTTAATAATACACATTGCAGCGTAACTGCCTAACAAAACACAGAACAAATGCGTATGCAGTAAATAAATAATCCAAAATGCCTTAGTGAACCACGCAACAATCACAACTAACTAATAAAGATATTTTATTTGAAAATAAAAGTAATGAGAGTCCGACAAAAATTATTCTGCTAATAAAGATATTTTATTTGAAAATAACAGTAATGAGAAAGCTACTTCATTGGGATCGCAGATTTTGTCACGGATCGTGACAGTGCACTCTCAATCAAACAGATATAAAGTTGTCATGATAGTCTGATGCGTTATAGTGTCAAGATGAAGTACTACTTGCTGTTTATCTTGGATTCGGCTTCGTGTGCTTATAATGCTTACATTATATTTGAGCTACGCCAAACTCAATCTAATTTTTTTTCAAGCATCTTTAGCACTAAAATTATCCATTAAACTGTAGTCCACGGGAAGGTTTACAACGCCGACATGCCCAGGGTAGGTATACTACCACTATCAAGAAAGGACCTTTCTGAAAACAACTCCTTGGCTCAAACCGCCCCCGACGCACATGGAATTAAATACAGGGGTGACTAACGCCCTTTCGAACAGCAAATGTGTTCGTTTGATAAGTATTATAACTATATAGTACTAACTTACAGGTAATGAGTACCAGTCCAGTACGAACAAAATATTCCCCAAATCTCTCAAACCTTGTGTTTTCATATTTAGAATTAAAGAATGGTAGCAGAAGTTCAGCAGGAACGTACATCTGGACACCATAAGATATAGCAATACACAGAGCAAACATTAACTTTACTGATAAATATAACCTGTGATATAAACAAATTTATTTAAACTTGAGGTACCATCTATTTATATAATGAGAGCTACTCGATTCTGGGTGCCTCCGTTAAGAGTGGAATCATTCACGATATAATGATATAATAGAGGAATCGTGCACTAAAAGGAATCCGTACTAACGCATTCTTAAGTTAACGCTTGTGAATGGGCACCTAGACACTTTATAAACGTTGATTCGGATGGCTGCCTTTATACAAATATCAAAACAGGTGGGCTTCCAAATTACATAAATGTTATAAGATGGTTTAGAAAACTACAGCATAACAAGTACTAATTACTAAATACTGTTGATTTCGGAAGTTATTTATTTTATTTTCCTTTAAAGTTCGACACCCACTTTCCCTTTGTAAAAGAAATAAAATTAATGAGGGATATTACAAAGTGTTGTTTGTCCTTGCAGATAGGTGGCGCTGCGTACGTTTCGGTCCCGCGCGTAAAAACGGCTCCGTTAATGCTTTCGTTGACGCTCTATTGACGCTAAGCCTATTATACTTTTTCATCATGAAATATTATGGTAATTGGACATTTTCCAAGCTTACAACTGAATTAAAATCCAGAGGTGCAAGAGTATCTGGTCGAAAAAGATAACTCGTTTAAAGGTATGGTAAAATTTAACGTTTGAACTACTACTGGGTATGACTCATCAAAACAAAAAGGCAAAGCCCATGGCGCACTGCAGACGGCTAACACCGTAGTAACCTAAACGGGACTGCAAACAACAAATATCAATTAGAACGGGTTTCTAGAGTGTCTTTTTATTTTTATTAATCGAATCAAACATTTTTGACATATTTTATCGCGTGGTTCCTAGCTTATTTGAATAATGAAGTGTTCTCCGGGATTTAACTGTAAATTGCGTCCCTTCTAAAAGTTCCCTGATTGTCATGTCGATTAGACCATGAAAACATTCAATCATTTTAAGCTTTAATGACTTATTAAAGCTAAACGGAAATCGAAATGCTGATGTTTACAGTGAACGATTGCGGTGATGTTCGTTACCATTGGTCATTTGGTAAATTGAGAGTTATGCTGCCTTTAGCGTCATCGCCATATTTCAGATAACCAAGGAAACCAACTGCTGTATAGAGACAGGAAACGGTAACCATGCCACGATTCAAAACGCCACGCAGTCCACCAAATGCTGGCGGATGACGCATTTTATTTACTGTTGGTAAAACCTGGTTATATAAAAAATAAAACAAAAACGATTTTAATTCTGGCCAGGAATGGCTATCAATATATAATGAAAATCTACAGCCTTTATGGAAACTCTTGAATGATGCAATGGAATGAAATGAAATGAGGTTTAACGGCCTACTGTTCTGCTTCGATGAGCTAATGGCCAATGAAGATGCACTAGCCCTATTATTGTTATATTTACTATTTACACCATCTTTACTCCATTAATATACATAAAATTTAAAAATAAATTTAAGATTTACACACAGGGGCCTATATTTCGAAACCTTAATATAGTTATAATATTATGTTTAAGCCAAAACTGATTAACTGGCTTACTATAAATATTTCGAAACCTAAATCAAAGGGTTCGAGAGATAAACTCTACAATCTACATTACCAAGTTTATTCCTTCAAAAGCGAAGAGAGCTGTTCCAAAATATAAAGGCAGATGACTCCATCCAGTAAATGCTGGTCTTGAATCGACGTTTGGTAATCCTTGTGTCACGTGATATATTATTATAAGCAGGCCTGTGGCTGTAACAAGGTTAGCAAAAGTTGAAAACACTGATAACGACCGTAAGTTCTTCACAAAGACATATGGCACCAAAATGGCGGCAACCCCAACTTCATAAATCCTAATAGTTGGGTCGTTCGGATAAAAATGATTGATGACCTATAAGAAAAGAAATAGAGAATTCGATGCATCTGTCACATGCATACTATATATAGCACTAATATCCACAAGCGCCTATAACGTGGAATATCTTTCCCAATAGCATAACTGGTCTGAACTTGAAAACTTGAAAACCCTGATAAAGACTTTAACTCCTTCTTCACAAAGAAATATGGCAACAAAATGGTGGCGACTGCAACTTCATAAATTCTAATACTTGGGTCGTTGGGATAAAATTGATTGATGACCTTTAAGAAAAGAAATATTAGAAAATTCATGACATCTTTCTTAAACGTCGGAATGCTGACACTGTTGCTGTCGATAAAGCTACATTCCAAAACAAAATGCATTTTCTTCTTGGCAACGCTATATTTGAGTTCAGGGATCGAGTTAATACAGCCAAAGATTGATTTGCCAATGGGAAATGTACATTTATATTATGAACACATTCTTACATATGTATAATATTTAGACTTTCAGCTACGTATGATCAGATTTGCTTTTATGGTTATGAAAGTCGAACATAAATATATAAACGATATAAATTAAAGAAAGAAACCAAAATACTAATTTAACGGTTAGCGCTTTCTGTTCGTACTGAACATCTTCACGACTTCAGGCCATTTTTATATATGAAGGATTACGTAGAACAATATACGCAACGTCTATTAGTAAGTGCAAGGGGACTGCACCACACAAAATTTACACAAAAACAAATACACGGACAAGACATCATACTCAGGAAAACACAAACAGACAGACATGAACACGTTCTTGCGTCGATGGTCGAATTAAACAGCAATCCGGAAATCTGGTAGAGCTAAGTCACTAATGTAGCACCATGGGCCTTCTGTCAGACGTGAAGAGCGGGAATTGCGAAACCGGTCGCCACATCCTACGCACGACCCATCCATCTTTTCTTACTACATATTTTAGTAGCCTTGTGATCGTCTAGAATTTGTCTCTGGCTGTTTTTACTTCTGCTTCACGTTGTGTTTTTACTTCTTAATGTTTTCTTAAGACGTTTGTCTTACCAGGAATAACAATGCAACGGTTCGTTTTTACATTTTATATATGGTACAATGCATAGTAGAATAAAGACATTCTCGCTAACCTGCTCGCATGCGGCGAGTCTGCTGATTGAAATTCCTACATCTTCTCCCTACGAGAACCACATGGCTGTCTACCCTAGGACGCACATTCTATTATATATTCTCAGATGAATACCCATTAATTATTCTATTGGCTAATTATGATGTAATTAATCACGTGATTGGTCAAACTAAACCAAATGACGCAATAGGAAAATTTCCAGTCACATGTTTTTTGACACAATCTATCCTTGAACTTAGACCCTCTTTCCTGTTATTCTCACACTACTTCATAAACAATTAATTTGCGTTTTAAATAAGCTCATACCATAGGTAATATACTGACTAAAGGGAGTAATTTTGTAAAGATACAAATATTTTTAAACCATCCTATATCTCTATTCCTTGTCTATAAATTTAAAAACAATTTCGCAACGACGACATTACTACACTAAATAATTACTACCGAAGACGAATTTGTTATCTCCGGTACAATAATACAGTTACAAATGAGTTTCCGATTTACACTCCTCTCTCGCTTAAATCCACTCCTCCCTATTAATATAGTATAATAAATTCCTATTAGCACCATTTAACACCTTTTCAAGTTCGATGACTTGAACCTTTGTGATTGACACATCTGTGGTCGAAACGACGGTCTACTACTTTATTGTTATAATATAGGTAAACTAACCTGTTTGATATTTGTAGAAATAAAGACAACATAAACACTACAACCACCACATTGTGTTATAATGATAAATGTTAAAACTATATATCTGAATTAAAGATAAACAAGAGTTGCCATTAAACACAAATTGCTTGAAAAATATAACACAATTTAAATTTATAAAAAAAAAAATGTATTTTATATAATTGTAGCTGACATTTATAAAATTTATTAGTTGCAAAAAAAAAACCCTGTAAACATCACAAATTCGACATTTCACTATTAACATAAAATATATTTGGCTTTTGTAGCAATGTGCGCCGCAGGTTACATGTGGAAAGTCAAATTGGCCTGAAAACTCTCCACTGTCTACAGATTTTATTAGCCTTGATGATTTGTCTCTGGTCACCTTTTCAATTCTGTTGTTAGGACTTATTTTACGTTGTGACATTACAGCTTACTATCTCAGTAGTTAAAACGTTTGTCTAACAGGAACAGCATTGCAACAGTTCGTTTTAACATTTTATATCAGGCACTGGTACATAGTCTACAAGCATAGATTACAATAAAGTCAGTCTCTATTCTATCAACCCCACCAGCTCGCAGCACGAGTTTACTGACGGAAACCCTACATCATATGGCTCTCGTCATATGACTTAATTCTGAATCCAGGCCAGATGGCGTCTCTTTAACCTCAACGATATCTCCCAACAAACTTACATGATATATCTCTCTCAAGAACCAATGCGTGTCTCCTCTCTAAGAATCGACATTTGAGTGCGTGATATGTACTATGAATATTGGACCAATAATCAGTCAAGGACTTAATATTAATGTAATACCATTATTAATTTAAAGAGCAAAAATTCTACCAATCTTACTACACTTTTTCCATAGATTTCATACCTGGCTATTTTTGAGAATTTTTGAAGTCTTTCTGGACCTGTGGATAAAGCTTTTTCCATGACATCAGCATAATCCAAGGGACCAGCACCCGGCCTGTAAGATTCGGATTGCAATCACTTAATTATCGTGGAGACTTCACCATGACGGAGTAAATGTTGGTTGCGGGATCTGTATTCAGAGACTAATAAAGGCGGGGTTATTGCGAATCCCAATCCAGGATTATAATCTCTTTCCTGGTTTGTTTTAGCTGAAGAGCGACATGTGACTTAAACTTAGTATATACCCTCCGTGTGCAGCTTGACCGTTGCCCGGTCACAAAGTAAATAATGGTATATTATCGGAATCAGACCCCTTTGTGTCATCCGTTACTGAACCCTCGATGGTGCCAGAAAGGTGGTTTTCGCTGTTATTACAGAGAATCTAAACATTGCTGCATTGACAGAGAATTATTGTATTAACTGCAGAGTTATTTGACCAAGGTGAAGTATTACTATCGCCCTCATTCTATTGAAAAAGTGACTTAGCTCGTTCTTCCCCGGGGCTCTTCATGTGTGATATCACAATTAATGCTTTGCTTCAATGAAATTAAATCACAATGTGATCCTATTAATTCATATAAAAATTGACGTTAAACTGGGTGTTGGATATCTATCTATATATGCCTACGTGATTTAGATACGATGATGGCATCGTGCATTGTCAACTGTCAAATTTCCTTAACAGGAGCCTGGCAAACCCCCTCCTGCAAAATTCCTGGATCCGCCCCTGTGTTTGTAGAATCTAAAACTCACTAACTAGAATATATCCAGATCCGGAAGGGGTGGAGTTTAACTTACGAAATCTGGTTATCAACTTGAATGTTTGGTGGTACTAGCCTAGTCGTTTCCGTAGCATCACGTGAATCACCCGCCAAATTGTGGTAAATGTTAGCTTGGGTCATATATCTAGAATGGAAATCAAATCGTTCGCATTTTACCTACTGCTCGTCTGCTGTTATGGTTATATCATCCGATTCCAGGAAACCTACCTACCGTTTGCTAACCTCGATTAACATCATTAATTATGAGACAGGGGGATGGGGCTTTAATGAAGGAAGAGAGAAAGAGGGCCTGACAACTATTCAATTCGCCACATAGGATTATGATTGAGAAATGTATAACGTATCGGCCATACAGATTTTTAACCCATAACTGGACCCTAACAAGTTAGCTCTTATCAGCATCAGTTAGCCCCTATTTAACTGCCGTGTCCAAAACGTCGGTCTGCCCGATTGACAGTCTATGATATCAACTCAGGTGGAAGTGGACGTAAAACTTTAGGAACGGATGGATTGAGGGTAAGTATAGCCTATGTCGAGTTTGGTGGTTAGACAGTGCGGTTAAGTGGTGGGACAGTACCGTTTGGTCAGACAGCAAGGCAGATGGTTTGATAGCATGCTAGGCGGTTAGTAAGGCGTGTGGTTAGATAGTAAGGTTGATAGTTGGCAAGGACTGTGTCTAGTCTTTCGGATGGTACAAAAAAACCGAAGTCCCCGTGTACAAGTTGGTGTGTACTTCCAAGAACCATTGACATTCTATTACCAGATGGCGTCTGTGTATTATTTTCTTAATTTTGTTTTTTCAACACAGCTTTAAAGTGTAAAAATCTTATCAACTTTCATTGAACATTTCGCCACATACATGAAATCATATATTATATGTACATAAAATGATTTTACCTTTTGCACAAGATACGATTACACTTGACAAGTAGATGCATACAGTGTGTGGCTATAACACCTATTAACAGTATTCCCACAGTTCCCACCTACAATAGTAGTATTGGCATTTTGTTACCATTTGTAATAAATTGATTATTAGATCTAGTAATATATTTACATTTATAAGAATTTATGCTTATGTGCTTAAGATCTGGAGTCTGTTTCTCGAAATTTTAACTTAGATAAAATCCAGATTTTAGTAATTTGATTGGATAATATTAGATCTTAGCCAATCAAAATTGAAGTATCTACTAAAAGTTGGATTTTATCTTTAGTTAAAATTTCTTGAAACAGGGCCCTGATATCCTTATTCAACATGCGTATGTTGAGAAATAAGCGATATTGTGTTTCATTGTCGATATAGTTAGCCAAGAATTAAACACAAATTAATAAACAAAGCATTGTCGCTAATCAGTTGGAAACAAAAATAGAAAGAGCACACAAACTGGGGCATTAGTAATATATGATGCAATTCTATTTGTTATTGCGTGTAGGGGGAAACCGTGTAGCAGTAGGAGGAAACCGGAGAAACCGGAGAAAATCCAAGCGACTGGCGATCATTCGTCTTGCCACGTATAACCTGGGATCGACACTAGAATCGGTGATAGAACTACTACACACGCGTTAGACCATTAGCCCCCCCCCCCCCACTCCCCCTCCGACCTCCTCAGAATGGTATTAGATTGTTACTTTGAATGTTATCGTACTAGCACTGAGTTGCTACTATTATGTCGTGATATGTTAGATTCGCGTTTATTTGAGTGTTGCAAACGATAGAACTGGATCCTACCCATAATCCAGCGTTGCCAACAGCAACCGGCATAGCTAATATCCCCGTTCCTATATTCCCTTTTATTAGAATCATCAAACTTTGCATATTCCTGAAGATAAATAAATGAATGAATGAAATAAATAACTCCAGATTATATTTTCAAGACATAGACATAAGACATTTTATAAGCAGTATAAAAGTTTATATAATCGTACTCAATTACTGGTATGTAATGACTCTTTAATTGAGAGTGATTATAGAATTACATAGTGGTATTTCAATATTATATTAGTATACATGGGTGTTACATATCGTTTCAGGAGCGGATCCATGTGGGGGGGGGGGGGCACCCTGCTCAGCTACATAAAAAAATTATAAAACAACACTTTATGAGAAAGGTTTAACGGTCGTGTGCTTTATGCTTTATTATCAGATGATGGGATGGGATTGGGATTCTAAGCGCGAAATAATGACGCGAATGCTTGACGTGAACAGAACAAAGAGTGGGTGTAATTACAACTTCAAAATGATGTTTAATACGAATCATAATTACCAGTACAACAACTGACTTCCACTGCTCAGTCAAATAAGATCAAATAAAGTGTACGATGGACGTATTTGTCGGGGAGGCCCTTTCAGAAGAGCCTTGGTTCGATTGACTCCGATCGTTTTTACCAGAAATTGATTGTTCCACAGAAAGCTTATACAATTTGCTACCAGATGGCGCCATTAACTGGGGTTCGTTGAAAAAGTGACTTAGCTCGTTCTTCCCCGGGGCTCTTCATGTGTGATATCACAATTAATGCTTTGCTTCAATGAAATTAAATCACAATGTGATCCTATTAATTCATATAAAAATTGACGTTAAACTGGGTGTTGGATATCTATCTATATGTATACATGCCTACGTAATTTAGATACGATGATGGCATCGTGCATTGGCAACTGTCAAATTTCCTTAACAGGAGCCTGGCAAACCCCCTCCTGCAAAATTCCTGGATCCGCCCCTGTGTTTGTAGAATCTAAAACTCACTAACTAGAATATATCCAGATCCGGAACGGGTGGGGTTTAACTTACGAAATGGAGTTTTCAATATCGTCCCTCTCTTGAAGTATTTCTGGTGACCCAGCAATGTTGTTTGATTCCACAATTCTATTATCATCTTGACTGTTTGGCTGAGGTGGTGGGATATCAACATTGTCCCTCTCTTGAAGTATTTCTGGTGACCGAACAATGTTATTTAATTCCACATTTCTATTATCATCTTGAATGTTTGGCAGAGGCGTAGCCGATGTATTTTCCATTTTTGGTGATGGGACACCAACATTGTCGTTTAATTCTCCAACTTGAATGTTTAGTGATGGCCTAGTCGATTCATCAGGGTTTTCGGTTTTTTCCCTTTCTGGTGACTGGATATCAACATTTCTATTATCATCTTGAATGTTTGGTGGTGATTCGACACTATCATTGTCGTTTTTATCGTCTTTAATGTTAGGTAATAGCCTAGTCGTTTCCGTAGCATCATCCGCCATTTTGTGGTAAATGTTAGCTTGGGTCATATATCTAGAATGGAAATCAAATCGTTCGCATTTTACCTACTGCTCGTCTGCTGTTATGGTTATATCATCCGATTCCAGGAAACCTATCTACCGTTTGCTAACCTCGATTAACATCATTAATTATGAGACAGGGGGATGGGGCTTTAATGAAGGAAGAGAGAAAGAGGGCCTGACAACTATTCAATTCGCCACATAGGATTATGATTGAGAAATGTATAACGTATCGGCCATACAGATTTTTAACCCATAACTGGACCCTAACAAGTTAGCTCTTATCAGCATCAGTTAGCCCCTATTTAACTGCCGTGTCCAAAACGTCGGTCTGCCCGATTGACAGTCTATGATATCAACTCAGGTGGAAGTGGACGTAAAACTTTAGGAACGGATGGATTGAGGGTTAGTATAGCCTATGTCGAGTTTGGTGGTTAGACAGCGCGGTTAAGTGGTGGGACAGTACCGTTTGGTCAGACAGCAAGGCAGATGGTTTGATAGCATGCTAGGCGGTTAGTAAGGTGTGTGGTTAGATAGTAAGGTTGATAGTTGGCAAGGACTGTGTCTAGTCTTTCGGATGGGACAAAAAACCGAAGTCCCCGTGTACAAGTTGGCGTGTACTTCCAAGAACCATTGACAGTTGAAATACAATATAAGAGTAGGTCGTAGGACAATGTATCGCGTTCGCCCGTCTCCAGAAAAGTGGCATATTATGGCAGGGTTTCCGTATATGTTAATAAGTCACGTGATATCCGACATTTGCATATCAAGGATAGTGCTATGCGTAAGATGTTATGCAGAAAACGTGAAGGCAAATGAGCAAATGTAAAATTTAATGAGTGAAATTTATCATTTGACACATTACATTTGACGTTTTACATTTAACTTTGGCCTTAGAGGTATTTTGACTTTATCCTTACCAGTATTAGGACTTTGTACATTGTACTTTTTACATATATTCAATCGAAAAGACATTTTAGCAGAATATTTAATATCGGCAGCGATACCCTTTCATTGGATATTACACCCCACTTCATATCTTTCTTATATAAACTGCATTAATGATTTGTAACACTAAATAATATCTTGAATGGCATGGATTGGCCTTTTACAAAACAAATTACTTGTTATAAATCGTGTGGTTAAAGATACATTATGTAAGATTTAGATAAAGATCTGGGCCCTTATTCACGAAAACTTAAACTAAGATAAAATCGAAATTTTAAGAAATACTGCAACTTCATTGGATATATGCAAATTGATCTTACTGGTCAGCCAATCGAATTGCAGTATTTCTTAAAATTTCGATTTTATCTTAGTTTAAGTTTTCGTGAATAAGGGCCCTTGGCCCTGTTTCTCGAAATCTTAACTAAAGATAAAATCCAAATTTTAGTAGGTATTTCAATTTTGATTGGCTTAAGCACTAAAATCAATCTTATATTATCCAATCAAATTACTAAAATTTGGATTTTATCTTAGTTAAAAGTCCGTGAAACAGTCCCCTGGCCCTTATTACTATAACAGTGCACAAATAGATAATTAAAAAATAATATAGTTTTAACAATTTCATTCAGATTACTTTATTCTGAGTGACCTTATCACTGTTTTGACATGGACTGTTCATTATCGAGGCAAGGCTCGCTTCTCCATTTCTAAATTAAACCATTTCTAAATTGTCTTCAAAGCACACTGTCTTCACTCGCCCAGTACAGGAACAGAACAATAAGACGCTAAATCCTATTTCATTTCCGATTTAGCTCTTACATAATGCATCTTTAAGCATATAAATGTAAGGTGCTTACCGTACTCATGTACATTATCCTTTATACAAATCCCATACCGTTTCCAGGAGGGATATAAACAGAGAATTCGGATTCGTTTATATCAAACACGCCCCAACTCAAGATTTGTTTAGTTTTTTTTATATTCAGTGGAATACAGCATTTTCTGTCATATGAACAGCAGATCGAGACCTTCAAAAGATGTGCCAGGTTTTGTATTGTGTTATTGCTTTTCTTGTCATATGATTACTGTATAATAGGCTTTGAATTTGTATTATCAAAAATTTAAGGTTGTCTAGTTTAGAATAATAAATGAAATGTATACCTCAAAAGAAGTGCCTAAAAAACTTTTGAAAAGAACTGCAGGCCTACACACTATGGGCTTAAATTACATAAAATAACGTTTGAATAAAACTGTTCACAATATGCTTATAATTCCTACACGTCATGTCATTCATTATAGATCTAAAATTAGATATTACTGGGGTCGTGGCCCTTGGTTTATGATATAACACGAGGGAAATATATATTCCCTGGAAATACATCAATGTTTAATCACGTCTCCCAAAAATATGTTATTTACATGGACATAGAAAATATTCCATACACCTTATTAGACATGCATTATGCTAGAGCTAATTCTGCCTATAAATCTTTAGGCCTTAAATGTTAATTATATTATTAATTCGACGTTAATTAACATGACAAGATCAGCATCAACTTTCGATGCCATCAGATGGCCCCGATTTTTGAGTAGCCTAGATTAGAACGTTTCTACCATTTAATGATTTAATTTAAGAATGGATAATCGAGACTGTGTTTATTATCAGTGACAATCGGAGCTACACTGTTCTTCTAACAGCGATATCTCCGCTAAGAGTGAAGTAAACTTAAGATTTCCCCTTAAAGAAAATATTATAATTATACAAAATGTTACTTTCTAGTTGGATTTGGACAAAACTCATTTACGATCGCGACAAAACAGTCGCTTGATTGAAATTAGACAAAGGGCTTTTACAATAGCGACAAAATAGATTTGGACAAAGGACATTTACGATCTGGCATACAGTATTGCGCAGAAATGTCACCCACTTCGTTACAAAGACTAAAACAAATAATCGTATACGTACGTACAAGTTCATAAGTATTTAAAATACACACAACCCTGGTGTTTTTGTTACAAAGGGAAAGTATGCAAATTTTGTCGAAGTTTTAATATTGTTAATAATTTTATATAATTAGGCACACTTTTGTTATCGTCCTCTCTCAGATGTCATCCTTGACAAAAAAAAACGCATTCAAAAATCTGGAAAGTATTTCTCGGTCCCACCACTCGACTACCGCAGCTGATTAATACCAAGTGCAATAACTCTAAATGTTGATTTGAGACAACACTAAAATTCATTACAATTATTTATCCTGCCACTTTGATCGTATTTTTGGAGATGGCATTTTTGATTATGCAAGTTTTAGGAGGTAGACGAATTGTTTCCTTGTATTTTCAAGACAGGAACGAACAGGAACGAAGAATAGTGGGATCGTTTACGTGATTTCTCAAAACGACATGGTGCGGGGCCCTACATTTTAGCATTCTATTTACATACATAAACTCACTTGTACTTTACGATCTCCTGTAATAATCTATAACCGCCCTCATTAGGAAATTATCATAACAAAAATTTCTCCCTCACCACTGCTGCTTTTTTACCACTCCTATTGCTAAGAAGATAAGATGAGTGCATTCTGGTATTCTCGTAATTTATGCATGTTATGAATAAATAGATACAATATACCTTAAAATCCAGTTGTTTCCAAACAAACCACCATTCCCACTCAAGCACTGTACTAGTGTTTGTTATTTTGTTAGGCGACAATGTTTACAGGAAATAAAAGTTAAATAATTTATTTCATTGTATTCATATCAATAAGAGTGTTTCGTACGGCGTTTTATTTTACTGACCAACCCTCAAAATGTATATATACTATTCAAAAAAAGTAGGGGATATTTGATTTTGGGGGCATAATACTAAAATATGCAAATGACTAAGAAAAAAGTCACTATAGAACCTAACAGAAGAAACATTTCCAGTTACATGTGACGCCCAAACGCACCAATAGCTACCGCATGGAATGCAGGTGATGCTTGGGATCATCATGGGGGTCCAACCCAAGATTTGCACGACTCTGACTTTGAATGTTACAGTCATTGTGGCATTGAATTCCAGGGTGGAAACATCAGTTTAATTGTTTTAGTGACCAGAAAACAAATTTTGATATGCGTCGGCTTACCCAAAATGAAAGGTTACGTGCCCTTGGCATGCTACAGATCGGCACAACACAGGCGGTTGTGGCGCGGACGATGAATGTTTCTCAGTCTGTCATAAGCAGGCTATGGTCCAGATACCGTGATACACAATCTGTACAGGACAGACCACGCTCAGGTCGACCAAGGGCGACAACTCAAGCCCAGGATCGATTTATCCGTACCTTGGCCTTGAGAAATCGTGTCATCACAGCAAATCAGATCAGCGCTCGTCTTCAAACAGACACTGGTGTGAGAGTGAGTGGCCAGACGATTCGGAATCGACTGCATAGGGGTCACCTTCGCGCCCGACGTCCTCGCGTAATCCCTTGTTTGAGAGATCATCACATTCAGGCAAGACGTCGTTGGTGTAGGGATCGTCAACACTGGGATAATCGACGCTGGAGCAATGTGATGTTTTCAGATGAGTCAAGGTTCACTGTTGATTTTTTGGACAGACGTAGGAGGGTGTGGCGTCGTCGAAACGAGCGCTTCCAAGACGTTAACGTCATCAGACATGATCGATTTGGGGGTGGTTCTGTTATGGTGTGGGGAGGCATCACTGTTGCTGGAAGAACGGCTTTACATGTTGTTGCAGGGCGTGTTACAGGCCAGTACTACCGGGACAACATCTTGGCAGTCCATGTTGTGCCGTTCGCACAACGTCATGGCCGCCGTTTCATCTTCCAGGATGACAACGCAAGATGTCACAGGGCCAGGATCGTTACAGGTTACCTCCAACAACAGAACATCACCACATTAGCTTGGCCAGCACTGAGTCCCGACCTCTCCCCCATCGAGCATGTCTGGGACATGCTTGGACAGCGGTTACGTCAACGTCAACAACGTCCTGCCAATGTCCAAGAACTTGCTGCTGCGTTGCAACAGGAATGGGACAATCTGGACCAAAATGACCTTAGACGTCTCATTAGGAGTATGCCACATCGGATCAATGCTTGTTTGGCAAACAGAGGAGGATTTACCCGTTACTGACTTGGTTGTGATGCTGTGGTAACTTTGCTGTTTGACCCCGGGTATCATTTTACCCTTATAATGGTCAGTCTGTGCCTTACTAAGTCTAACGATCATTTGGAATAAATCGATGAATGTGAACTTCATTTCATTTTGTCATTTGTTTCTTCGTCAGTTTCATTAGGTGACTTTAATAACACTTAAAAATCAAATATCCCCTACTTTTTTTGAATAGTATCATTACAGTTATGAATTACATACCCGCCCAATTGCCACAGATTTAGGATATAACTTTTGAAGAATAAGACGGAAAGATTAGTAAATGCAAGAAACCTGCACACCTTGTGGCATTTACTTTCACACATTAAATGCTGATTAAAAGATAGCGAATACAGTATGCATGGGAGTCACACATTGGGGGGGGGGGGGTCTGAATAGCCTTAAAAAGTTGTGATATTTCTGGATATGTTATACTGTGCCATTTCTGATGTAAATTATCAAATTACAATTATGCGATATTGTTAAAACGTGAGTTTTTTTTGTGTCAATTTAAGCTGCTCTCTAAATCTGTTCACCTGAGTAGTACTTTCTAAGTGTCAAGTGTGGGTGAGTGATTGATCACAGTCAGTCTTATCAATATTCCTAGATGTGTGTGAATTATTTCTTCTCGACATTTATGATGGATTTTACGAGATTAACATTGTAATATTCCGACTATATGTGGAAATTGATGAAGATTTGTTTCTGTGTCACATAAACAGTACTCATAGTAAATCATTTCTGATATTACAGTCAGTCTTCACTGGTTAGTAAAGTGTTTTTCTTGTTACATAAATATATCTAAAATGGCGAATCACAAAGCTAAAAAGACAAAAAGGAGTCACCAGGACATATCAACTAGTATAAACGAATTTTTAGACACTATGCTCCAGGATGATAACTCAATAAAATCCTTCTTGGCTGAGTTGCTAAAACGTGACGTGTTTGTTAACCACATAATGAACTCAATTAAACCTCAAATATTAACCGAATTTAATGAAAAAGTTGAAAATCTGGAATCAAGAATTGATGATCTAGAGCAATATTCCCGACGTACGTGTCTGAAGATAAGTGGCATCAGCGAGTTAGTTGACGAAAGCACTGATGATATTGTTTTGTCTTTAATAAACGATCATGTTTTACCAGATGGTGCTACCAAGCTTGACAAGTCACATATTGGGCGTACCCACAGAGTTGGAGATAAACATGGCAAGTTTCACAGAGATATCATAGTACGCTTTATTAGCTATCGTGATAGGGCTTCGGTATATGCAAATAAAAAAAATCTCAAGGAGTACAATATTCAGAACAAAACTAAGGTTTACATAAATGAGGCGCTAACTAAAACCCGCTCAGCATTATACAAATCAACACGTGATCTATTTAAAGATAAAGTTATCAAAAACAGTTGGACCTACGACGGGAAGATATTTGTTAGTAATTTTGACGGCCGCAAACATCTCATTACACGTGAAGATGATTTGCTATCATTTAGAAACAATGTAAACCCCAGACGACATCTACACGTAGATCAGCGAGAAGGTCAAGGTCGCCCAGAAGCGTCGTCTGCAACTCGTGAACACCCTAATAACACTTATTATCTACCGGATATTAGCACGCATCATATGAGACAACCGTCCCTGATGGATATGGGTTTAACATCTACACCTAAAGGGGCGATATTAAGTGACACAGTCGGCAATGTAAACCAAAACTCAAATAGATATCAAATGGTATTAGATGCTGTAAACATATAAATTTATTTAGACATTTCATAAATCTGAAAAGTAAAATCTTCATTAGATTTCCAGCACGATAAAATCTTTCTCAATATGAAAATCATATACTCATTGTCTTGTCCAGTGAATACTGGTACCTAGTAATGTATTTAACTCCTACATCTATTCGATAAGAAATTATCGCATAATGATAAATGGAAACTACTTTTATCTTACCTTCCTGATATTTTGTTACAACACGATACATTTAATAATATAACTATCACATTGTTATTCTTATGAAATTTGGTATTAAGGTGTGTAGAGTATATTCCAGTGTCATGTTTCTCATACAAACGAAGCGGCGACACTTCAATTAAAATATAATTTGCATAAAATATGTCTGGTAATTGAATTTGATAAATGCTGTTAATATATAACTATAAAACTACTTAGCACGTCAGTCTATAAATATTCCAATAGCTACGGTGTATTATACATAGCGATGGCTTATCTTAGATATATAATATATATAATTTTGATATTACAATACATCATGTCAATATTACGTAGCTACTGAACCATATACATATACTGAGCTACCTGTAAATTGTCAGGTACAGCTCTGAAAGTATGAAAATCATAATATGATATTTGCATTCAATAGGTCTATCACTGCAGTGAATACAGTAAAGCTACTCAGTATAATACCACTTGTTATTATTTAAAGTAATTGTACGCTCAACCAGCACAGTATACACATCCACAGCTGTTTGACTTAAACATTTTCTGTCAAAGGAGTAATACATGAGCATTACTCTGCTCACAAGTTATTTAACTTGTTGTCTACCATGTGTCTGTATATATGTTTCTCTTCTAATTGTGACTCGTTCTGTACATAGCGAAGCTTCGCAAAAGCCTGTTTCAGTCTCAACATGTTTTGTAATTATGATTGTAAATACTATGCTTTGTTTATTGTTATTACTGTATTATTATTATTATTACATACAATTATTTTCTCAAAATGGGCTTCCATACACACAGATCTATTATCTCCTCCATAGCTTTAAATTTGTTTATTTACTTTTAAATAGTATTAAATGACGTCAATTAAACTTCTGTCCATCAATGTAAGAGGAACTCGAAATGCTTTAAAAAGAAAAAAGATATTTAATTGGTTAAACGAACAATCATGTGCTATTAATTTCCTTCAAGAAACTCACAGCAGTGTATGCGATGAAACCGATTGGCAGAACGAATGGGCTGATCGCATATTGTTTTCACATAGTAGAACCAACTCAGCAGGGACAGCTATTTTTTTAAAAAGTAACAATAACATAAATGTTATTAAAAACGAATCCGATGAAAAAGGTTATTTTAACATTTTAGTAATAAGTGTCTATAATGATATCTTAGTTTTAGTCAATACATATAGCCCTATATCTGACAATGACCAGTACATTTATTATACAAGATTACTTAAATCTTTACAACAGCTATGTAGTGAACTTGACACGTTCTCAATGGTAATTGGCGGAGATTTTAATAATGTCCTAAATGTTCAACTTGATAGATATGGCGGCAATTATAAACTGAAAAGAAAAGGCCAAACTGCCATATTCAATATAATTAATTATTTTAACCTCTTAGATATATTCAGAAATCTAAATCAAAATAATAAGCGTTTTACTTGGAAACAAAGGAAGCCTTTGATACAAAGTCGAATCGATTTTTGGCTGATATCGGAAAAACTTCAAGATTGTATAAAATCATGTACAATAAAGCCAACTTCCTTTACTGATCACTCATCAATTCATTTACATATCAAAATAAACAATTATCCACGCGGACCAAATCTGTGGATATTTAACTCTTCGCTAACAAAAGACAAGACATATACTAAAATGATAAAATCATCAATACCGATATGGAAAAGTAAATATTTTGACAAACAAAATAAAAATGGTTTATGGGACTTCATTAAATTTAAGATAAAGGAATCTTCTATAGGATATTCCAAAAAGAAACAAAAACTTAAAAAAGCTGTAAAAAATAGTCTAATTGAAGAACTGGTCAAGATTGAATCCCTTATCAGTAAACAGGAACCTTGTGACAACAAAATTATCGAAAAACTTTATGATCAATATACTGAAGTTAAACAATCATTAGATAACATTTACATTGATGAGACGCAAGGAGCAATTATTAGATCTAAACAAAACTGGTATGAAAATGGTGAAAAAAACACAAAATTATTTTTAAACTTAGAAAAAGATAGAAAATGTGCTACGACAGTAAATAAGCTTAAAAAATCAGACGATTCTGCTATATTTGACCCCATTGAAATTTCGGATGAAATATTTCTATTTTATAAAAATTTATATGCGTCGAAAGATACGTCTTTTAAAAAGGAAAACAATTTTATAACAAATTTTAGACCCGTAGAAAGGCTAAATGAATACCAGAAGGATTTATTTGAATTCAAAGTTGACTATTTCGAACTTCAGAAGGCCTTAAACTCGTTTAAAATAAATAAATCTCCAGGAAATGATGGTATCACAATTGAATTTTATCGACATTTTTGGCCAGATATTTATGTATTATTATTAGACTCGTATAACTGTAGCTTTGAAGAAGAATCTTTATCCGTAACACAACGTCAATCAGTTATTAAACTCATTCCTAAAGGTAATAAAGATAGAACATGCTTAACTAACTGGAGACCCATTACGCTTATTAATGTCGATGTGAAGCTGATAAGCAAAGTTTTGTCTAATAGATTAAAACCATTTTTGAACCAATTAATACACCCAAATCAATCCGCGTTTATACCAGGTCGCCACATTCATGAAAATACCCGTATTATCTCCGACTGTTTCGATCTTGCGAAACAAAAAAGAATAATAGGCTTTCTTTTGGCTATAGATTTCCAAAAAGCCTTCGATAGCATAAACCATAACTTTTTAATACAAGCTTTATCGTCGTACGGTTTCGGACGTAACTTTATTAGATGGATAAAAACCCAATACAAAACTATCACCTGTTGTGTAATAAACAATGGATTTACAACCCCTTATTTTCATGTAAAACGGGGTGTACGACAAGGCGATCCAATGTCATCCAATCTTTTTAATTTGATCATAGAACTGTTGTTATGCGCTATTAGAGACGATATAAATATAAATGGAATAAAATTTGGTCAAGAATCCATAAAAGTTGTAGCCTTTGCTGATGATATAACGGCATTATTAAAAGATTTTAGCTCTGCACGACATTTGCTTGAGGTTTTGCGACTTTTCGGTTTAGTTTCGGGGCTTATAATTAACGTTAATAAAACAGAAGCAATAATTTAAATAGCTGTGATATGAATTTAATGCACAAATTAAAATCAACCGGTATAGTATTATGCGAAAAATTTATAAAAATCCTCGGGATCCTTTTTTCAAAAGATACTCAAATTACTAGTGAATTAAACTTTAGAAATAAAATAAATGAAATAGAACAAATATTAAAAGTATGGGATAAACATAAATTATCTTTAATTGGAAAAATACAAATAATTAAAACATTCTGCATTCCAAGAATTCTTTACCCGGCCACTGTTAATCCAGTACCGGATTCTACTATTCAACAACTAAACACAATTTTTTACAAATTTATATGGAACGGTCCTGACAGAATAAAGCGAGACATTCTTATACAAAAAAATAAAAATTGCGGATTAAAAATGATTGACTTAAAAGAATTCCTAATATGTAATAGCATTTTTTGGATTAAAAAAATATATCAGTCACCAATCCAAACATGGCTCATACCATATGAATTCATTATGGCTGAATATGGTGGAAATTTATTACCTGCATGCAACTTTCCAGATAAGTTAAATCTAAAAATTCCTTTTTATAAAAACCTGTATGCCAACTGGTATACAATCTACACAACGCATATAAAGAACATTGCCCACACTGAAAATCAAATTATTTGGAATAATACAAATATAAAGATTAATAATAAAACTATATTTTTAAACTTTCTTTTTAACAATAATATTCGGTACGTTAGTGAATATTTTGATAAAATAAATAAGATCGATAATCAATATTTAGAAAAACATCAATTTATCTTAAAAGGAATAGAAAAGTGTATCTTGCAGTATGTACAGGAAGCGAGCGAGTTTGAAAGTGCGGTACATACAAATTTTAATTGTAATAGAACTCCCTTGGAAGATATAAATACTAATTTTTACAAAATATATAATACCCATTTTCACAACGTAAACTTAAAAAATATTTATGATAGCCGAATACAAGCAAAGTTCAGCAGGCCAAAAGCCATTAAAGAATGGGAACACATTCTAGATACCGAGTTAAGTGATTTAGACGTAGAAAATATATTCAAAATAATAAACACTGTATGTCTTAGTACAAAACTGAGGAGTTTTGAATACAAATATCTCCATAGGATTATATTCACAAATGATAAATTATTCAAAATTAGAAAAGTTGATAACACACTCTGCACTTTCTGTGAATCTAATATAGAAAATGTAGAACATCTCTTTGTCCTTTGCCCATTTTCACAAATAATATGGAATCATCTTCATACTATCCTAGATCGTGGTAATACAAAGATAAATATAAAAACACATATAATACACCTTGGTCTAACTAACAAATCAAATTATATAAGTAATACTGAATGGATTTTCATTAATCATGTAATTATTTTAACTAAATTCTATATATATCGGGCTAAACTACGAAACGAAATGCTCAATACTAATAAGTATGAAAGCTTTTTAGTAGAGCATGCTAAAATGGAGATTGAGATATCTCCAGAATTATACACAAATAAATGGAAATATCTTTTTAAGAATTAACAGATTGCCTCCATAACGATTCCCCATTGATGGATTTATGTACTTAGATCTGTGTATAGTAGGAACCCTGCGACTCACCATTTATATAGAATAATGTATTTTATCATTTAAGATATAAATGTACTTAATATATGCTTGTAGAAATCTGACGTAAATAAAGTGTAGTAAAAAAAAAAAAAAAAAAAAAAAAATTACATTATAGTAGGCCCTAACTCCTATGTATTTACAACAATTATTAGGATTAGTTAAGATTCTATCTGTATAAAACCTGTACATATCCCAATATGTTGGTGTGATGTTTTAGTTTAACCCCGTAAAATATGCCAAAACAGTGTTGACAGAAGACTGCGCAGCCTCGTGCCTCCGGCGTCACAGATTCTCAACATTCTATATAATTTCATTTGCTGACCCCCCGCCCCCAATATATATTTCACGGCTACGCCTCTGACACTATGGCCATAGACGACAGCTTATTCGAAATGAATGTTTGCCAATTAATTTGATATTTGATAGCTATCGTGTTTACAAGCTTAGTCTGATACGTATTTATCTCCGGGAACAGAAAATCCTAGAGTGCTAAAAATCACCATGGTTCACCCTCTCTTGGCCCAATGCTTAATTCACATGAAATGTCAAAATCAAGAGGATTCATGCGTACATCCATAATGCCCCAATAAAAATTGAATGACCCATTAAATTCATGCAGTAGATTATGAAAATTATCACACAAGCTATATCTATACTGTAGAATGTGTTACTGGGTGATAAAGCATTATGTTATTCATATCTGACGCCATACAACAAGCTGCCGTAATTTGGCTGAATTTTTTTTTTTTTGGGGGGGGGGGGGGGTGGCGGGGGAGACAGCGTTATCTCCCTCGTCTATAGGTGCAATGCTACTTACTGACAGTGAGACATTTTGGCATAGCAGAGCATTACGTTACACAACGTAAAAGTAGTTACATAACACTATGATAACACGCCAATAATTACTTGTACGTCGAGCATCAAGTACAACCACAGTTTGTAACATGCATTACGTATTATAAAATTATGTAACAGATTACTTTGTATAACGCTACTCTGTAACAGTCCATTTTGTTCATAGCAAAAAAACAACGATAAAAATAATCTATAAAATATATATTAGGTGTATTTACAAGGCGATACTTTTATATATAAAATAACAAAACATCCACGAAATTTACAAAAGCATGATTAAAATACTTATAAAATCTATTTTTATCTTAAAGCATTATATTGTTATCCACATCTGACATCACACAACAAGCTGCCGTAATTTGGGTGAATTTGGGTGTTAATATAATCGTGATATAAGCATAATCCGGTTCTCGCTGTATAGAGTAACCATAGTCGTAGTACATAGAACTCCTTTCTCATTTTTTGAGACAGAGTTATCCACCGCGCCTGTAAGTGCAATGCTACTGACAGTGAGGCATTTTGGCATAACAGATCATTACGTTACACAACGTTAAGACAGTTACATAACATTATGATGACGAGCTAAGAATAATTTTTACACTGATCATCAGGTATAACCGCATTTTTGTAACATGTCACTACATATTAGAAAATTATGTAACAGATTACTTTGTGTAACACTACTCTGTAACAGTTGATTACATACGGACCAAGATAAAACATTTGTAACAGAGTCCTCTTTACGAAATATTGGCATAACCTCAATGTTATAGAGGAGTGTTATCTTACGGATTAGTTTAACCAGTCTGTAATGCACAGAGTTGATTTAGGGCATCTCGGAAGAACGCCAACCGCTAATAGACCATAGTTACAAACACAATCAACCCCTTTATTTACTGGGGATTAGAAATTACTTCTATTTTTTAGATATCACAAATAAAATGTCACTAGTGTTTAATATGTTTCTACAATTGCTTGTATAGCCGTATAAGTTCCAGTCAGGAAGCCGAGAATTCCCAAGAGTACCAATAACACGTCTTTAACAAGAATCCACTTAGGTAACGTTTCGTTTTCAGCTGTTAATGTCACCATCTCTATCGTTGCTGGAAAAATGATAGCGAGAGAACTGACCGAAAACGCGCCAATTAAAGATATCAGTAAACCCAAATGTGGAACAGCAGCGGCACAGGTAACTGAAAAGAATAGATACATACAACATAGATACATAGATACAATTAATACAACATAACTTAATAATACACAATGCAGCTTAACTGCTCAACAAAATGCGTATGCAGCACACAATTGTCGAAGAAAAGACCTTTCTCAAAACAAAACCCATTGGTCCAAATCGCGTCAGGCTCCCGTAGATTTAAATACCAGGGTGAAATTGACGATTCCCCCCCCCCCCCCAGAATAGGAAAGCAAACGACCCCTTTTTCGATTGATCTATAATTAATTATATAGTATTAACTTACAGGTAATGAGCACCAGTCCAGTACGAACAAAATATTCCCCAAATCTCTCAAATCTTGTGTTTTCATATTTAGATTTAAAGAATGGTAGCAGAAGTTTAGCAGGAACGTACATCTGGACACCATAAGATATAGCAATACACAGAGCAAACATTAACTTTACTGATAAATATAACCTGTAATATAAACAAATTTATTTAAACTTGAGGTACCATTTACTTATATAATGAGAGCTATTCAAATATGGTTAACCCGCAGGCCTTAATTAATTGTTCACAGGAAAGAGTTAACAGACATTAAGCCGTTTTCCCCAAGGTACAAAATGAATAAATTACACCGATTCACTAAACTGAAATGGAGCTTACGGTCTTACTCTATTGGACCAACCGGTATAATGAAGAAGGAGAAAAGGTCATACTTAGTGAATCCCTGTGGCTCCCTCATGCATGTCATCGCTATGTATCAAATCGGGGTTCCACATTGAAAGATCTGGTCACTAACGCTTGAACATGGGCACTTAAACACTTTATAAACGTTGATTCGGATGGCTGTCATCATACGAATATCAACATAGGTGGGCTATCCAAATACATAAATGTTATAAGATGGTTTAGAAAGCCACAGCATACACTGCATCTTGCATACCAAGGACTGATTACTTAATACTGTTGATTTCGGAAACCATTTTAAATGGTTAGCACGTGTGCGCTGTATCATAAGGTCTGTCATTGAGTCAACTGGCGTGGTTTCGATTCCACGGTTGTACGTGACAAGGAGTAGGGTCGCCGGTCCAACCCCGTGTGTTTTCTCCGGGTCCTCCCACTGCTAAAGACCAATACGCGGAAGCGAATTATTGAAATAAAATTGAACCATATGTTAGTTCCGAAATGACCTAGTTTGTGTCGAGCGCACGTTAAAGTCCATCTCTCTCTCCCCCCCCCCCCCTCTCTCTCTCCCATTTTGAAAACCCTGCATTGGCCGAGAAAGTTCATCCAGATTTTCCGGCGTGGTTCCCCCTTGTCAGTGATGCAGGACGGAGGGCCTGACAAGGACAGCTGTCTGGTCGTTCGGATGGGACGAAAAACCAAGGTCCAGTGTATACATTGGCGTGCACGTAAAATATCCCTTGGCAGTTGGAATTCGATATAAGAGTAGGCCGTAGTGCCGCTGCCCGAGCAAAATTTCCCTCATAGCACACTGTATGGCGTATGCCCGTCTTCATTAGCCCAGTTTAGGAGCAGAACAGTAGGACGTTAAACCCCATTTCATTTCATTTTTAAAAGTTTATTTTCCTTTAAGGTTCAACGCCCACTTTCCCTTTGTAAAGAAAACATATTGATTTATCGAATGAATGCTTATGTTTACGATGAAAGATTGCGGTGATGTTCTGTACCATTGGTCATTTGGTAAATTGAGAGTTATGCTGCCTTTAGCGTCATCGCCATATTTCAGATAACCATAGAAACCAACTGCTGTATACAGACATGAAACGGTAACCATGCCAAGATTCAAAACGCCATCCAGTCCACCAAATGCTGACGGATGACGCATTTTATTTTCTATTGGTAGAACCTGGTTATAAAAAAAATAAAATGAAAACAATTTTAATTCTGGCAAGGAATGTCTACAAATATATAACGAAAATCTACAGCCTTTATGGGAACTCTTGAATGATGCAACGACATGGAATGAAATGAGGTTTAACGTCTTACTGTTCTGCTCCGACCGGGATAATGCAGATGGTCTTGAATGATGCACTAGGCCTACATCATTTTTACTCCATTAAAAGAAAAATTCGTAGCCTAATATACATAAAATAATTTAAATAAATTTAAGATTTACAAACAGGGGTCAATATTTCGAAACCTAAACATAGTATTATGTCATTTTTAAACTTCACATAAAAAAAATATACGTGAGTTACTTTATTTTCAGTCGTGACTAGGGCAACTAAAAAATCAACAGTTATGCCTATGAGCGTTTCAAATGACAAAACTCCTCATTCTGGGTAAAACATAAAAGTGTCGAATGAAATTTGATATGTTGTTCGATTTTTGAAAAGGTTATTTATTCCACTGTGGACAATTTTACCATAACTGAGTAAAATTGAGTAAACAAACTGGCTTACTATAAATATTTCGAAACCTAAATCAAAGGATTCGAGAGATAAACTCCACAATGTACATTACCAAGTTTATTCCTTCATAAGCGTAGAGAGCTGTACCAAAATATAAAGGTAGATTATTCCATCCAGTAAATGCTGGCCGTGAATCGACGTTTGGTAATCCTTGTGTCACGTGATATATAATTATAAGAAGACCTACGACTGTAAGAAGGTTAGCAAAAGTTGAAAACAGTGATAAAGTACGTAAGTTCCCCACAAAGAAATACACCACCAAAATGGTGGCAACTGCAACTTCATAAATTCTAATGGTTGGGTCGTCGGGATAAAAATGATTGATGACCTATAAAAAGAAGAGATATTAGAAAATTCCTGGCATCTTTTTTAAACGTCGGAATGCTGACACTGTTGCCGTCGATAATACAACCCTATATGTGAGTTCAGGGATCGAGATAATACAGCAAACGATTGATTTACCAATGGGAAATGATTCGACCTTTTTTACGGCAAATGTACATTTATATTCTGTTTTTATGACCATAAAAGGAAAACTGGTCATACAGTAGTCTATATATTATACATATATATATATATATAGCATGAACACGTTCGTTGCGTCGACAGGGCCGTAACTAGCTTAGAGCAACGAGGGGTGCGGGAAGTGTTCTCAGGGGTGCTGTAAAATTGACGGACAATGTATATCTATAGTCAACAATGTTTTCACAGGGGGGGGGGGGGGGCGCTTTTTGCAGGGGGTTTCCCCCACCCCCACCCCCTAGTTACGGGCCTTTGCGTCGATGATGGTCGAACTAGACAGCGATTTGGAAATGTGGTCGAGCAAAGTCACTAAATAATTACCGAGGACGAATTTGTAATCTCCGGTACCAATGAGTTTCAGATTTACATCCAGCCCTCCCTCTCTCTTAAAGCCGTCCCTCTATATTAATATGATACAATATAATCCTATTAGCACCATTTAGCACCTATTTAAGTTCTGTGGGTTGAACCTTTGTGGCCGATACATCCGTGGTCGAAACGCCGGTCCACTACAGTATTGTTATAATATACGTAAACTAACCTGTTTTATATTTGTAGAAATAAAAACAACATAAACACTACAACCACCAACTTGTGTTATGATGATAAACGTTAAAACTAAATATCTGAATTAAAAATAAAAACAGAGTTGCCATTAAACACAAATTGCTTGAATAATATAACACAATTTAAATTTATAAAAAAAAAAAGTATTTTATAAATGTAGCTGACATTTATAAAATTTATTAGCGGGAAAAAAAACCCTGTAAACATCACAAATGCGATATTTCACTATTAAAGAAATATTGGACTGACATAAAACATATATTATTTGGCTTTTTCCATAAATTTCATACCTGGCTATTTTTGAGAATTTTCGAAGTTTTAATGGACCCGTTGATAAAGCTGTTTCCATGACATCAGCATAATCCAAGGTATCAGCACCCGACCTGTAATATTCGGATTGCAGTCACTTTATTATTATCTTCAAAATGACGGAATAAATGTTAGATGCGGGATCCGTACTCAGCCTTAAAGGCGGGGTTATAGCGAATCCTAATCTAGAATCCTAATTCTATTGTTTTAAGTGAAGAGCGACATATGAATTAAACTCATTAATATGTACTCTTCGCGTGCAGCTTGGTCGTTGCACCGGTCACGAAGTAAGTAATGGTAAAGCCAAGGTAATAGATCGAAAATATTTTCTTCTTGGGTGAATATTATTGGGAACAGACCCATTTGTGTCATCGGGAACTGAACCGTCGATGGTGCCAGAAAGGTGGTTTTCGCTGTTATTACAGAGATTCGAAACCGTGCTGCATTGACAGCGAATTACTGTATTAACTGCAGAGTTATTTGATCAAGGTGAAGTATCTATATCGCCCTCATTCTATTACTTAGATGGCGTCTGTGTTTTATTTTCTTAATTTTGTTTTTTCAACACAGCTTTAAAGTGGAAATATCTTATAAACTTTTATTGAACATTTCGCCACATACTTTGTATTATCTGTGTGTGATGAAATCCTATATTATATGTACATAAATTGATTTTACCTTCTGCACATGATACGATTACATTTGACGAGTAGATGCATACAGTGTGTGGCTATAACACCTATTAACAGTATTCCCACAGTTCCCACCTATAAAAGTAGTATTGGCATTTAGTTACCATTTGTAATAAATGGATTATGAGGACTAGTAATATATTTACATTTAAAAGAACTTATACTTATGTGCTTTTTCATCTGAACTAGCACGTGTATGCGTATGTTGAAAAATAAGCGATATTGTGTTCCTTTGTCGATAGTCAGCCAAGAATTAATCACAAATTAATAAACAAAGCTTTGTTGCTTATCAGTAGGAAACAAAAATGGAAAGAGCACACAAACTGGGTCATTAGTAATATATAGTTCAATTGCGTGTAGAGGTCTTCACTCTTCAGCAGTGGAGAAAACCGGAGAAACGTGTTAGACCATTAGCCCCCTCCGACCTCCTCAGAATGGTATTGGATTCTTTCTTTGTTATCGTGCTAGCACTGAGTTGCTACTATTATGTCGTGATATGTTAGATTCGCGTTTATTTGAGTGTTACAAACGATAGAACTGGACACAAAATATCCTACCCATAATCCAGCGTTGCCAACAGCAACCGGCATAGCTAATATCCCCGTTCCTATATTCCCTTTTATTAGATGCATCAAACTTTGCATATTCCTGAAGTAAAATAAATGAATGAATGAAATAAATAACTCCAAATTATATTTTCAAGACATAGACATAAGACATGTTTTAAGTAGCATAAAGGTTTATATAATTGTACTCAATTACTGGTATGTATAATGACGCTTTCAGTTAGAGTGGTTATACAATTACAGAGTGGGATTTCAATATTATATAAGTATACATGGGTGTAACACATCGGTTCAGGGGGCGGATCCAGGGGCGGGGGTCACCCTGCCCAGCTACATAAAAAAATTATAAAACAACACTTTATGAGAAAAGTTTAACGGTCGTGTGCTTTATCCTTTATTATCCGATGCTGGGATGGGATTGGGATTCAAAGCGTGAAATAATGATATAGACATGTGTGATATCACAATTAATGCTTTGCATCAATGAAAATAAATCACAATGTGATCCTATTAATTCATATAAAAATTGACGTCAAACTGGGTGTTGCATATATATCTTTATGTATACATGCCTACGTAATTTAGTGACGATGATGGCATCGTGCATTGTCAACTGTCAAATTTCCTTAACAGGAGCCTGGCAAACCCCCTCCTGCAAAAATTCCTGGACCCGCCCCTGTGTTTGTAGAATCTAGAACTCACTGACTAGATCCAGATCCGGAACGGGTGGGGTTTATACTTACGAAATGGGGTTTTCAATGTTGTCCCTCTCTTGAAGTATTTCTGGTGACCGAACAATGTTATTTAATTCCACATTTCTATTATCATCTTGAATGTTTGGCAGAGGCGTAGCCGATGTATTTTCCATTTTTGGTGATGGGACACCAACATTGTCGTTTAATTCTCCAACTTGAATGTTTAGTGATGGCCTAGTCGATTCATCAGGGTTTTCGGTTTTTTCCCTTTCTGGTGACTGGATATCAACATTTCTCTTATCATCTTGAATGTTCGGTGGTGATTCGACACTAACATTGTCGTTTTTATCGTCTTCAACGTTAGATAGCCCAGCCGATTCAACTAGGTTATCAGTATTTTCCATTGTTGGTGATTCAGCACTGTTATTTAAATCCACATTTCTGTTGTCATCGTGATTGTTTGATAGAGGCGTAGCCGATATATTTTCCATTGCTGGTGATGGAACAGCAGTCGATTCAAGTGGCTTTTCGATATTTTCCATTTTTGGTGATTCGAAACTAACATTGTCGTTTAATTGCCCATTCATCTTATCGTTTTGGGTATAGGATAGCAGCTTAGCCGTTTCATCGTGTGAATCACCCGCCATTTTGTGGTAAATGTTAGCTTGGGTCATATATCCAGAATGGAAAGCAAATCAATCGCATTTTACCTACTGCTCGTCTGCTGTTATGGTTATATCATCCGATTCCAGGAAATATAACTACCTTTTGCTAAACTCCACTAACGTCATTAATGATAAGACAAATGTTAATTTAAGGGATTATGATTGAGGAATGTATAACGTATCGGCCATACAGATTTTTAACCCATAACTGGACCCTAACCAGTTAGCTCTTATCAGCATCAGTTAGCCCCTATTTAACTGCTGTGTCCATGAAGTCGGTCTGCCCGATTGAGAGTAACATATAGCCTATGTCGCCTATGTCGAGTTTGGTGGTTAGACAGCGCGGTTAAGTGGTGAGACAGCGCGGTTAAGTGGTGAGACAGTACTGTTTGATAGCATGCTAGGCGGTTAGACAGTTAGGTGTGTGGTTAGATAGCAAAGGTTGATAGTTGGCAAGGGCTGGGTCTAGTCTTTAGGATGGGACGAAAAACCGAGGTCCCCGTGTACAAGTTGGTGTGCACTTCCAAGCACCATTGACAGTTGAAATACAATATAAGAGTAGGCCGTAGGACAATGTATGACGTTCGCCCGTCTCCAGAAATGTGGCATACTATGGCAGGGTTTCCGTATATGTTAATAAGTCACGTGGTATTCACATTTACATATCAAGGATAGCGCTATGCGTAAGAAGCTATGTAGAAAGCGTAAAGGACAAATGAAATACGGCAGAGAGCAAATGTAAAATGTAAAGAGTGAAATTTATCATTTGACACAATGCATTTGACGTTTTAACATTTACCTTTGGCCTTAGAGGTATTTTGACTTTATCCTTACCAGTATTATGACTTTGTACATTGTATTTATTTTTTTTTACATATATTCACTCGAAATGACATTTTAGCAGAGCATTTAATATCGGCAGCGATACCCTTCCATAGGATATTACACCCCATTTCCTATCTTTCTTTTATAAACTGCATTAATGATTTATAACAATAAATGATATCTTATTGAATGGCATGGATTGACCTTTTACAAAACAAATTACTTGTTATAAATCGTGTGGTTAAAGATACATTATGTAAGATTTAGATAAAGAGCTGACCCTTATTACTATAATAGTGCACAAAGAGATAATTCAAAAATAATATAGTTAAAGTTTCATTGAAATTACTTTATTCTGAGTGACGATATCCATTTCTAAATTAAACCATTAATGGCGATTTATTTTAATCTGTGCCATCCGATGCTCTAGAGAGTTGGTTATAGACTTTTGATGTGAATACATGACTAAATAATAACTTCTACAATACTTGAAGCCAAAATTAAAATCTGTAATAGGCCGAGTTAGTTCGTGCAGGACGGAGGCCCTGACAAAGACAGCTGTCTAGTCGTTCGGGTGGGACGTGCATACATTGGCGTGCATGTAAAAGATCCCTTGGCAGTTGGAATTCTATATAAGTGTAGGCCATAGTGTCGCTTCCCGGGCAAAATTGCCTTCATAGCACACTGTATGGCGTATGCCCGTCTTCACTAGCCCAGTACAGGAACAGAACAGTAGGAAGCTAAAACCCTATTTCATTTCATTTCCGATTTAGCTCTTACATAATGCATCTTTAAGCATATAAATGTAAGGTGCTTACCGTACTCATATACATTATCCTTTATACAAATCCCGTACCGTTTCCAGGAGGGGTGTATACTGAGAATTCGGACTCGCTTATATGAAACACACCCCAACTCAAGATTTGTTTAATTGTTTTTGATATTCAGTGAAATACAACATGTTCTGTCATTTGAACAGCAGATCGAGCCCTTCAAAATATGTGCTAGGTTTTGTATGATTACTGTATAATAGGCTTTGAATTTGCATTATCAAAAATTTACGGTTGTCTATTTTACGATTATAAATGAAATGTGTACCTCAAAAGATGTGCCTAAAATAACTTTTGAATAGAACTGAAGAGCTACAAAATATTGACTTAACATGCCTAAAATAACTTTTGAATAAAACTGTTTACAATATTATATTATGATTATAATCCTACAAGTCAAGTCATTCATTACAGATTTAAAATTAAAGGGACTACTACACTGTAACAAAAATTTCCGTGAAAAAACGTAAAAAATTCCGGAAACAAAAATTACCAGGAAAATTTTATCCGTATTTGTTTTTCCTGTAATTTACAGAAATTCCTTCAATTAACATAAATTCCATTTTCAAATACAGAAAAAAAAAATCCTGGTAAATTTTGTTTCCTGACCATGAAGGTGATAAAAATTTCATTGAATTAACCATTGACTTTATACGCGTGCGTGAAATAGCTTTATTTAACGTCCGCTTCCACCGAAGTGATATCGCAAATAATTTTTAAACGTAACCTCTTTTCGCTATTATAAGAATCGAGAGCAAGGTATCACAAACCGCTACTCGTCAGTGGTTGGAGGCTTTCAGATGTAAGTTTGCGGTATTATCAATTCGCAGGTATGCAGACTCTGCCATAGAGACAAACCGACTTACACTGGCCAACCGGTAGTACTAACCGGACTTTAGCGTGCTTGATTACCAGATATTACAACCTTAACATCCGCAGCATTAAAACATACTTTTACATATTTATGAAAATACTTACAATCTGATTACCGTATGATGAATAACAATACACTTTATAGATCTTATAAATAATGGAAATTAGATATACATGTCAATTAATATACCAAACGTTACAAAATATGATTCTTCATATTATGGTTAATAAATTGAAATGAATACTATAACATGATGATTATTAGGAATGATTATATATGTAAACGATTACTTATCGTTGCACCGTTAATCCCGTAAAACAACAGAATTAAGTCCATTACAGAACGGAATAAAACATTTTATCCCTAAATTTCACGGAACTTCCTTGTCATTCCACCGTTTATTCCGTAAAATAACAGAATTAAGTCCGTTATAGAAGGGAATAAAACATTTTATCCCTAAATTTCACAGAAATTTCCTGTTTAATACTGAATATTCCACAGAAATACATAAAACACGTAATTTGAAGAAATAATTCAGACAATTAACACAATTTCTCCAAAAAATCCATCAATTAACAGAAAAAAGGTGTTAAATTACGGAATTCGGCCACATAAAAAATGGATATTTTTTACAGTGTACCCGGGGTGTGACACTTGGTTTATGATATAACATATATATACCGAGGAAATACCTCAAGTTAGGTCCATCATCACATCTCCCAAAAATAAGACTTCCCCTTAAAGAAAATATCATAATTATACGAAATGTTGTATGGATTATTTTCTAGTTGGATTTGGACAAAGGGCATTTACGATCGCGATAAAACAGTCGCCTGATTAGATTTGGACAAAGGGCGTTTACAATCGCGACAAAATAGTATTCGGATCGGATTTGGACAAAGGACATTTACAATCGGGCATAAAGTATTGGGCAGAAATGTCACCCTCTTCATTACAAAGACTAAAACAAATAATAGTATATGTAAGTACAAGCTCATAAATATTTAAATTACGAAAAACCCAGGTGTTTTTGCTACAAAGGGAAAGTATGCAAATTTTTTCGAAGTTTTAATATTGCTAATAATTTTATATAATTATATAGACATACTTTTCTTATCATTCTCTCAGATGCCACCCTTGACAAAATAAAAACGGATTGAAAAATCTGGAAAGTATTTCTCAGTCCTTCCACTCGACTACCGCAGCCGCTTAATACCAAGTGCAATAACTCTGGATGTTGATTTGAGACATCACTGAAATTCATTACAATTCTTTATCCTAACCTTTTGATTATATTTTTGGAAGATGGCATATGTGATTATGCAAATTTTAGGAGGTAGACGAGTTGTTTCCGGGTGTTTTCAAGACAGGAACGAACAGGAACAAAAAATAGTGGGATCTTGGTGCGGGGCCCTAAATTTTGGCGTTCTATTTACACACATAAACTTTTATTTCTGATCTCAGGTAAAATCTATAACCGCTTCTCTTAAGAAATTGTCATAACAAAAAATGCGCACACGCCACCGCTGCGGTTTTTTTTACCACCCGAATTGCTAAGAAGATAAGATGGGTGCACTCTGATATTCTCGTAATTTAAGCATGTTATGAATATATAGATACAATATACCTTAAAATCTAGTTGTTTCCAACAAACCACCATTCCTACCACAGCTCTGTACTAGTATTTGTTAACTAAATAGTTTATTTCATTGTATTCATATCAATAAGGGTGATTCATACGGCGTTTTATTATACACGCACACGCTACATTGCCCAACTCTCAAATATAATATCATTATAGTTATGAATTACATATCCGCCCAATTGCCACTGATTTAAGTGGGGGGCAGACGAGCACATGTTTTCGCCCGATCGCCCCGATTTTTAAAATCGCTCGATTCTGCTTGGCGAAACATTCGCTCGTATCTAGCATGTTAGATATTTTCGGCCGAATATTTTTCGCCGGCCATCAAATTCGCTCGTGTACCCGTGTCCAGCGTATATTAATATCACATGATCTCAAAATGTCTGCCTCCACTGCCAAAACGTGGAATCTAACTCCTGTACCACAAGTTGGGATTTGTCCAACGAGCCGTTCTAGGTATTCTGCGTTTTATTTTTATCAAACAAATAGCAAGCTACAACAGCAATTTTAGTATTTCGTCAATTCGCCATTTAGAACAGGTCATATGATCGGCGTACTTTAGTCGTAGAATGGCATACACTGTCGCGGCGATCGTTATATACGCCCGTTCATGAACGGCCGTAAAAAATCGCTGGCGAATTTTAATCGGCGCGATCAGGCGAAAAATACGCTTGTCTGCCCTTAGCATAAGGATATCACTTTTGATGAATAAGACGGAAAGATTAGTAAATACAAGGAACCTGCACAATTTGCGACATTCACTGCCACGCATTAAATGTTATATAAAGAAGGCCGCGTGAATACAAGATGGCCATAGACGTCAGCTTATCCGAAATGAATATTTACGAATTAATTTGATATTTGAACTCTGTCGTGTTTACAAGCTTATGCTAGATTCCCTCTTTCTTGATTCGTGCTACGACTGAAGTCGTGGTTTTAGCCGTGGAGTAATCGTAGTCTTAACAGATCTTATCATATATTGAGGTCAGTCGTAGCAATCGTGTTGACCGTATCGAAACGTATCCAAACGTATCTGCACGTAGCAGATCGTGGACTCAATAGTAACAATCCTATCGTAACGCATTGCACGACAGTGGGAAACTGGCATTAGTCTGATACGTATTTATCTCCGGGAACAGAAAATCCTAGAGTGCTAAAAATCACCATGGTTACCCCATTCTTGGCCCAATGCTTCACATGAAATGTCAAATTAATAGGGTTCATCACTAACATCCATAATGCTCCATTAAAAAAATGTAACTTCTCCCACGTTCACAATATTTTCGGAAAGTAGCGTATGTAACTGCGAAACGGAAAGCTGAATATCCATAGCATTCAACCGCGCCTTCCCAATGAAAACAAGCAGTTAAGAACTGTAGCCTCGATCGAAACGGAAGGTCCCAGTATGCTGAATATCAATAGGGTTCGCCCTTCCCTGACTATATTGTTTTTTTACCAAATTTGGAAAAAGTCCATTACGGCTTCCCAATGCCCCTGCCCCTCATTACTCCAGAATTAGAACCCTATGCTCATGGGGGCCAAATTAATAACATCGTTTGACTCCCACAAATATTCCCCGTACAGCAATAGCACAGAACAAGGATAAAAAATAATCTATAAAATATATATTAGGTGTATTTACAAGGCGATACTTTTATATATAAAATAACAAAACGTCCACGATATTTACAAAAGCATGATTAAAATACTTATAAAATCTATTTTTATCTTTAAGCATTATATTGTTATCCATATCTGACATCACACAGCTGTCCTGATTTGGGTTAATTTATTTTTTATACCATGATGTTAATATAATCGGGATATTGGCATAATCGGGTTCTCGCTGTATAAAGACACAATAGTAGTAGTAGATAGGGCACCTTTGTTATTTTTTTTCTTTTTGAGACAGAGTTATCTCCCTCGCCTGTAAGTGCAATGCTACTTACTGACAGAAGAAAATTTTGGCATAACAGATCATTACGTTACACAACGTTAAGACAGTTACATAACATTATGACAAGCTAAGAATCATTTTTTCGCCGAGCACCAGGTATAACCACAGTTTGTAACATATCATAACAAACGACGTATTATAACTTATGTAACTTTGTATAACACTACTCTGTAACAGTTGATTACACACGGACCGAGGTAAAACATTTGTAACAGGGTCTTCTTTACAAAATATTGGCATAACCTCAATGTTATAGAGGAGGGTTGTATATTAGTTTAACCAATCTTAACACCAACCCCGAATAGACCATAGTTACAAACACAATCTAACCCTTCATGTATTGGGGATTAGAAATTACATCTATTTTTTAGATATCACAAATAAAATGTCACTAGTGTTTAATATGTTTCTACAATTGCTTGTATAGCAGTATAAGTTCCAGTCAGGAAGCCGAGAATTCCCAAGAGTACTAATAATACGTCTTTAACAAGAATCCACATAGGTAACGTTTCGTTTTCAGCTGTTAAGGTCACCACCTCTATCGTTGCTGGAAAAATGATAGCGAGAGAACTGACCGAAAACGCACCAATTAAAGATATCAATAAATCCAAATGTGGGACAGCAGCGGCACAGGTAACTGAAATAAAGAGATACACATAATTTAATAATACACAGTGAGGAGTAACTACTCAACAAACCCTAGGACGAACATACAGTCAATAGATAACTGAAATAAACAAATACGTATTAATACAAAATAATGTTATAAGCCACAGTGCAACTTAACTTCCCCCCAAATCATAGAACACTCTGTACAGATAGTTTACGTCGTAAATGCTGTGGACTTAATGTGCGAAAATCCAGAAGGTTTTGTTTATTCGTCACTTGAAACTCACCCAACTCCGCATCAAACTACAAGACTGATCAGGAAAGGGTGTTTAGCTGTTGGGGCGACATACTGAGGTCCATCCGTGGCGTGCACTAATATCAATGAATATCTAATCAGATAAAACCAACAATCATTATCAGGCGAAGGCATGTGTTAGTTTGATCAGGATCAAGGTCAAGAGCGCATCCAGAGACCTCTCCCGGAAACTTAAAAAAACCTAGAAGACCGGAAATATCATTTCCAGTGATCTGTGACAAGAATCCGCTTCTAAAATAATGAATTATAATGGGATTGGGTCCAAATGGGGGCGGCTGGACGTGGGAGGGGACACTAGATACGCCCCTGATGTTGATATAGTAGAAACTTACAAGTGATTAGTACCAGTCCAATGCGAACAAAATATTCACCAAATCTTTCAAATCTTGTGTTTTCATATTTAGATTTAAAGAATGGTAGTAGAAGTTTAGCAGGAACGTACATCTGAACACCATAAGATATAGCAATACACAGAGCAAACATTAACTTTACTGATAAATATAACCTGTAATATACATGTAATATATTGACTTCAGACACGTAATAAGGGCAACTTGATTTGACATATCTATTCACTTGATTTGACATATCCATTCACTTGATTTGATATATACTTTTGTTAATTATTGATTGCAATTTTCGTGTACAGTGTATTGTTTTTGTGTGCTGTGTAGTCTCCCAGCACTTAACATTGGATATTTCAGGAACTTCGCCACCTATAATTTGCATGATGCCTAACGACCATTTTCATGAAATTTAAAAGAATTAGTCCACCTGGGCCCGGTTTCACGAAATTTTAACTAAAGATAAAATCCAAATTTTAGTAGATACTTCAATTTTGATTGGCTAAGCACTAAAATCAATCTAATATTATCCAATCAAATTACTAAAATTTGGATTTATACTAGTTAAAATTTCGTTAAAAACAGGCCCCTGTTTCTGTATTCTTACAATATACATATGATAATGGCCCGGATTTTAGAAACCGAGACAGATCTTTTCCAACAGAAACAATTATCAATAATCAGTTTGTATTCTTAACATCAGATTGTATTAAAACTCATTTTATTTTTTAAAGATGCATTATGTAACATTTAGATAAAGGACTGGTCAATATTTCTCTAATAGTTCAAAAATAGATAATGAGAAATGAATAAATTGAAAATTTCAGTCCAATTACTTTATTCCGAGCAACATTATGAATGATTTGACAAGGTAGTTTTGTTTGACAAGTATCTAAAGCTTTATTATCCATTTCAACGTTAAATTATTACATGACCCGGCTGTTCTAATCCATTCAATGTCAAGGTCATCCGACAGTCTAGAGTGTTGATTATGGGCTTGTCAGGCGAATAAATGCATAATTAATAATTTGAAGTCCAAATAGATCAGCAAAGGGCCGATTTGGCTCTTGCATAATGCATCTTAAATAGTCGACATCCAGTTCCCCGTTATAAAAGAAAACCCTATTGGTTTATCAACTTGAGATCACTGACTTGTTTCACAAGTTTTGCGAAATATTGCAATGGTGTTAGCTATATTACCATTGGTCGCTTGGTAAATTGAGAGTTATGCTGCCTTTTGCGTCATCGCCATATTTTAGATAACCATAGAAACCCATCATCGTGTACAAACAGGAAACGGTAACCATGCCAAGATTTAAAACACCATCCAGGCCAACAAAGTCTGACGGATAACGCATTTTATTTTCTATTGGAAGAACCTGTTGTAAAATAACACTAAATAATACAAAATAAATTATTTACAGCCTTTATCGTAAACTCTTACAAAATTTTTATTGCAATGTCTTAGTTACACATTAGATACTTTACATATTCTGAGTGATAGCAGTTTACGGTGACTACTGTGGTTTATATATATTATGATTATAAAACTGTCAAAATACTTTATAGTAATAAAAGTTATGAATGTTTGAAGTTTTGACAAGAAAAAGCAATACGTAGCAGGTCAATGACAGATGAAACCTCCGTCCACAGTTCATATTCTTGATTGTCAAGTACCATTGACACTAAAATAAACGACGTCTTCATTGACACGACTTTTATGAGCAATTTGTGTCTATATTTGCATTTAACGCAGACATTGCCTTATCTACTCAATATCTAAGCCACAGTACTACCCAGAGGGTTTATTGTGGGCTTGTTTAAACCAAAAACGAAAACTAAAATTTGTAAACCAAGCGACTAACGCATAATATTTCGAAAATTTTATTTCGAAACTTAAATCAAAGATAAACTCTACAATTTACATTACCAAGTTTATTCCTTCATACGCGTAGAGAGCTGTTCCAAAATATAAAGGCAGATGATTCCATCCAGTAAATGCTGGCCTTGAATCGACGTTTGGTAATCCTTGTGTCACGTAATATATTATTATAAGCAGGCCTGTGGCTGTAACAAGGTTAGCAAAAGTTGAAAACACTGATAACGACCGTAAGTTCTTCACAAAGAAATATGGCACCAAAATGGCGGCAACCCCAACTTCATAAATCCTAATAGTTGGGTCGTTCGGATAAAAATGATTGATGACCTATAAGAAAAGAAATAGAGAATTCGATGCATCTGTCACATGCATACTATATATAGCACTAATATCCACAAGCGCCTATAACGTGGAATATCTTTCCCAATAGCATAACTGGTCTGAATCTGATTCTCTAAGCAAATAACCCCTTGCGTGTCACGTGAACATTTTAACCGACATCATAGACTAGGCCGATAGCCTAACTAGTGAGAATTAGTGAGTATTGCGACTGGTTAACAGAATGTAGAGTAGTTGATGTTGATACAGTTAGTGCTAAATGATAAGGCCAGTAGCGCTAATACCAACCCTAACCCTAAACCTGACCCCAATCTTATAAGCAACACGCCAAACTATGTGACCCATTCTGCACACAGAAAAATATCTACTTCGGGAATATATCTCTGCCTTGAATGGCATCCATACCAAAAATTAGTATACTATACTATTCAAAAAAAGTAGGGGATATTTGATTTTTAAGTGTTATTAAAGTCACCTAATGAAACTGACGAAGAAACAAATGACAAAATGAAATGAAGTTCACATTCATCGATTTATTCCAAATGATCGTTAGACTAAGTAAGGCACAGACTGACCATTATAAGGGTAAAATGATACCCGGGGTCAAACAGCAAAGTTACCACAGCATCACAACCAAGTCAGTAACGGGTAAATCCTCCTCTGTTTGCCAAACAAGCATTGATCCGACGTGGCATACTCCTAATGAGACGTCTAAGGTCATTTTGGTCCAGATTGTCCCATTCCTGTTGCAACGCAGCAGCAAGTTCTTGGACATTGGCAGGACGTTGTTGACGTTGACGTAACCTCTGTCCAAGCATGTCCCAGACATGCTCGATGGGGGAGAGGTCGGGACTCAGTGCTGGCCAAGGTAATGTGGTGATGTTCTGTTGTTGGAGGTAACCTGTAACGATCCTGGCCCTGTGACATCTTGCGTTGTCATCCTGGAAGATGAAACGGCGGCCATGACGTCGTGCGAACGGCACAACATGGACTGCCAAGATGTTGTCCCGGTAGTACTGGCCTGTAACACGCCCTGTAACAACATGTAAAGCCGTTCTTCCAGCAACAGTGATGCCTCCCCACACCATAACAGAACCACCCCCAAATCGATCATGTCTGATGACGTTAACGTCTTGGAAGCGCTCGTTTCGACGACGCCACACCCTCCTACGTCTGTCCAAAAAATCAACAGTGAACCTTGACTCATCTGAAAACATCACATTGCTCCAGCGTCGATTATCCCAGTGTTGACGATCCCTACACCAACGACGTCTTGCCTGAATGTGATGATCTCTCAAACAAGGGATCACGCGAGGACGTCGGGCGCGAAGGTGACCCCTATGCAGTCGATTCCGAATCGTCTGGCCATTCACTCTCACACCAGTGTCTGTTTGAAGACGAGCGCTGATCTGATTTGCTGTGATGACACGATTTCTCAAGGCCAAGGTACGGATAAATCGATCCTGGGCTTGAGTTGTCGCCCTTGGTCGACCTGAGCGTGGTCTGTCCTGTACAGATTGTGTATCACGGTATCTGGACCATAGCCTGCTTATGACAGACTGAGAAACATTCATCGTCCGCGCCACAACCGCCTGTGTTGTGCCGATCTGTAGCATGCCAAGGGCACGTAACCTTTCATTTTGGGTAAGCCGACGCATATCAAAATTTGTTTTCTGGTCACTAAAACAATTAAACTGATGTTTCCACCCTGGAATTCAATGCCACAATGACTGTAACATTCAAAGTCAGAGTCGTGCAAATCTTGGGTTGGACCCCCATGATGATCCCAAGCATCACCTGCATTCCATGCGGTAGCTATTGGTGCGTTTGGGCGTCACATGTAACTGGAAATGTTTCTTCTGTTAGGTTCTATAGTGACTTTTTTCTTAGTCATTTGCATATTTTAGTATTATGCCCCCAAAATCAAATATCCCCTACTTTTTTTGAATAGTATATATACATTTTGAGGGTTGGTCAGTAAAATAAAACGCCGTACGAAACACTCTTATTGATATGAATACAATGAAATAAATTATTTAACTTTTATTTCCTGTAAACATTGTCGCCTAACAAAATAACAAACACTAGTACAGTGCTTGAGTGGGAATGGTGGTTTGTTTGGAATCAACTGGATTTTAAGGTATATTGTATCTATTTATTCATAACATGCATAAATTACGAGAATACCAGAATGCACTCATCTTATCTTCTTAGCAATAGGAGTGGTAAAAAAGCAGCAGTGGTGAGGGAGAAATTTTTGTTATGATAATTTCCTAATGAGGGCGGTTATAGATTATTACAGGAGATCGTAAAGTACAAGTGAGTTTATGTATGTAAATAGAATGCTAAAATGTAGGGCCCCGCACCATGTCGTTTTGAGAAATCACGTAAACGATCCCACTATTCTTCGTTCCTGTTCGTTACTGTCTTGAAAATACAAGGAAACAATTCGTCTACCTCCTAAAACTTGCATAATCAAAAATGCCATGATCTGATTTGCTGTGATGACACGATTTCTCAAGGCCAAGGTACGGATAAATCGATCCTGGGCTTGAGTTGTCGCCCTTGGTCGACCTGAGCGTGGTCTGTCCTGTACAGATTGTGTATCACGGTATCTGGACCATAGCCTGCTTATGACAGACTGAGAAACATTCATCGTCCGCGCCACAACCGCCTGTGTTGTGCCGATCTGTAACATGCCAAGGGCACGTAACCTTTCATTTTGGGTAAGCCGACGCATATCAAAATTTGTTTTCTGGTCACTAAAACAATTAAACTGATGTTTCCACCCTGGAATTCAATGCCACAATGACTGTAACATTCAAAGTCAGAGTCGTGCAAATCTTGGGTTGGACCCCCATGATGATCCCAAGCATCACCTGCATTCCATGCGGTAGCTATTGGTGCGTTTGGGCGTCACATGTAACTGGAAATGTTTCTTCTGTTAGGTTCTATAGTGACTTTTTTCGTAGTCATTTGCATATTTTAGTATTATGCCCCCAAAATCAAATATCCCCTACTTTTTTTGAATAGTATATTTTGTAATGCGGCTCTACTCCGTCAAAGACTAAATAAACAGTTTCACCTTCTCGAAATTCTCGAAGTATACTTAGTGTTTTCGACTAAAATCATCGATTTATGTCGGTCATCCAGTGTCTGTTCTCAAACGGAGCTAATTGTATATGGACAACATTAGCTTAGAATCCCTGTGGATGAAACTCCGATCCATCACTTTATTGTTATAATATAGGTAAACTAACCTGTTTGATATTTGTAGAAATAAAAACAACATAAACACCACACCCACCAACTTGTGTTATTATGATGAATGTTAAAACTAAATATCTAAATTAAAGATAAACACAGAGTTGCCAGTCAACACAAATAGCTTAAAAGATAAAACATATCTGAACTTTACAGAGAGTAATTTAAAATTGAAACTGGCATTCTCAAATGTTTGATTGCCTTAACAATATATTATAATAGTGTGATCATCTGCCAATCGCTAACATTGTTTCTTTAAACAAAGCATATTATAGATAATAGTCTTAGGTGCAGATTCGGTGAACCGTCCATTTTTCGGGCAATGTAATTCCATTTTTCGGGCACACACATTTGTGGAAAACTCGTTTAAGTAATGATTGATTCATACTGAAAATTCGGGTGAAAAAGAAAATTTTCGGGCAAATAGTCTCAGCCCCCGCCCTCCAACTGAGATTGGCCCGTTACGATTTTGGGAGTGACATACATATATATATGGTCGTGAGTAATTGGTTAACTCAATGCTTTATTCAACACCCTTCTACAATATCCCCACCTCACTCATCTATAATATCCATTGTTTAAAGAAACATTAATTATGTTAGCGTTTGGCTATAATATCTAGAGGTAATTAACATGATAAATTCGACGTTTCTCTTTTAAAGGGAAAGGAAACTAGTGATAGTGAATCAAGATAAAACATATATTTACATAAATTTCATACCTGGCTTCTTTTGAGAACTTCCGAAGTTTTGTTGGACCCGTTGTCAAAGCTGTTTCCATGACATCAGCATAGTCCAAGGTAATAGCACCCGTCCTGTAAGATTCGTTTTGGAGACAAATTGTGTTTATATGCCAGAACAGTATATAGGATTAGTATGCTATGCTTAATGACAGATTTTAATAAATATGTTAAATTATATTTTGATGGGACTTTCATTTTTTACACGCGTAGATAATACAGGGCACTTGAATTATTTCAAATATGATTGGGGTTAACCAAGCTACCATGGACGAAAAAAAACAAACGCCAATTAAGTAAAACTACACTGAAGGAACAAACCATGCACCCAGTAAACATGTAAAGGCTAACATGGGAGAATCAAACTAACACTAAGTAAATACTTCGAAGCGAGAACCAGACTAGCACCAACTAAACACATTGAAGCTACAATGAGCGAACGAAATTAGCACCCAGTAAACACGTTGAAGCTAGCACGAGAGAACAAACGATGCGCCCAGTAAAAACGCTGAAGCAACCATGAGACAAACCATGCACCCAGTAAACACGTTGAAGCAACAATGAGTGAACAGACCAAAATACCCAGTAAACACGTTGAAGCTACCATATTAGAACAAACTAAGTACCATGTAAACCCGTGAAGGTACCACGAACGACCAAACAAGCACGAAGTAAACACGTTAAAGCTACCATAAAAGAACCAAAGTATAGCATCAAGTAAACACGTTGAAGATACCTTGAATGAATAAAACAAGCACGAAGTAAGCACTGTGAAGCCACCACGAAAGAACCAAGCATCCGAATTTAACAGATATGATTTAACTGATTTTATGCTTTTAACCTTTCATTCAGTTAAATAGACCCATTATACATGCTCTCATTTTCATTTTGTAGAAGGGCCTTTTTACAGATCATCGGATAAATATTTCTAAAACACAAGAAAACATGGAATACTAGCTGATTAGGCAATCGATCGAAAATCCTTTCTCGGGTTCCAATCTGATTAAAACACAGATTCTATTTCGTTTCGTTTTTTATAGTTCTAAATTTCGCTTTACTTGTTTTTACTGCACTAGGATCTGGAAGAGTTGTTAAAGAATCCGTGTTCTGGATGATGTGAAGGATTAGCCAATGCAACGGTCTGTGACAGGGAGTTTTGGCGTGAGGTGCACGGAACTTTGGGTAAACCACTAAAAAAGTCAACGCTGATTGATTTCATGTAGTGTAGGCCGTCGAAAGTATTAAAATAAAAAAAAATAAGCGAAATAGCAATCTGATTTGGACCTTATGGCGTCAGACGACATTGATTAATCAACCAGCGTTGACGTTTCTAGAGGTTTGCCCACAGTTCCGTGCACAGTATGCCAAGAACTCGCCGTAACAGGCCGCTTCATTGGTTAACCCCTCACATTAACCAGAACGCGGCTTATATAACAACTTTTCTAGATCCTAGTGTAGTGAAGACAAGTAAAACGAAATTTTGAACTATAAAAAAACGAAAAGAAATATAGATCTGTATTTTAATCAGATTGCTCGAGTTCATATCGAGAAATAAACCCCTGTTGTCGCTGGCGTCCGGGGCATAGCTCTCACTGGTATTGCAGAGAACCAAAGCCTTCTACACTGGATAGATACATTTTCATGACGAGTTAGCTGATCTGTCTCTCTTGATTACCCGGTTGGTACATATAAGACCTTAAACCATATTTCATTTTATTTATTTAAATTCTTATTTATATCCTTGATTGAAACATTCGCCACTTTAAATATTCCAAACTGTGTACTTTTAAAGTCTGAAATTAGTTTGAAAATAGTATTTATATTACATGTACATAACTAATTTTACCTTCTGCACATGATACGATTACATTTGACGAGTAGATGCATACAGTGTGTGGCTATAACACCTATTAACAGTATTCCCACAGTTCCCACCTATAAATTTAAAGTAGTACAGACATGGATGTAAAAATGGATTATTAGTTTTAATAACAACTTGGTATATATATATAATGTGTTTTATCAAAACGAAATGTAATGAGACTTAATAATATCCTACGTTTCAGCGTCATGCGAGCTTATGAGGACAGGTGCGCTTTTTCAACCCCGAAACGATACAATTTCTATCCACCTGATTACTTCCCCCCCCCCCCACCCGAACTCTTTAAATCTCAGAAAGGGTTAAGACTAGCAATTGCGTCTATTTGTAGCAAGTCACCTTTTCTTCGTTTCATGATTTGGGTTTGGACTGATCAGGAAGTAAATTGACAAGGGCGAACTCCTACTAAAATGACGCCACTGCCCATAGATTACTTTCGCCAGGCCTATCAAAATGGTCATCTTCCGTCAGTATTTTGATCAGATGATTGTGACGTTGGGCTCTTGGGTGTTTTAAGTATTACGATCATTGGAATATTCAAACATTGAAATCAATGGGGAGAGAATTATTGCATCCGACCTAACTTGGTGAACGCTAGATCGGAGACCGTCTAGCACACACGACGTCATATGTGGAGTGTAGTTTAGGGTTAGGACTGTAGATTTCGTCAAGGTCTCGAAATATAAACAGGGATAGTGCTAACCCTAACCCTAACCCTAGACCTTACCCTAACCCTGACGTCATTTGTGCTAGATCGTCGGCAATTTAGCGTTTTCTACCTAACTGCTATAGCACTGAATCGTTATTAATATATGTCATATCATTGACTCTTCATTGAAACGTTACTAATATATTTCCTTGTCATTCAATCGTTACTAGAATATTGTCATATCATTGAATCGTGTATTGTCGTTTTGTATTCATATATTATGTTTTTAATTATGTATATACAGAATGTGTTGCGATACTTTTTTATCTACGTACATATACACCCTTTGCAAAATTTTTATTTACATGTAGAGGAGTGGGATTTTAGACAGGCCAGGCTCCGTTTTCCATGTATGCCTTTTCCCAACGTTTCTGCGCGTATTTTCGCCGGTGGAAAAGTCGGTCAAATGCAAATGTCATGCATGAAAACGCCGGGAAAACGCACTCATGTTAAACGGGCTTCAGTCTGTTCCCTAATCATATTTAGATATCTGCTGAATAAACATCCTGAATAAAATATTGTTTATCATAGCTTGATGTGGTGCAGCTGGTTGTGTATCAATATAACTTTAATCAAAATATGCTACCCATAATCCAGCGTTACCAACAGCAACCGGCATAGCTAATATCCCCGTTCCTATATTCCCTTTTATTAGATGCATTAAACTTTGTAGATTTCTGAAGAAAAAAAATATATTTTCAATAAATTCATAACCGATCTTTAAGTAAATATAACATTCTTTTCCAAGATAATTTATTATCTTGTTTAAAGACCAAAGGTACATGTAGTTTGGATTACGATATCTAACTAACTAAAGATTATGTGGCCATTATGTACTCTTGTAAATTGTTAAAGGGAAAGGAAACTGTTGATCCATTTGGATCTTTTGGTATATTCTAATTGCCTTAAATTTCTAATACTTTATCTTTTAACAATATTAGAGGTCAATTGGTTCATGATACACAGATGAGTTGAACGAATTTTTGGAACAGGAGCAACTACTTATATGCGTTCGGGCATGGACACTGTACCGGGGTAGTGACAAGCAAACAACCGACGGTCGATCGATTGTCGACTTGTTGCTAGAAAACCAGGAGGCTGTAAAGGCTACGATGGACCCAGTATTGGACAGCGGTGCAGGTCATGCGGTCAACCCCCGAATATGTTTTGAATTTTTGAACAATCTAACTAACCGTATTTTGACAATGCCGCCACGGAATATGATATAATCATAAGCACATCAAGTGAAGTCCGGGATAAAAGTTTTACTGTATAAGTTGTAATTCGTTATTTCCTTCCTCCTTCCTTTTTAGAAATAAACTTTTTAGAGAATCTAAATGCTACGGAGGGGGTGGGGGCAATAGTATAACATTTAGTTGATAGAATTTAGTATTCATGTATTAGTACATGTATATACTCACGGGGGTGGCGGGAGGGGGGGTGTATACTTACGAAATTGAGTTTTCAATATTTTGTCTCTCTGTTTCTATTTCTGGTGGTTTGACACCTACACTGTCGTTTAACTCCACATACCTCTTGTCACTTTGAATGTTTGGTAAGACCCTAGCCGATTCCATGGACGCTTGTGAATCATCAGCCATTTTTGTGATCAATGGTGGCTTGGTTCATGTATCTAGAAATGATGGAGAGGGATGAAAGTATATCGCGCTGTGGGTTCGGGTGACCGAATGGTTTAACGGGTGCGCCTTAAATCACACAGTCTGTCATTGCATCAAATGGTGTGGTTTCGACTCCCCGAATGTACGTGATAAGGGGTAGGGTTGTGCGTCCAACCAAGTGGGGTTTCTCCGCGTTCTCCGGTTTCCTCCCACTGCTAAAACACCCCTACGCGCAAGCGAGTTATTGAAATAAAATTGAACAGCGTGTCAGTCCCGAAATGACCTAGATTGCGTCGAGTGGACGTTAAACCTCTCTCTCTCTTTCTCTCTCTCTCTCTCTCTCTGTCTCTCTCTCTCTACCCGATTGAGAGTACCTAGCCTGTTCTCCCATCGCACAACTGTACGTAGTTACACACACGGATTACAGGGGTTACACACAAGTATAACCTGGTGCCCAATCCAAGCCAGGAATTTGTTCCTCGTAAGGAAACAATTGGTATCTTGTATAATCTGCAGCTAAATGTACATTAAGGGCCACCCACTTTAGGGGACCGGGTAAGGGTGGGAGAATTGCAATGTAAATGTGCCCATGTTTCACAAAATACGATGGTTTTGACTGGATGGATTTTTCTGAACTTTAGAAAGGATATAAGTCGATAGGTAAATGTACTTACAAATTGATTTATGAAGTGATGTGATATCCACGCTTTCACGGTAACATGGCTGTCGGTGAGTTAGAAATTTGATCTGCTATTTATCTTCCAACCATATGGTACACAATCCTGAATTGCAAATTTTTTTTTAATTACTGCTTACGTAGTATAGGCTCACGCGCTGCGCTCAGCTGATAATGATGGAAGATAATTAAATTTTTAATATTCTTTTATCGCACAGCAACCCACTTTTATAAAGGTGTATCGGTGTGTAATTTGGTCGGATTTCGCAATAGCTGTGGCGTGTCTTGCGCTAATATTGTTTTACAAACAAAATGAAATGGGGTTTAACGTCTTACTGTTCTGCACCGACTGGGATAATGAAGACGGATACAGTGACAGTGTGCTATGAGAGATTTTTTTTCGGACAGCAGCACTACGATCTACTCTTATTTCGAATTCATACTGTCAAGTGTTCATTTATGTACGCGTCAGTGTGTACACGCGACCTGGGTTTTCGTACAATCCGATCGACAATGCACTGTCCTTTGCCACGCCCATCCATTTTTACAAAAGCCTTTTTAAAATTGCGTGTATGTTAGGATGTAGGAGTATTTAGATTGTACGATGTTTCGGTCACAAACGTTTCATGCATAGAGATGTTTCAACTCTGACCCTAACCAGTAAGCACTTATTTAACAGATATTGAATTGACGTGGACTTAACCACAATAATCGTCGAAAAAAACGAAACGTCAACCTTCGGGTCCGCCGTGTGTGTGCGTTGAATTTACAGGCCGTTATTTTACGGTAATTAATTAAGTCAATAAATGGCCGTGTTTGTTTTAGAAAAAAATATCCCATTTTATCCATTATTATAAGCCCACATTTTCTTGTGGACGTATATTGTATTTTGTGTGGACAATCTACAGGTCACAATTTTTATCCCTTATTATTGCACGAAAAATCACGTTTTTAGCTTGTGCACACTCTAGAGGTCACAATTGTTCTACCGATTTTGATGAAACATAAATTATATGTTTATAGACCAAAGATCTCGGTTCCTGTCGATATTTGCACGTATCGGACCCTAACTTCCCGAATTATGACCCCTGATTGTACGAAAAATTGCGCTTTTAGCTTGATGACCCTCTAAAGGTCACATTTTTATCCGATTAAAAAAAATCGTTAGATACATGACCGTTACAGCATAATGACATTTGAGTTCGAATTTCGTGAAAATTGGACGGAAACTGTCCGAGAAAATGGCCTCTCCCTGTACGCAAATAGTGTAAAAGTATGTAATACCAAGGTTGTGGACCCTCTAGAGATCACCATTTTTATTGGATTTTGATGAAACTTAAAATATGTGTTTACATCCCATAGTTCTGGGGTTGTAACTTCCTGGATTATGGCTTTTCTGTTTAGCTTGTTCTCTGTCCATCTATTGCAAAATGTGAGCGTATCTTGCATGGCAACCGCTTGTATTTCAAGGGGATGAGCCATCGGATGGTCTAAGGAGTGCGCTGTAATATAAATCTTAAGGTGCCGTATGGCGTCATGTGATGTGGTTTCTATCCCAAGCTTGTACATGACATGTAGAAGGGTCGACTGTCCATTCTAGTGGGATTTCTCCAGGTCCTGCGGTTTCCCACCACTAATAAAGACTCCTATGATCAAACCAATAATTGAAATAAAATTGTACCATGTCAACATGATCATATTTCCCTACAACTGTAGGCATTGGAACCCCCAACCCATATCTCGAAAACGCCCCCTCAAACGCCTGTTCACCACACAGATTCGGCATCTACGCAAAAAACTCGTATGGAAAAAAAAAAGAGAGAGAGAGAGAGAGAGAGAGAGAGATGGGGTTTAACGTCCACTCGACACAAACTAGGTCATTTCGGGACTAACACATGGTTCAATTTTATTTCAATAATTCGCTTGCGCGTAGGGGTCTTTAGCTGTGGGAGGAAACCGGAGGACCCGGAGAAAACCCACGAGGTTGGACAGGCGACCCTACCCCTTGTCACGTACAACCGGGGATTCGAAACCACGCCAGTTGACTCAATGACAGACTTTATGGTACAGCACGCACGTGCTAACCATTCAGCCATCCAACCCCCCTCGTATGGAAAAACATGGTCTCATAAATTCACAGCTCTGGTGGCGACCGCCCCTTTATCCACCGGACTAATCCACTACATATCTGACAGCGTATAAATACATGTAGGAGTGTCTAACAAATCTTTAATATGATACACTGACACATGGGATAATTAGGTCATGTATTCGATTTAAAAAAGATTTACTTTTATATCACACGTCAAACTGATCGAGGTCAAAGTCACTGGTATCTTTCCGTGGTAAAACTCCAGAATGTTACGGTACATTCATCATTTTATTTTCTGTCGGTTTCCCATGAATGTGTGTTAGATGAATAATTTCAGATTGTACATCATTTTTATTAGTTTTTGCTGCATCTTAAAATGCTTTCACCCATAATTCAAATTTGAACAGAAATATATACAGAGAATTCGTATTCGTTTCTACCAAAAACGGCTTTACTCAGTATTTGAACCGCAGATCTAGTACAGCAAACGGTAATGTAATAAAAACGTGAAATAAAATGAAATGAAATGAAATTTAACATTCCATTGTTCTGCGCCGACTGGGCTTATGAAGACGGACAGACGCATTCAGTGTGGCCTACTCTTATATAGAATTACAACTGTCAAGGGTTCTTTACGTGCACGCCAATGTGTACACGGGACCTCAGTTTTTCGTCCCATCCGGACGACCATACGCTGTCCCTTGCCAAGCCCTCCGTCCTGCACCACTGTCAAGGGGGAATCATGCCTGAAAATCCAGATAAACTTTCTCGGTCAACACAGATATCGAATACGGGACCTCCAGGATAGCAAGCTAACGTGCTGCTCTTTGGGCCACCGCCATCATCCCCCATCTTGAATTTATTATGTACCCTAAATATAAACAGTTGAACCCAGCTATCTACAAATTTACTAGATTTACTGGTCTACCGCGGGTTCAATGAACAGTGGCTCCCCAAAATTCATATATACTATTCAAAAAAAGTAGGGGATATTTGATTTTTAAGTGTTATTAAAGTCACCTAATGAAACTGACGAAGAAACAAATGACAAAATGAAATGAAGTTCACATTCATCGATTTATTCCAAATGATCGTTAGACTAAGTAAGGCACAGACTGACCATTATAAGGGTAAAATGATACCCGGGGTCAAACAGCAAAGTTACCACAGCATCACAACCAAGTCAGTAACGGGTAAATCCTTCTCTGTTTGCCAAACAAGCATTGATCCGACGTGGCATACTCCTAATGAGACGTCTAAGGTCATTTTGGTCCAGATTGTCCCATTCCTGTTGCAACGCAGCAGCAAGTTCTTGGACATTGGCAGGACGTTGTTGACGTTGACGTAACCTCTGTCCAAGCATGTCCCAGACATGCTCGATGGGGGAGAGGTCGGGACTCAGTGCTGGCCAAGGTAATGTGGTGATGTTCTGTTGTTGGAGGTAACCTGTAACGATCCTGGCCCTGTGACATTTTGCGTTGTCATCCTGGAAGATGAAACGGCGGCCATGACGTCGTGCGAACGGCACAACATGGACTGCCAAGATGTTGTCCCGGTAGTACTGGCCTGTAACACGCCCTGCAACAACATGTAAAGCCGTTCTTCCAGCAACAGTGATGCCTCCCCACACCATAACAGAACCACCCCCAAATCGATCATGTCTGATGACGTTAACGTCTTGGAAGCGCTCGTTTCGACGACGCCACACCCTCCTACGTCTGTCCAAAAAATCAACAGTGAACCTTGACTCATCTGAAAACATCACATTGCTCCAGCGTCGATTATCCCAGTGTTGACGATCCCTACACCAACGACGTCTTGCCTGAATGTGATGATCTCTCAAACAAGGGATCACGCGAGGACGTCGGGCGCGAAGGTGACCCCTATGCAGTCGATTCCGAATCGTCTGGCCACTCACTCTCACACCAGTGTCTGTTTGAAGACGAGCGCTGATCTGATTTGCTGTGATGACACGATTTCTCAAGGCCAAGGTACGGATAAATCGATCCTGGGCTTGAGTTGTCGCCCTTGGTCGACCTGAGCGTGGTCTGTCCTGTACAGATTGTGTATCACGGTATCTGGACCATAGCCTGCTTATGACAGACTGAGAAACATTCATCGTCCGCGCCACAACCGCCTGTGTTGTGCCGATCTGTAGCATGCCAAGGGCACGTAACCTTTCATTTTGGGTAAGCCGACGCATATCAAAATTTGTTTTCTGGTCACTAAAACAATTAAACTGATGTTTCCACCCTGGAATTCAATGCCACAATGACTGTAACATTCAAAGTCAGAGTCGTGCAAATCTTGGGTTGGACCCCCATGATGATCCCAAGCATCACCTGCATTCCATGCGGTAGCTATTGGTGCGTTTGGGCGTCACATGTAACTGGAAATGTTTCTTCTGTTAGGTTCTATAGTGACTTTTTTCGTAGTCATTTGCATATTTTAGTATTATGCCCCCAAAATCAAATATCCCCTACTTTTTTTGAATAGTATATATTATTCATTTTTTTTAAGATATACCGAGACGCACAACTTTTATTATGGATGATTGTAAATCTAGTCTGCCAGCTTCACTTAATCTTATAACGGTAACACGAGGGGGTGGTGTTTTCACGATCGCTTAATAAACGCACCACATTATTAGCTAATCACAAATATTTGAATGTGAATGTTGAAAATCATGATTAGATGGTGCACAAATGGAGCATGGAGTATAAATATGGCTTTCAAAATATGACAACTGAAGAGGGCGTAGAAGCAGAATGCATGCATTGCAACGACCCCACACGCAAGCGTTAATTGATCAAGGTCATTCTGTTTTACATTTCTTTATACGCCTCAAAAACTTTTAAAACCATCTTCGAATTACACCGATCTTTTAAAATTTGTATTACAAAGGTCTTTTGTGATACACTTGACTAAAATCTCCCGAATCCTTATAACTAAATGTAGTACCTTTTAATTGCTTCAAATTTCGAGAACAATCAATACGAAAAGATGCACCTACTTTCCAAGTAGTCCTGGAATGTTCTCCCAGTGTCGAAATCCTCTCTTCGACAAGTTTTTCTCCCGGGGTAGAATATCCTGATCACGGCATCAAATGTGACACTGTCCTGGAGTGAACATTGTTTTTTCCAAATCATAACAAATAGACTCAAGTTATTTGGCACTGGATCCAGATTTTAAAAATCCCGAGGTAAGGGTACTTCTTGGCTCATATCTGGATTCCACTACAGCTAGAATATCATCCCCCCCCCCTTCCCCTTGGTATAAACGACATAAGCCTAAAGAAATTTAAATTAGGTGTGACCTTTCGGATGCCCTGGGCTATACAAGACATAACAAAAAATCAAGAGTAATAACTCTGGATTTTAATTAAAAAAAATATTGCTGGAATTCATATTCAAATATTTTAAATATATTTTTCGATGATAAGACAGTTTTAGATCCTAGAGACCCTAAAGACCGTCACTGGGATTATATATCAATATAAATATAAATCTCTTTATCACCCAATAATACATTCTACAGTAGATATCGCTAGTGTGATAAATTTCATAATCTAATGCGATATCTCACCGCTTTCCATGAATTTTATTGGGCAGTTGAAAAGAAACTACTTTTTTTATATTCAAAGAACAGTTCATTTTTTTTATTAAAAGTAACCTCTTTTTTTTTTTATTAAAAATGAACTTTTTTTTATTTAATTGACCTTGATGGAAACACTGGGTCAATTTAAAGGACTTTGCAATGGTTGAATTGCTATCAATAAAGATTATCACTAGGCCATAATGTAATCAGGTTCAGTAAAAGTGAAATCTATAGCAAAGAATTATATTTATTTATTTGTGCATGTAAGAAAGGATTGGGTGATAAATAAAATCTCCTACTGGTCTTTTTTTATATAAAAAAATATCAACACTCCTCGATAAAGTAAAAAAAAAAGAACTCGGCAGAGCCTTGCTTTTTTTTACTTTATCGACTTGTGTTGATATTTTTTGATATCAAAAAGATGAATAGGAGATTTTCTATTTAAAAAACGAATTTTAGCAAGTTATCTAGATTAAAATTTAATATTGTTAACAAGAATACAAAAACAAGTAATTCAATAAAATACATAGAAACAGAAAATATTCAGTATACTTGCCATTTAATAATAAAGGTCATTTGAGTCCATTCTCTAAGCTTATTATGTCTTCTGTATTGTACCTAAGCAAGAAGGAATTATGGAGTCTTAATTTTTCACACAGAAAAGGGCCGGATATCAATTCAAGGTGTGGAACTAGATTGTGGGGTAGTATAAAAGGCACTATCTGGCAATTAGTGTTAAAATAGAATATGGCTGCTAAATAGCTTGTTCTGAAGCATAGTAATCAAGAAAAGTAACACATGCATATATAATGTCAATTTGTTTGGTATTGTACTAATTTCTCCTTGGATCTAACCTGTGTTACATCCAGTACTATTTTCACTCTTAGCTAGATACAGACATTAGCAGGGGTTGTCAAACTTATCACTGTCATTTTTAACAGTTAATTTGGTAACTTTATTCAGATTTCAAATTGCCTTTCAATGAAGCAGCTCATTAATGCTCAGCATTTTAATTCATACATGGTTAATAGCAAATTGGGACTCATTTTGCCATCACAGGTCACTTTTACATTTGATGCCTCTTCAATAACTTTATTAAATTCAAAATCATTAACAATAATGCGTAGTAGTAAAGTCAGTAATATTCAATGAGCTATATATTAACAAGAAAGCGTAGTAGACTAGTAGTAATGTACAAATAACTATATACATGTATTAACAAATATATACTATATTCCTATTAAGAATAAACTTGCGGATTATCTGCCGATTTCATGATGATTAAATAAAACTCATTATGATGAGTCATTTAGGGCTATAGGAATCCCTTGCAAACTGCAATATTTTGCAAATTAATTCTCTATAGGAATATCAGTTCAAAATTGGTTACTTTTTTCAAAGTTATGATAAATTAAAATTTCATTGATCTATGCTGCTCAACCATAACAAGACACTGCCCTTCGTAGTAGAGAAACCTTATGCAGATGAGGTTAGCTTAAATTAATTTAAATCAAAGCTAGGGTATAGATTATCCAGAGTTAGTTTTTTGATGTGTTTTCTTTAGTAAATGATTAATAATCAATCGGAGTACATATTTAGCCTGTATTAAGCTGTGAGAGATCAAGCCTTTAACTGAACATGTCCTGCATGCATGAAAATTTACAAATTTCCGAGTTATACGTTATCTTCTATTTCTTTAATTGCTTTTTAATATTTTATATGGATGATAATAAACTATAACTATCACACATAAATATAAATGTTCGGTTTGATGTTATTTTCTATATTATAATACAATGGAACATGAGCTTGGCAACAGGGATCACGCTGTCGGTCGCCAAAGTCGCAATTTGCGATAATAATATCAGTGGCGATTAGAATTTGATTTTGGCGATAATTTTGACGATAATGTTTTGTGGTACTGGCGATTCATTTTCAGAACTGGCGGAAAAAAATCTTAAAATTCTTATCGTATTTATCCTGGATTAACCATTGAGTGTCAATCCCGTGGCGGAATACTATAAATTAATCAACTGGCTGATAATCGGGATTGCGTCAATTCGATTGTACACATTGACATAAATCAATTACTAAATGCCATTGAAACAATTTATCAGACATTAGTACGTAGATGTGGCAGTCAATCTCATCATTGCTTGATAATGATTAGAGAAGCCTAGTCAAAACATCGCTCAGTAATAAGCAGTAATTGTATTCCATAGAACTGTGACCTGTATATTCCAGTTCAATTACTAAATGCCATTGTAACAAAGTTAGTGGGACATCTATGTTGCACAGAACATTTACACTACTTGTTATGTATTGAAGTTTTATTTTCATAATTTACAACATGATTCAAGTTCTAATTTCCAAAAGTCTGTAACTGTATGGAAAATTGTTCTAATTGATGGATAACCTAATAACAATGAGATTTTCCTTCAGGAAATACTTTTCACAATAATTGTATTACAATATAATTGGTTGTATCACAATATATTGCAGTATGTATCACAATACACTTGGTTGTATTGCAAAATATTTGCCATATAATTTTGGGCTGCAAAATAAAAAGGAAACAAAACAAGACACAACCTCGTTACCATTTGTTGGGCATTTTGTATTCTTCTCTTTAGGTTGCTTTTTTTTGTGCAAGTCATGCTCCTAAACAGAATATTGTTATTCTTCTCTAAAGATATAGCAAAAGTCATGATGCTAAACAACAGTCACTCTTGAGGTTCAACAGTAGAAATTTCGTTCACTGTTTCATTCTCCTGTGAATCTACTGTTGTATTCTTCAGAGTCTTTAACTTCAGAATTTGTTAATAAAGAATAATTTCTTGGACATATCAGGTAGGGTCTGGTTCAGAATCTAAAAAAATACATCTATATACATCTGTCCTTTTCCACTGTGGCTGGATTGTTGAGAAAATTTGATACAGACAACATGTCGTCTTCACCTCCTTAAAAACTTTTTATAATTTCTCTTAGGGCCGTATAGGTTCCAGTAACACATCCGAGCAATCCAAAAATAATAATTAAAATGTTTTTAACGAGTCTCCATCGCGGTAAAATTTGGTCGTCTGAAGACAATGTTAAAATTTCCATGGTAGCAGGTAAGATGAGAGCGAGAGAACTACTAGCGAAAGCACCAATTAATGATATCAACAGATCTAGATGAGGAACGACGATAGCAAATATACCTACAAAACACAAAACAAATATAGAGTTTAACAAGCGGTTGCCATGCAAGATACGCTCACATTTTGCAAGAGATGGACAGAGAACAAGCTCCAAAAAGAAGCGATTTTTCATACAATCAAGGGCCATAATTCAGGAGTTACGATCCGACATGCGTGAATATTGAAAGAAACCAAGATCTTTTGGTTATAAATATGCATTTCAAGTTTCATCAAAATCAGATGAAGATTGTGACCTCTAGTGTGTACACAAGCTAAGATCGTGATTTTTCGTACAATCCGGAACCATCATCCATGAAGTTATGGTCCGATATATGCCAATATCGAAAGGAACCAAGATCTTTTGGAGATACACCTATATTTTTTTTAAGTTTCGCCAAAATCGAATAAAAATTGTGACCTGTAGAGTGTCCACAAACAAATTGTGTACAGACGGACGGACAAGAGCGACGACAATATACGTCCACATGAAAATGTGGGCGTATAAAAATTAATTCATATAATTGTAACAAGTGTTTTTCGCCTATTAATATGCCCATTCAGGTAACAAAACCAGTTTTTATCGTGTGCAATTTTGTTTCTGGGGCATATCTCATAAACCATTCAAGATATCTCTATGAAATTTTTGACATATATTGACCTTCTATGTTATTAGTGCCTTTTGATAATCAGAAATTCTTTAGATTTAATAATTTTTGTATTTTCAGAGAAACAAATTTGATGATATGTTTTAATATACAAAGGTGTTGGATAATGATTACTGAGTTTTTTTGTCGATATATCAATCTATATTTTAGATTAATTCCCAATAAAGAAGGACCCACAGAGGCTCAGTAAGTAAGACACTGTCTCGCTCACCTGGATGTTCCATGATCCCTGTGTTGACAGAGAAAGTTTATCGTGACTTTCTGGCATGATTCTCACATATAGTAATAGGATGAAAAATTGCAGTCTGGGGTACACATTGGCGTGCATGTAAAAGAGCCCTTAGCCACTTGAATTTGATATAAAAGTAGGCAGTAGCGCCGGTGTCCGGGCAAAATTTCTCTCATAGCACACTGTATGGTGTATGGTCATCTTCATTAGCTTGTTTGGAGCAGAAAAGTAGGACATTAAACCCCATTTCATTTTCCAATAAAGAACATAATAAAAATTACCCAATTCTTACATACTTAAAAACAGAGTGTAGTGTGACTAGGGTTAGATCTAAATATTAAGGCCACCTGCAGATTTTGTCATGGTCACAAGATTTAACAGGGCTAGTGCCAACGCTAACCGCTTGCCTAACCCACAATTCTTGGCAACAATCACATGCCCAAACCCTGTTTACATCTTGGGACTCAAATGTGGGTGTATTAAAAATGAAATAAAATATATACATACATGTTAAAATAACTAGAAGGGTGCGTAAAATATATTCTCCAAATATTTCCATTCTTCTGGAGCTTATCCTAGATTTTAATGATGTCCATATTATTTTGACAGGAACATACATCTGTATACCATAGGATATAAAAATACAGGCAGCAAACATTAAAACAACCGATAAATACAACCTGAAAATACAATGTTTATACAGATATAGGCAAGTCAATATGTATTTATTTATAGACAGAAATGGGGTTTAACATCTACTCGACACAAACTAGGTTATTTTGGGACCATTTGACTCAATCACAGACCTTATGATATAAAGCGCAGGTTTTAAGACTATTCGACCCCCTTATAGTCAATATAATATTAAAGATACATTATGAGAGATTTTTATAGAGAGTTGGTCATTCTTGCTACAACAGTTCAAAAGTAGATGATGAAAGAAGAATATATTGAAAAATTCAGTCAAATTACTTTATTCTGAACATAGTTATCATCGTTGCAATATTTGCCTAGAAATGGTAGCGAATTGTGTCTTCACCGTCGCTGATCGTTTGATTGACAGGCGTTAACTCCACCTACATATCTCGATTATCAAGTAAAGTTTTCAATGGCATACGGAAACGCTTTACAGCGGGCTCGCTAAGTACACTCTATCATTTAGCCTCGATCTAACAGACGTATTTTCATCAGGTTACCCCTTATCTGATTTAATCAATTAGTGAAATCCTATTTAAATCCGAGCTGTAGCCGAGCCATCCGTGGGTCTACAGAGTTGATTTTGGTCTTGTTGTTTAAATAAAGATCTAATTTATAATTTCTATAACATCTGAAGCCTAAATTAAGACTTGCAATAATCAGATTTAGCTCTTGCATAATGCATGTTTAATACAACTGATAAATATAACATAAAAATACAATATTTTAAAGAGACAAAGTAAGCCGTCAACTGGATAAATGGGCACAAAACCGATGCCGAGTGGTAATCAATCCGCCAATGGGGCATTTTTGAGAGCTTTAACTATCTTATGGTTCATTCTTGTTTCATGATCAAAACTAATCACTCTTTCAATACAAATGTAAACTTGCTAAATTCACCTTTGTTCTTTGTGACCCTGGAGGTCAAAAAAAGTCAAATTTTCTGTTTTTGCACTAGGAAGATTTAACACAATACATGTCAGTGTAAAATATAAAAGCTAAATTGTTCTAATTAATAACAGGAACATTTAAAATTGATCTTTAGGTGGTCTTAGCACCGTATATTTACTTTGGAATGTCGAAACAGATCTTGCATAACAGGACCAAAACACTTCGAAACCTCTTTCAAAAATATTCAGAAAAACTAACAACTAAAATATTTTAATCATGAAACCTCTTTTCAATGGATAAGCATTAAAATACTTGTGGACATTAAAATATTTAGCCAAGTGTTCGGAGAAATATATTGAAATAGTCTAAGATTTCTGATTCATACCATTGATTGCTTGGTAAATTTAGAGTTATGCTCCCTTTTACTTTGTCACCATATTGAAGGTATCCATAGAAACCAACTGCTGTATAAAGGCAAGCTACTGTAACCATGCCAAGATTTAAAACGCCATCCAAACCAGCAAAATCAGATGGATTACGCATTTTATTTTCTAGAGGAAGAACCTGAAACATAGAAAAGGATATAATAGTATATAAGATGTCTTATTTTCATAGAAGCATAAAATATCAAAGTGAGAAGGGTTGGATGATCCCAGGGGTAAGTGGAGTGGAACGGAATAAGACCACTGGAGATACCAAGGATGGAGTTGGATAATGATAGCAAGTGCAAGAGGTCTGCACCACACAAACAAACAGAAGCCCTATGACAAATGAAATGAAATGGGGTTTAACCGTTAAACTTTAACGTCCTACTGTTCTGCTCCAACTGGGCTAATGAAGACAAACATACACCATACAGTGTGCTATGAGGGAAAATTTGCCTGGACAGCGGCACTACAGCCTACCCATATATCAAATTCCAACTGCCAAGGGATCTTTAATGTGCACGTCAATGTGTACACAGGACCTCAATATTGCATCCCATCCAAATGACTATGCGCTGTTTTTTGCCAGGCCTTCGTCCTGCCCCTATGACATGGAGGAGACACGGAGGAAGATCCTTATGAACTTTCTCGGTCAACCCAGGTATTGAACACGGGACCTCCGGCTTAGTGAGCCATCGTCTTACCCGCTGAGCCACAGTAGCCGGGCTTGCAGTGATACAGGATTCCCTCTAATTGAAAAATGAACCCATAACAAGGGAGATAATCCACAAATGCAAAACATATAAGAACACAGCTCACCATCTATTCTACGCTGGTTACCCACAAATTTAGCGTCAAAGTTATTTTTAGTCTTTCTCTCCCTTTTGCACTGCGATTTTTGTTGACTTTTTGGTGTAGAATTGAAGAGAAGGGTTTGAATATATATTTTCTGCCAGGTTTTGGTGAATATTCACAGTTTTGAAACGTTGGTTACGTAAAAATGTAGGGTGGACAGTTGCAAGTTTACTTGTATGCTATTTCCAGTTTGTGTATCTCAAGCCTTCCATGGTCAACCTCATACCTGCTTTTGAGAAAGAGGTTGCCACCTATTGCTCCATTTAGAAAGCATTCAACCCCACAAAAACTTTGGAAAAAGTGAGAGTTTATCAATGGAGAAATTAATGGTGACTTTGTCCATATAAGGTAAGCATATTCCATACATAAGTTATCTGAATTATCGATCGCTACGGCTTTGTCTTATATCAAATTCCAACTGTCAAGGATTTTTTTATGTGCAGTGAATGCCAATGTGTACACAGGACATCAGTTTTTTGTTCTATCAGAACAACTAGACACTGATCTTGTGGATCAGTTCCTGGTACAAAACAATTATCAGTACTTACCAAGCTTATTCCTTCGTAAGCATAAAGAGCTGTACCGAAGTATAAAGGGAGATCACCAACGTTAGTAAATGCTGGTCTTGTGTCTACATTTGGTAGTTTTTGTAGCAGATTATAAAAAATTATAACAACTCCGATAACAGTTAATAAATTTGCAAAAGCCGAAAAAGGGGCCAACGAACGTAAATTTTTAACAAAGACAAATGGAATTAGAACAGCTGCGACAATAATCTCGTAGATACGGACATCAGGGTCATCGTTATGGAATGTATGTACAACCTGAAAAATACAAATAATCCAAAACACTGCATTAATTTCAAACTTGTAGCCATATTTCCTTTGATACAAGCAATGTTGGGAGTATTGCTCAATCCATACACTGATCTGACTGATCCCAACAAATTTTATAAGTAAGAGGCTCACGTGGTTCCCTCTTGTCATTGGTGCAGAACAGAGAGCCTGTTAAGGGATAATGTACAGTCATTCTGATGGGGCAAAAAAATGAGCATCCTGTGAACACAACGGCAGGCGCATAAAAAGACCCTTCCCTGTGGGTGTATGTCCATCATGCTTAACCCATTGGGAGCAGAACAGTAGTACGTTAAATCAATATCATTTCTGTGAATATATAATCAAAATAAATTGAATAAATTGTACAAAATTTTAATCAAAACCTTTTCTGTCTGCTCCTCAGAAACTTATTGCTCTGTTCTTTATTTACATTTTGAACAATCCATTCTTGGGTAGATGAACTGGTTGGGAATATTGCCGATTCCCACAATAATTTTTTTTTAAAAATCCTAAATTCAAGGAATTTAACTCACATGAGGTGAATTCAACAGATATAAATTTATGGATAAAATCTGTATTTTAGCCTAAATAGTAGACCCAATAACAAGATGGCTGACCTGTTTGACACTGGTGGCTATGAATACAATATAAACACTACAAAAACCAATCTGGGTAAAAATCAACAAAGCAAATATAAATATTCTGAAACAGAAAAACAAATTATTTACATTCTTATAATTATGTTTAAAGTCACTGATGATTTAACTAAAACTCTTGTTCATGATGCTTTTATTACTTCACAGACTTGATACTTTTAACTCTCTTTTATCCCGTTTACCCAATAAATTAATACACAAATTACAAAAAGTTCAAAACACCACTGCACGACTTATTACCCTCACAAAAAGGCATGATCATATTACTCGCATACCTAAACAACTTCACTGGCTACCCATTCCATAGCGTATTCAATTTAAGATTCTTTTAACTGCTTATAAATGTTTTCATGGCTTGACCCATCTTATTTATGTTATCTAATTGAAAAACAAACAAATGCTCATAGTCTCCGTAGTTCAAATGACTTTTGTATAGGATTACTCTTGCAATATAAATAACAATAAGTTCTTTACAGGAGTTTTTTTCTCAGTTTTGCAATTGGCAGGATCTTCTTTTGGCTCCCACATAATTTCGTAAACATGGACTGCTTAATTAAGCTAAGTTCCTTGATTCAGATGACTCAAAAAGTGACTCGTCAAAAGATCTTAAACTTCTATTTTGTGCTGGCTTACTTTTAACAGCTGCAGAGGATACTGAATGTTCTAAAATTATCAGTTCCTCATATCACATCAGATACATTTCAAACAATCTAATATCTTTACCTCCCTGCTCGAGAGAACCTGCGGAGAGACAGTGGTCCTGTTTCTAAAGCTTTTTCAAAGACATCTGCATAATCTAAAGCACTACTCCCAGTTCTGGAATAAATGATCATCAAATAGATAACATAGATGTATATTAGGACTGTGTTACATTTCATACATAAATATTTTCTAAGTTATTTTGTTTATAGCCCTTTATAAACCTTTTGTTGTTTCAATGTATCAAATATATCAATAAGAAACTCAATAAGAAACTACAGTTTGTGCAAAATTTTGTGTTTCTGGATCAGAGATATTTCTCATAAACAGTGATTAAAAGTTGAGTAAATTCTTAAATTAAGTCTGAGAATGCTTTGTGATCTACGGGGCAGGACATTGAACACTTGATTAGAATGTTCTCGGGTTTGAATCCTAGCATGGACTGAGAAATAACCTTTAGGATTTTCAATTCATGTTCCCACTTTTCAGGGGTAGTGCATTGATGGAAGTATTATATTGGTGAGATTCTTTTAATAATCTTCACATCAGCAACAAAAATTAGAGCTAAATATTTTGTTATGGGACAGTTTTCCTATCCTATTCTGTCACGGGACAGTTTCCTATTCTGCCATGGAACAGTTTTCCTATTCTGTCATGGAACAGTATTCCTGTTACATGTATGTCATGGGACAGTTTTCCTATTCTGCTATGGGACAGTTTACCTATTCTGTTATGGAACAGTTTTCCTATTCTGTTAATGCTGGCTTTAAAAAATGAACAATGTATGGAGACAGAATGTACCAGGTCTAAAACCTGAAATGGGCTGTAATGTTTGGGTTTTTTTTGTTCAACTGTTATTGCTCATGGTGTTACATATCCATTTAAAATATCTTACTGTATTATAAATATCAATAAAACTCAGAATAAAAGCCCTATTTGTGTCAGAGGCTACAGGCCGCACAGGGGTTGTGTCTGACCAACGTCTGTGACAGGTGCCTTATTTTCCATGCTTGTAATTATCAATCACAGATACACTGGACTTCCAGAAATTCAACTCACCTTTTACACAGTATACGACTACATTTAACTAATAAATGCATACAATGAATTGCTACTACTCCTATTAGTAATAATCCTACTGTTCCTACCTGTAAAATATTAAAAAACAAAAATACAAAATCCTAAATTTGATTAGACCAAAATTCAATGCAAAAATATTCATGACCTTCGCTTTCCCTTCTATACAAATGGCAACAGCACTTTTTAATGGAAGAGAAAGTATGCCCATAACAGCATCAAGAAACACAGATATGTTCTCACATACTATCCTTAATGTCAAGAGGGTGAGAAATAGGGTTTAACATCCACTCAATACCAACTGGGTCACTTTGGGATTAACATATGGTTCTATTTTATTTCAATAATTCGCTAGAGGGTAGAGGTCTCTAGCTGCAAGTGGGGAATCAAAACCATACGACTTTTTACAATGACAGACCTCATTATCCAATGCACATGCATCGCTAAACCATGTCAAATTTGGATATTGTGTGTGCTTTTTTGATTAAAAATTTTGATTTATTTGTGAGGGTATTACAATGTTCTTTTATGGGAATTTAGGCACTGTACATTCAATGATTTTAAGCGATCTCTTTCCAATATCTTACTTAATAATAGCAAGCTGACAATTCAATATTTATAAAGTTCATGTGGTTTTAGGATATAGATGGTCAGACCACACATAATATATAAATAAAAATAAATTTGTTAGTTATAATTATGTAAACTACATTTTTCAACGCTTATTTTGTTCAATTTAAATGAGGAATATGCTTATTGATCTTCTAGTGCACTACAGCTTTAAATATTGAATTTGACAAGACATATTTCAAAGCTAAACTGGACATGGACAGGGAAAATCACTGAAATAAAAGCGCTATTTTGATAATTTAAATAAATACAATAATATCGAACATACCCATAAACCAGCATTACTAACGGCTATAGGCATAGCCAGTATACCCGTTCCTATATTGCCTTTTAATAAATGCATCAAGCTTTGTAAATTTCTGAAATATAAAATACTAATACTAGATATATGTTCAGGGGTTTAAAATGAATTGAAATATTTTTTTTTGGGGGGGGGGGGGGAGGGGTAACGTTCTACTGTTCTGCTCCTTTTAATAAATGCATCAAGCTTTGTAAATTTCTGAAATATAAAATACTAATACTAGATATATGTTCAGGGGTTTAAAATGAATTGAAATATTTTTTTTTGGGGGGGGGGGAGGGGTAACGTTCTACTGTTCTGCTCCTACTGGGCTAATGTAGACGGACATCAGCCATAGGCTATAAGCCTTCGAGTGTACTATGAGGGAAATTTTGTCCGGACAGTGGTACTACAGCCTACTCTTATATCAAATTCCAACTGCCCATGTGTACACTGTAATCAAATGACTATATGTTGTGCCTTGCCAAACCCTCTGTCCTGCACCAATGACAAGGGGGGATTTACTGAGAGGGGTTACACATAGGCATAGCCTGTTCCCCAATCGCCGAATAAAAAATATTGTTTATAAAAACGAGAGCATCGTTAACGCTGCAATATACGTCCACATTCCAGCTTTGATTGATATAGTACTTTTTAAAATGAAGATAATGAAATATAAAATGGCTGTAATATGATAAGAGGCAAAGAAGGCTAGGTGTTGGGTTTGTTTTGCCAAATTTACAGACAAAATACTAACAAAAAAGTGGATGTGACACTGCCCCAGGAGGTTGGGGCAAGCACCAAAATAAATAGTTGCTGTCTTTACGGTATAAGGAATAAATATGCAAAGTTCCAAGAGTTTAATTATGTTCTCCTGATTTTGATTGTTTCTGTGTGTTTGAAGTATATGTTTGTGAAATGCGCTTAGAAACACTTCACGTGTAATGAAGCGCTATATAAATCGAACAATAATAATAATAATAATACATTCAGACGATAGACGATAAATACAAAAAATGGGATGTTCCTTTGGGTACAAAGAACAAGTATGCAAAGTTTCAAGATGATACGTTAAGAAATGTAGCCTGTAGATGACAAACAAACAAATACAAGATATGGGCGTGGCTCTGCCCCTGGGGATCGGGCATGTACCAGAAATAAGTATGCAAAGTTTCAATATGATACGTTAAGAAATGCGGCCTGTAGATGACAAACAAAGAAATACAAAAAATGGGCGTGGCTCTGGCCCTGGGGGTCGGGCATGCACCAAAAACAATAGGGATCATCCTTAGGATATAAGGAATAAGTATGTAAAGTTTGAAGATGATCACTTAAGAATTGTGGCCTGTAGGCGACACACAGACACCCACATGCATTTGTCTTTTTATGGAAGAAATGCGGACACACAGGAGTTTGCAAATAATTGGGGAAATATGACCGACCGAGTCCCTATGCTAGTTACACCTAATCGAGAACACGCATGGTGTAAGTTGGGAACGCCTCCAAACGAGGTCATTTGCTCTATACTACCATACTGTGGACTTGACACTTATTGTGGTCTTTAGCCTGTAAATAACTACGTTTTTGTCCACTATTTGACCACACATGGGAAAAAATACAATATAACTGTTTAAAATTGATGTATGGCACAATATCACGATGTGATCAACTGAGGACGCATATTATGTTTTAATGCCGACAACTGGGGACTTTGTGTATGGTGAACACCGACAACACACACTCACATCAGAGGATGTTACAAGTGTATATCAATAATATAAATTGAGTGGGTTCAACACTCTATATCCGAGAACAGGCCCCCTTTGACCACAGGAGCAGCCCACCGAAAGAACATTTTTTATTGATTCAGCCACTAAAAACTTTTAATTTTCTAAATCAATCTGACTGAAGTCATACAAACTGTATATGAACAATCAAGGACTTGTGGACTTGACACTCATTGTGGTCTTTAACCTGTAAATAACTACATTTTTGTCCCCCCCTTTGACCACACATGGGAAAAAAGACAATACAACCGTTTATAATTGATTGTGCGGTGCAATATCATGATAGAACAGGTTTTTTTAATAATGTGGCCAATACCGACAAATGGGGACTTTGTGTATTGTAAACACCAACAACCGAGTACATACATACTCACATCCGAGGACGTTATAAGTGCATATCAATAATATAAATTGGGTGGGTTCAACATTCTATTTCCGAGAACAGGCCCCCTTTGACCACAATAGTAGCTCACTGAAAGAATTTTTCTTAAACATCTAATTTTCGAAACCAATATAAGTGAGGTCTTACAGTCTGTATGCGAACAATCGATAACTCGCATACAATCGAATATATGGGAAAAATTATTTCTGGGAATCTGGATCTCCAATATGTGATCCCAAACTTTACATTGTGGCAGCAACATAAATCATCATCAGCATCCCCATTAACATTATCATCGTCATCATCAGTTTGTAATGGTCTGAAAACAATTGGAAAAGTAGAAGAAAGGCTGGGGGCGGTGGATGAGAGTACATGAGAAAATTATAAACTCTAGTTTGGTAAATGAAACCAGAGGGACAGTGAACTGAAACGGGCAGGGGGGGGGGGGGGGAGACAGGAGAGCTCAGCGAATGTAGGTGGGGGAGATATCAGGAAATTTCAAGTTAATATCCGTTTACGATATTTTCAAATTTCAACTTGTATTTAATCTTTTAAGATATTAACTTAAATTTTTGAGATATGAAAGATATATTTGCACGAAAGTATTTATAGGGTAGTTATTTCCAATAAAAGTATGGCAAATTTGGTACATATGGAAAGTAGACGCCCAATCTTACTAGAAAAATACTGGATGGGGCAGGCACTGGGCAGGGATGTCAGGATATTACTGACTGTCAGCCCGACAGCTTAATGTCTGCCAGATTGACTTAGGAAGCTGCTATTATTTCTTAATCAAACAGTTAAGAATGTGTCTGCGAGAGAACCATGCAGGGACTGGCACATGGTGGGTGACCGATTTTCAAAAAAAAATTTATGTATGATGGGTAACCCCTCCAAACTCCACTGCCACAATTTTAGATCAATCGAACCATTTTTAGAGTGTAGAAAAAAATTTGAAATTTTAAGACCAAAAAAGCCAAAAAATCATCATTTTTAGGCCACTTTTCAATTATGGTGTACAACTAAACTACGGCGAGTAGATTAATGAAACTTTATAGGGTAGCAGATATGGTTTGTGAGTATACATTCTGAAAGTTTGATGGACTTTCACCAGCGTTTAGATATGTCATTTTATTCTATCTATATATCTATATCTCACCCACTGCGGGTTTAAGTATTTTTTTAGGAATGCTGACTGAAAAGGCAATGATCTATAGTATTAAGATCAAGAAACAAATTGGGTGGCACTCGACCCGTTTAGTAGTAAATAATTTCCATTTTTGTCCAAAAATAACGATTTTCAACAAAAATGACAAAAAATAAACCGCTTTATTTACACAATGAAAAGTGTGACATGGCACTGGGAACCAAATTAACATGGGTTTCAGTTCCATTAAGAGCAAGCCATAATAGAAATAGAAATAAACAAATAAATATAAACACATTATATACTTTCATCAAATAATTTACGTTTAATAGAAATAAACAAATAAATATAAACACATTATATACTTTCATCAAATAATTTACGTTTAATAGAAATAAACAAATAAATATAAACGCATTATATACTTTCATCAAATAATTTACGTTTAAAAAATGTTCCATTATCAAAACTACAAATACTTATTACCAATAAGTATTTCAAATTAAAAAATATCGCTATTCTTTATTACTATCCACTATCTAAATATCTATCTATCTATTATTTATCTGTCTAATAAGTATCTAATCACGAAAACTGAGCTCACAATTACACCATTTAAATTTTTTAAACGATGAAAAATTTAATTTACAGTAAATGCCAAAAGAGCTGTTCTTGGTAAATACAATTAATCCCTCTAGACTATTTTTCAACATTTTAATATAATCTCATGATCTAGTAGAAGGATGATGAATTTTTGAACAGCAAATCGTAAAAACTAAATAGCGTAGTAGTTATATATCTGTCTATACTTGACAAACGAATCAAGCGACATTTCAAAAAGACAAAAACAAATAGTATATGAGAGTACGGTCGCTATTGTACCATACTCCCCGCAGTGTTTCGTTTGATTAGACCTAATCCCGCTCAACACTGCTGTGATGAAAGCAAATTTCTGTTCCAAATTATGACTGGTCAATGGTCTGATTAACACCCAATGCCTAACTGCGTAACAATATCATTTGGGTTTAAACAGAGTTCGAAATATGTTTACATAACGTTAAGTCATGATTCACGAAATTTATTACACCCAATTGACCAGTGCATAGCAGAATGTTGCAGAAAAACTAATTGCGTGACAAACGAGGCTATCAAAACGACTACAATGTAAACAATACTGTTTGGAGACGAACAATGCTTTCACCGTTTTTAATACCTTAAATCACTGTCCAAAGTTTTAGGGAAGACCCCATATTAAACGAAAGACTGTACTTAGGAGCGATTTGATTGAACGGGAAGAATAGACACACTCCCTAAAAAAACGTATCAGAAGTCAATCCAGCAATGGCCAGAGCGGTATTTCTCGGGTTATTGTTTCAGGAATATGCTATTGTAGTTTCTTTTGGATAATTGGCTACTAAACCGCATTTTATTTGCGCAAAAGGCGGGAAAATGAACAGCTGATTTCGGCCGCCATCTTGGATGTTGGAGTGCAAATCTAACTTCGGCCTAAATCCACGAGGTTGTACAGACGACCCAACTCCTTGTCACGTACAACTTAGGAGGAACGGATGTTGGGAGACCAATGACATTCTGGAGATTGGTCGGATCACGAAGTCTTTCTTGGTCAAGATAATTTTTTTACAGCAACCGTTTCCCGGACATGGGAATGGGGCATTATCAGGCCTAATAATCCAGGCAATGAATGGTTTTATTGGCAAAATGATGTCAAAAATGAAATCATTTTCTTCAAGTTCGACGATCAAATTTAATATGAAAGAAATCGGTGCCAATCATTTTGTCAAAACCAAATATTAGTATTAGTAGTCCTCAACTTCCATTATTAATAGAATTATCCTCAGCCCCGCAGTAAGTGAGATATAGCATCATGAAATTTATATGTTTTAGCATATAGCAAAATCTACATCTCAAAATAAATTCCTCATAGCCTCAAATGGTTTCGGAAAAAATTTAATACTCATATATATTGAAGTAGTAGACAAGATCATTCATAAAAAAATAATTTAAAAAAATAAAAAATCAATAGGCAATTTATGGGAAATATTTGAATTTAGGGAATTTTTTTATTTTAAAAATGACGTTATTTTAACTCTAAAATGGCCATAGCTGGTTCTCTGTAACTACAACGTTGGTGACCCTCATATTTCATGTGGGGTATACGGAGTACCCAATGACCAAATCTGCAAAGTTCGGTCAAAATCGCCTGACATTGCTTGTGCCAGTTTTTTTTTTAAATTTTGCATGATTCTCTCGGGAACTCATTCTTAAGTGGTTTTGGGAACATTGAGGGGTTTTAACGTACAATAGACCCTGCAATCAAATGGCGGAAAATAATTTGGGAGAGGATAAGCAAAGAATTTACTTAGGCTTCAATATATACGGTAAATGGACAGTCAGTAACGACAAATACATTCTGCAATGGACCCTCCCATGGCTTCTAAAAATAGATTTTTACATCTTGGAGTTACAATGTCTTGAAAAGGATTTGAAGCAAATTTTTGATAGATTAATTAGTTTGAATATGTTTTTAGCCCAAATATATCAGCACATCATACAGATTGTACATGAGAAGGCCTCTGTAACTTAAACATTTAAGATTTTAACTTAATTTTAAAGTTATTAACTTCAACTTATAAGAACTTAAAATTTTTAAGATATTCTACGCAAAATTTTACTCTAGAAAAGTTGGGTCTGGTTTTGTGCCCATTTGATGGACACCCCCCCCCCCCCACGCTGAGCCTCCAGACTATTATAGTATACTTTTAAGATATTAACTTAAACTTTTAAGAACTTAAATTTTGTAAGATATTAACTTAAACTTTAAAGATATTAACATAAACTCTGATATTAACTTAAAGGAACTTAAACTTTTAAGATATTAACTTAAACTTTTAAGATATTAACTTAAATTTTTAAGATATTAACTTAAATTTTAACTTAAATTTTTAAGATATTAACTTAAATTTTTAAGATATTAACTTAAACTTTTACACTACTGACTTGAATTTTCTAGATACTAACTTCATATTAACTTGAATTTTCAAGATACTAACTTACTTTTTCAAGATATTTACTTGAAACGAAAGACTTCCGTAGTCTTTCATATAAAAACGAGATATTTTTAGAATAAAAGTCCTGTTTATGGAACATTTGTTTATGACACATTGATATCCAACTCTTAACGACAATTCATCAATCTAAATGTTAAAAAGATTTTCATAACAAGACGAGTTTAACTATTATGTATGTTTATTCAATATACTACTTCTATGTAAGACACTGTTTAAGTTTAGCGTGGGATCGTCCTTAACCATCAGTAGTATGCAAAGGGCATACAGCGGGATCTAGTATAATTAAGATGTGTGGATCAAAATGTTAATAACAAAACCCAGTCTTTCATATTGAATTCTTTAATACAATTTGGAAAAGTACAGATCACTAACTATATTTCACAAACTATATTTCCCCACTGGGGAAAATCATCGGCAATAAGGAAATCAACAAATTTGCTCCAGATGGGTCCCGATGTTTTTGCCCAAAGAAACTGAGTAGTCCCATGAGAAATAGAACTTATTAAGCATTGGGCGTGGTCTGTTGAGTGTGCACTGATGCTTCGGCTATGGTCACAAACTTCTGGGAATGCCCCGAACAATTGCCATGAATCATAGGGGATGGCTCCCAATAATCGGGAAAGCTTCGGGGTACCTTCGCCGATAATCAACATCATCGGGTGAATTTTCATGTCGGGAGATCTCAGTATCTTGCTTGGTTACATATCGGCGGCACTTATGCCTATGTCCAACTGGAACAGGGAACGTGTTCTCTGTTGTGCAGGGAAAGCTTCTGGCTCGTCAGGAGCCCTCAGGATAACAGCGAAAAATTTCAAAGCTTGCATTGAAAGTTTTTCAGATGTGTTCCCGATCTTTTGTTGGGAAAACTGGCCAGGGAGGCATCCTGGCAGCTTTCCAGGTCCATGGGGAAGCTCAGGAGATGCTTCCCTGGAGCAGTGAAGCTTCAACGAAACATTTTTTTCCCGAAACTTCGGGGATTCCTTGGGAAGCTTTGGGGTTGTCGTGTGCCCTATGGAACCATCGGGAAGCCTCGGGATAACTGCGAAAAATTCTGAAGCTTGTATTGAAAACTTTTCCAATGTTTTCCCAACAGAGAATCTCCCGGGATGCTTCCCTTAAGCTCCTGCGAAATACTTTTTCACCCCGAGCCAACCCCGATTTAAATATCCTTGGTACTTCAGCAAGACATTGCGGATGTTTCGGTAATGTCCTGAGGAAACAAATATTTCGCGGAAGCTCCAGGGAAGCATCCCCGGAGTTTGCTTGTGGATCTGAAAAGCTCCGGGAATGCCTCCCAGGCCTGTTTTACTGACAATGCCTCCTGATTGGTCCACATGGCTTACTATGCCTAAGGAGCTCCCCTGAGACACCAAGAAACCATGATCCTGACGCCTCCCGAGGCTAACCAATTTATATCTGTAGTAATAATTGTTATCAATAAATAATGTTTTATTACATTATATTCCAATTACTAATGCCATTCAAGGAATAAAACCCCTAATTCTTTTGGATAAGGAACTGGGTTTAACTACAAAGCGCTACTAGTTTTGTTCTTGTTAGGGGCAATACTCTTGCCAATTTAAGTACGATAGATATGAAACTTGTTTGTTCCTTGGACAATTGCACATTGATTGGCAGAGTTTCGTTTTTGTTACGATAATATTAAAGATGACGGCAATGAGATCATGCAGGGTTTCTAGTACAGTCTAGCAACAAAATGCTCTACAACAAAAAAGGCAAGCATACTTACGATGTAGCATGTTCATCTAATCGTTCATGAGAAAATTCGATGCTTGATGTGAACGATGAATCTGGAGTGTTTTCATCAAAAGGTGGAAATATAACGCCATCATCATCATTAGCTCTACCTATGATTGGTGTCTGAGGAGCATTGCCTACATGTCGAGTATTCACTACTTGTTCTTTAGGTAACAACCGAGTCGTTTCTCGGGCGGTTTCTGGGTCATCATCCATTTTTTTCAGTTGTTATTGTCAAGGTTCTGCAACTAAGTTAAGTTCACTATCTGAAATAGAAATGAAATAGTAATTACTATCACTATCTGAAATAGAAATGAAATAGTAATTACTGTCCTACTTCTTTTAAAAGACAGATGCCTGTAATACATGTCCACAGACGACAACAATGTATGACTGTTCTCTTTGTTTAGGGTGTATAAGAATGTAAAGAACACCTTCATTTACTTGTATCGTTTTGATACTTCCAAAAACTTCCTGCTCTGAGACTAATTTTCCAGAGTATTCCAAACATGTACTATAAGATTAGCCTTAGACCAGACTAATTTGAGTTTTTGTTTCTTAAGAACATGTATCAACATTCAGCTTTCTTGTTTTATCTGGAAAAAATAACTTGAAACGAAGAACTTGGTTCATCTTCTAAAAAAGATTTTAGTTTAAACTTTTGAAGTTTTTAAAATTTTAACAAGATATCTTTCATTAAACTTGAGTAACTATTTATTTACCATTACCCACCCCCACAGACACACACAAAACAACTTTGGATTAAATTAGTTTGGCCTTAAAAGGATGTAACCAAGATATTCCATTCCAAAGTTCAAAGTTTTACAAAGGTTTCTGATGACACTATTGAAGTGAAAGTTATGTAAATCTATTTAAAATACTTCAGGAATGTAATCTGTATGAAAATCCTCATAAATATTTGAACCTATGAAATTTTGGAAGCTGACATAAAAGAGGCTTTATGTCATTGTTCCCCATGCCTGTTAGCCGTCAACATACAGGGGGGTAGGGGGGTGGGGGGGGATGGGCTTTAACCTCCCCTAGACGCAAGGAAGGTCATTTCAGGACTAATATAAATAACACTTGCGTGTAGGTGTCTTTAGCAGTGTGAAAAAACCAGAAGACCTAGAGAAAATCCACTCCTTGTCCCACAAAAGCTTGGAATCAAAATCATGGCAGCCAGGTCAAAATAGCTACTAAAAGGGCATGGAAAGAGGCAGACAATTTTGACTATATATAAATATCAAATGTACGTAAGAAATACATTTTATTGCAAAAATATACAGATTATATTCATTTTACTTAAGCTTGTCAAATGGGGATATATGATGGCCTGATGATATCACATGCACAAATAAACTAATTGCGAAATACATGTATCAATATGTCAAATCGACTCAATGTGAGAAAGATGATAATTTTTACATAACATGTTATATAATCTATAACCTTCATAACCAATAGATATATCAACATTGCTGATAATCATTTGCATTTCTAGGATAATGGCACTTGACAATCGAGACTATATAGGCCATTTCTTGTCAAAACTTCCAACATTCATAACCCTTTCAATATATTCATTTTTCATTATCTATTTATGAACTATTATAGCCCTGTATCTAAATCTTACAAATTCCATGTTTAAACCTGTGGTATGTCAGATATTCTAGTTAAAAAACCTCTTTAACTTGAGGGTTGAATGATAAAATTTAAACCTACATCATTCAAGAGCTAAATCTGCCTATTTGCAGGTCTTTCTTTAGGCCTGAAATGTTATCTAAATTATCAATTAGACATTAATTAACTTATCCAGACCATAATCAACTCTCGATGTCATCGCTAGCCTGCGATGTTTATTGGATTAGGTTCCGATTTGCTGTTCGACTTGCATTCATGATTTAATCACGATGAAATCGAGACTATCAAGACTATGTTTTTTATTGTACCGTCTTTAATAATGATGATCGAGGCTAGGCCGAAAATTCAATCGCTAAAATCTTGGTTCAGAGTGGATCAATTTGACTGAAATTTTCAGCAAATTTCCTTTACATTATCTAGTTTTTAACTATTATAGTGAGAACTAACAACTCTTTATCTAATCTCACATAATGTATCTTTAAGTACGGTAATAGACATAACACTTCTGTTGACTTCAGGAATGTCAACTGATGTATCACATTCATTTAGTACATATCATGTACTATGGTACTAATTATTACAAAAGAAAAACCTCCCTTTGACCAGGGGTGCACAAACACTTTCCCCATGGGGCGCCCACAAAAAAATCGGCCCACTCAGCATTAGAAAATCAATTATTACCCCCAGTTAGGTCAAAAAGTAGTTAATGAGTATAGTATTATATAGTATTATGTAATTTTTATATGACTCAGTTGAATATTGATTTGTAGCCCTCATTTTGGTTTGATTGAATGTGTAAGAGACTCCAGCAAACCACCCTTTTTTCCCCCCGAAGAAAACTGTTCACAAGGCAAAAAAAACGGCCCATTTACCTATCTGGACTAAGCTCAGCTGTTGTGCGCCCCTGCCTTTGACATTGATAGTTATGTCAAAAATGTCGAGATAATGAAATAAGTTGGTTATAAAAATTTAATCATCACCTCATGTAATTATTACCTATAGATAAAATTAATGAAGCGATAACCTTTATTCTAAAAATAGTTTATTTCTTCAATTTTACTCAGTATTGTTTCCAGACAATTACAAATATTTTCACAAATCAAAAGAAAAAAAAATTATATCAGTTTTAAAGAATCATAACAATCAAGAAAAACAAATTCTGAATTCTATTATTTTTTTATTTGGGACACCTTTTTTTATTTATATCGAAGCATAGATGTAGATTGCAATGAAGATTAGTGGTTAAGTATTAGCAGTCAATCAATTAATTAATTAGTTAGACTTAAAGGTTCAAACTTAGTATCTAAGAGCCTTAATTAAACTTAAGTAATTTATGAAAAAAAATAAAACTGGATATTTGTCTCTTACATCACTACATGTAAAGATAGGTTGCCAGGCAACGAAACATACACCCACATCAGCTAAATCGTCCGGGCAGTCAACAAGTGTTGTCGCATATTTTTACTTTTTTCGGTAATGAAACATTTATAATACACTAAAATCGGATTAAGAGTAACAACTCATGAAGTAATTATCAGAAAACCATTAGAATTTGTTCCGGTTTTTATAAAGTTCTGCCCCATGCTAACATTTAGTATACGAAACTTTTAATATCATGGATTTAGCTGTTCAAGTCTTTTATAAAAATTCATTGAAAATCAATATACTTGTTGGTCTCAAGCTCTTAAACTCTGTGTATCAATCTGAAGTCAATCGGATGATAACTTTAGCCTCTAGAGAGTGTCACAAGAGTTTTAAAAGTGATCAAGGGCCATAACTTTGGCAGTAATTATCAGAAATCATTGAGATTCAATAGAATTCTTCGTCTCATGACCTCAAACGCTTTAGCCTCTAGAGCATCCACAAGATTTTTTGAAGTGATCAAGGGCCATAACTCTGGCCTTAATTATCAGAAATCGCTGAAAATCAATAGGCTTCTTCGTCTCATGGCCTTAAACACTGTATATAAATTTAAAGTCAATTGGATATTAACTTTAGCCTCTAGAGCATCGACAAGAAATTGTGGACGCCAGACCGACATACTGACGGACGGGGGCGACGGCGTATAAAAAGCATGTCCCAATGACCTTTTTATCACTATATCATGATGCTTCACTGTGATGCATTCACTAGCAGGCATTAGCTAAGATTAGCAAAAGATACCATTAATGCCATTTGGAATTTAGGTTCTACTCTTAATTCCATCACAACCCTTCATAAAATGATTCAGGAATTTTTTTTAAATTTCCCAAATGTTCTCAAAAAGGGTTGCGATGTTTTAGTGTCCTCCACTAAATGCCATCACAACCCTTCATTTGAACAATTGGGAAATTTTCAAGGGTGGGGGGTATTTCCAGAAAATTTTGTGAATGCTCTTAATTTAAAGGACCTAAGTCCTTAACGCAAAATCCTCCAAAATCTTCGACATCGAAAACACGAATTATTGGTCAATTTAAATCGACATTGATGATGTAAACTTACCGGGAAAAGATGAGCCTCTGATATCCGATATTTAAGATAAAATAATTTTTTTAACATTGGTACACGAATCGTGTACCATAATCATTTCAGCCCCAGTTGTATTGAGAGACTCGAGGGACGAGGCTAGACACATTGCACCAAATCAAATGGAGTTATGTAGACTAGAATAACTAGACGCTAGAAATTTGCACTCGATTGAGATTGCTGACTTATTTCGCCGAACATAACTGATTTGAAATTGGAGTAAAAACAGAAACCATTAAATGTAAATCAGTTTATATACATTCATATTACAGTATTATATGCGTTGCGACCCACTTTTGTGAATTTCTAGGTCCCAAATGTTAGCGATTTAGCTCCTTTAATAAGAAGTGGCGGGTTTTGATAGAGGACAAATTGAATTAAGCAAAAGGATGCAACAACGCCTTATTGACTCTTTCATTTCAAGGAAGTATTTATAAATAACTAAACTACCATGTGAACCGGTTAGTTTCTATTGATTATTTATTATTCATTCAGGTGTGGTTGTCTGCTGCTGAATTTGGTAGTTGCAAACAATCAGAAATAAAAGAAAACAACAAAGGCTGAGAGAAAGAATAAATTTGGCTTGAGCCGATATTTTCAATTTAATGTTTAAAAGGCGCATCATTCATTCATTGACATTGTCATTATGTAAACAATATAAGTTGAATAAGTGAACACAACTTGATTTTCAATGTGACCTGGAAAAGTCGGAAATGATGACATCATCGCGCAGTGACAGTTCGACTTATTTGCTGCTTCAAAGAAAGTAAATACAAACTGATAATTTAAACAATGATTACATAATATGACAAATGTCTGTCAAAATCATTTTGTTTGGAAGAGATGAAAAGGCAAAACGAAAGTAGAGAAGAAATCCTACAACTCACCAAAATATAAATATATCCGCAATCCTTGAATTAAATGTATTTATCACAGCGGTGAGCGACAGATAATCAGGCGGAAGAGATAAATTCATTTATTGTATAACTATCAAACGGTTATCAATAAATGAGATGTTATCATACGATATCAATATCCCCTGTAAATCCACAGAGGAAAATTTCAAGTTGTCATGTGATGTTACCAAAAACTTGTTCAACGCACATGCGTTAAGTCGGTTAAGACTAAGTCTTGTCAGTGAAATATTTCCGATCTCCCCATATTGGAGGAGGATGGTGACAAACTTTGGTATCATAATAGGGATAATAAGTAAGCTTCGTGCAGGTTTTATTAAAGAAACAAAAATAACATACAAATAAAAAAAAAGAGTTTTGCAGTCTAATGGCAATCTGTTTTACAGACCTAATGCGACATCCGTCTTTTATCTCTGTCCAAGATGACTGACCTTTAAAAGGTCAGACCGCTGTAGTTCTAAGGGTGACGTCACATCACGATGTTTACCAACAAAGCAAGGTGGCATCGATAACACCAAAAAAGCTTACTTCTGTGGCTTGTTTTTGTTGTTTTAAAACAAACACGAGCAGGTCAATCAGATTAGACGGTAAAAAATGTACTTCTGAAAGAATTCAGAGTAAACAAACAGAAAAAAAACGTCAAATTGATGGTCACACGTGCGTTGTTTACATCGAACGTAGTAATATGAACTGGTACGGGCAAAATTATATCGTTTTACCCATTTTACGCCTCCGCGTACTATTTTCTGTACCTATTTACACTAAATATGGAATATTTTTTATCAAGATATACTTCAAACACCTTTATTTATTTTTCTAATACTAAAAAAAAATGTTTCAGAATTTAATTTGTCGAAAGAAAAAAGTTAATATTTTGTAGTCATTAAGTCGCATCGATGTCATCCTTATCAGTGATTGTAGCGGCCAAGCGAATATTCACTGCAGATCAGTGTGGTCTAATGGGGGTTGCGCTGAGAAAGTCAATATTTTTATTGTGTTTTTTTCCTCTCTAATCTAGCCACCTGGCGGGAAGGACGAGAGGGGATAACTTTCACGGTAAAACAAGAGTTATCTCTTATTCCCTCCCCCAACCACTAATTGTGACTAAATTAGGCTACTGTATGACATCAAGATTCGATGCAATACCAGTCGATCATTTGACACATTTGTCCATACCAATAGTATTATTTTTTTACATGTCAACATTTAAATTTAAGTTAACATCTGTTATGGACAAATCTCCTTTATAAAATAATATTACATAACACTTACTACGCCATCTGAGGAACACACTCAACACAGCCTATAAGTTCAGAAATTCTTAAAAATCATAGGATTCATAGGTCTACAAATCTATAGATGCCTGGAGAAAACTCTCGAAAGAGTTATAGTTACACAGATGTTGAGAGAATATCTCGCTTTATCATGAAGATCAGAGTTCTAACACCCAGAAAATAAAGACTGATAATGATAAAGCTCTTGATCATAAAAAAGCGCGTTATGTGGTATATATGCCTACAAACTCTATAGAAATGGTTCCATTTTCTTCCGTCTTGCTCCAGCCACAGCAGTGGATCGTTCTAATGACTTCCTCTGAACAAGACGTTGTAATCATTTGATGACAAAAAAGTTACTAGGGGTTATTTTAGTTCTAAGAAAGGTGTTCTGTTTAAAATAGAAATTCGTTACCTACATGTGGTGTGACGAAAACCAGGCCAGTGAAGTAGCTTGCATTATTCTACTACTTTCTTAGACTAACTCACCGACAGTTATGTCAGTATCCATTTCTGGAAAGCGGTTCTTATCGACCAGGAATCTCGTGCACAGATTAGTACCCATACGAAACACTTACCCAAAAATGGTAATTGTCCCGCCTTAATAGCTGACGCGTTTACTTTCTATATAAGCAAGAGCGAGTTTTATTTCACTTCAGACATCATAGAGCGGCCCGAGAAGGGAACATCATAGCCCCCTCGGCTTAGAGGTATGATGAAGACATCATGATGAGATAGCAGAGAAGACATCATAGAGCAGTCCGAGAGGGGAACATTATACACACAGCCGCCTTGGCCGAGAGGGGGGGAAATAGATATCATTCAGACATCATTTAGACACCACTTGGATTAGACCGTCCCGTTAAGTCGTAGGAGAGGCATAATATGATGTTGTGGGGTCTCCGTCAGTAAACTTGTCCTACGAAATGTTGGGGTCGAGAGGTAGAGAGAATGATGTTAATAGTAATCTATGCTTGTAATTGATGTATCCAACTCGACATAAAAATGTAGAAACGAATTGTGGTATTGTAGTTTTCTGTATTTAACCTTTGTAGTTTGCTGTATTCGATATATAAACATAGTAACAACATAAACGGTGTTTCAGACTTAATTGGCCATTGGAAATAGTTATCACAACGTGAAGTCAAAGAAAGTCCTAGATGATAGTGTCACCCTAGTATCACGGGTCGTTTACTGGAAGTTCCTGATAAAAGTCACATCTGTCCTACCGTAGCGTCACACCATAACTCCCTTCTTGCTATAATAGTTCAAAAATAGATAATGCAAAATGAATATATTGAAAATTTCATTCAAAGTACTTTATTCTGTGCCAAGTTATCACTGTTTGTAGTTTTGACAAGATATCGTGTATTGATTGTGTATTATCGTAACCACGATACTGGCATAATCGAGGCTTAGTCTCGCTTCTTCATTTTTAAATTAAATCATTAAATGACCGAACCGTTCTAAAGCCCAAAGAAAGACCTGCAATAGGCAAATTTAGCTCTTGAATAATTTGTCTTTAATTTAAAATTTAACTGTTCCCAAACTGTACTGCATATAGCTTTTAAAGCATAAAAAACCGGAGCTTATTGAAATGATTTAATAAAAATCCAATGGCTTCGCCTTATTTCTGTCGTTTTTTAAAAAAAACTCCGCCAAATCAGAATTAGAACACGCACGTGATTATAACATCCCCTCAAAAATGTAGAAAAACTGTTCGGTGACTCAGTGTTCCACTCTTCACTATTTCTAACATAATTACTATTTCCATGCAAACTGTGATGATATGTGTTGAGATTACCATGCACAACGAATAAAATCTTATTAAAGGGCCATTATGTAAGATTAGATAAAGAGCTGGCAATTCTCGCTATAATAGTTAAAAAAAAATAATGAAAAGGGAATATATTGAAAATTCAGTCAAATTACTCTGAGCCGAGCACTCGTCCTTAGAAGAACAGTATAGCCTTCATTGTCATTGCTACCGTTGTTACGATAAATAAGTCTCGGTTATCCACTTTTACGGTAAAACGTATTTAAACCTATTGGAAACCGACGAGACTATACGATGGTATCGAGAGTTGATTATGGTCTTGGTAAGTTAATGTCTTATTAATAATTTATATAATATTTAAGGGGGGGGGGGGAATCATCAAATTTTTCGGGCACTGGCTAAATGGCGATGCAAAATAAAATTTTTGTGGATATACAAGGAAAAATGTGAAAATTCAGAATTTCACAAAATCACGCAATTCTGGGCGTCTATTTCTCAGTTCCAGAAAATTCGCTCTAGGCGTTAGCTCCTTTTTTATCGAGATTTTACTGGTTATTTTGTGGTAGGGTCACCGGGCATTGCCGCCGTATTTATTTGGCTAAAATGATAAACCCCACACGGAAATTCGGCTCGTACGCCCATGCCGCTCTTTAGAGGTTAAATTAATGGATCGCTTTGAAATTTATATTGATTGTTTATAAATGCACGATTCAACGGAAGTTGGCTGCTTCAAGATGCCGTAAGTTTGTGAAGTTACATGTATCTTCATCATTAGGACATGCATTATTAATTGTATGGCAATTAACGGATATCAGATAATTATTTTCAGTGTTAGAAAGTGCTGACGAAGACGATATTACTGAGGATTGTTGGCTTTAGTTTCACCTGACAAACTTAATTTCATTACTAATGCATGTAACATCTTGAAAATAAGTTAATTGTATACTAATAGAGAGAGAGAGAGAGATGGGGTTTAACGTCCACTCGACACAAACTAGGTCATTTCGGGACTAACACATGGTTTAATTTTATTTCAATAATTCGCTTGCGCGTAGGGGTCTTTAGCACTGGGAGGAAACCGGAGGACCCGGAGAAAACCCACGAGGTTGGACAGGCGACCCTACTCCTTGTCACGTACAACCGGGGATTCGAAACCACGCCAGTCGACTCAATGACAGACTGTATGATACAGCGCGCGCACGCTAACCATTCAGCCACCCCCCCCCCCCCCCCCGTATACTAATAGAACGTATTAAACATATGCACCCCACTCTAGTAAAACAACTTTGGTTTATCTGCAAATATTGTCAATAAATTAAATCAAGTGTTGTTCTTATCAAAATTGAAACGGACATTCATAATTAAGTTGTTTTATTCCTGGGCAACTCAACAGGTTAGTACTTTGATTGGCTGTTGTGACGTCAACGATGTCAAATCTAAAATGCCGGAGAGTCAGGCTATTATCGCTTCGATTTAAAAAAAAAAAGACATGATTGTTACTGATAATTGTTGTTTTGATGAAAACTGTTGTCAGTTCTGCTTACTGAGGCCCGATGTGATCCCCGTCGGGTATGCCAGATGGAACTAAATACCACCATCTCTTATCCAGGCCCGTAACTAGGGGGGCGCAGTCCCCCCCCCCCCCCCTGTGAAAAGATTTTCGACCATAAAAAAAATTGATATACATTGTCCGTCTATTTTACAGCACCCATGAAAACACTTCTCGCTCCCCTGGTTGCTCTGAGCTAGTTACGGCCCTGTTCTTATCTCGAAACACGGAGGGTTGAGACATGAGGTTTCTTATCTAATAAAGTGCCTACTTGGGGTTAAGGGCCCTTAATAAAAAACCTCGGATATGATTGGCAGGGGAGAGTCACGTGTTATGACACAGTAGTGTTTTAGTTTTAACATAGAACTAGATTCTAGTTCTATGGTTTTAATGACGGCATATGACCTCCAAAATATTGAAGTTGTAGACAAAAACAGTTCCGGACTGGGCCCACCTGTCCACCTGTCCGTGACAGGTGGGCCTAAGCTCATTAAAAAAAAGTGGGCCTAAGCCTATAAAGAAAAAATAGAGAAAGAAAAAAGAAAAAAAAAGAAAAGAGAAAGGAAGGAGAACAATTATCCGTTATCATCACAGAAGTAAACAAATATCATCATAAGCTTGTGAGGTTCATGAGCTTATGATGATATTCGTTTACTTCTGTGAGTTCGAAGATTCTGGCTATATTCTGTGACGTGCGTCAACAGAACTGTCAATTACGTGTACTGTATGTATATTATAATTTGCATTATTTTCATCACGGAGAATAAAAGGTTTTTGTTTTTGACACTGAAGAGAATTCTCAAATTCATCTAAAGATAATGCTCTTAGGTCATTCTGTTATCTAATTGTATCGGGAAATAAAAAAATGCCTTCTTCTGCTCTGGTCTGAAACGCTTGGACAATGAGTTTGCGATTGTCAATTTTCAAAATATTCATGGGGGGAGGACCCCCCCCCCCCAACCCTTGTCGGATGCTCGCACGCCTTCGTCGCGCTCGAGACGCGTCTTCGCCGCGTACTTGTGTGGGCCTTGGTCAATGACCAGACAGGTGGACCTTCGGCCCACCAGTCCGCACTGG